CCGGCCTGAGAGCTGGGGCGTGGGTTTGAGTCTCAGTCAAGGCCAGGAGACCAGTGTGAGCCCATTTCGCGTGCGGAGCATTTGTGCCCAGCGTGGCCCACAAAGCACTTGCACCAACACACCTGGAAGCAGCGACACACCTGGAAGCAGCGTCTGCTGGGCTGCTGGCCCCATGCACGCCCGCCTTGGCACGCCCGCCCTGAGAGCAACCACCCTGAAAGCAACCCCCAGGCCTGTGACTCCTCCCTGCGCTGGATCCACTGCCCTCTGTCTGCCCTGAAGCCTGAGGTGTTTGCCTCCCTCCTCTGGACTCTGCACTGAGAAACGTCCTGCCTCTGCCCACCCCTCAACCGCCCTGTTTCTTCCTGCCTCAGTCACTGCCAACTGGCCTGCCCTCCTCACTGCACTGAGCTGTTGTCATTTTGTTTTAAATCTAGTGGAAACTTCTCGGTGTTCATCTTCTCTAATACTTCTTCAGTAGCACTGCACATTCTTCACCCCAAGCTCATCTTGAAACTGGTTTCTGTCTTTCCCTACCTCTGGTTCTCTTCCTTCTTCTTCTCTGTTCTTGATCTCCCACTCTTCTTACCCTTCAAACTTTTTTTTAGGTGTCCGTGACCTGGGGCTCTACAACACTTCCAGGCGGTCTTTCAGGTCGTCTCATGTGTCCAGGCTGCTGGTGGCCACCTCCATGTCTCAGCCCGGGCCTGCACATTATGGCGATGTCTCCCTGTCCGCATCTGAGTTACTTTTCTCATTGCTGAAATGAATACGTGACACCCAAAGTGAAAGGAGGAGAGGTTTATTTGGCTCAGTTTGTAGAGCTTTCAGTCCATAGTCAGCTGGCTCCGAGGCAGGTTAGCATGGCAGAGGGGCATCGCAGAGGAGAAACAGTCCATGGCAAAGCAGGGCAGGCAGCAAGCAGCAGGCGGCAAGTGACAATAGCAGCTTCTTTCTGTCCCTCTACAGGGTGTCTAGGCTACCCACCCTTAGAGCAGCCAGCACTCACACCCAGGACTTTGTCAAACCAATCAGTGGACTGATTTAGTAATCACACACCCCAAATCCAGCCACCTCTGAAAAGCCTCCCTGTTCCTGCATGAGGCTTTGGGGGACATCCAGACACAGCCATAGCAGTGCATGTCCTGGAGGTCCCTAAGCCCAGCATGTTAAACTGGAACGGGTGGGAGCTGTTTCAGGCGGCATTCGCTACCTGCCCCACTACTCAGAGGGAATCTGAGTGTTGCCCTCAGCCACGCCCTGCCCTGCCCCACCCTGCTCTGTCCTCTCTCCCTTCATGTCGGTCCCCATATCCCGCCATCGCCAGCCAGTCACAGAGGGGTGCACTGTGTGGGATGAAAACCTGTGTATGTGACCACTGGAAATGGTCCTGTTCTCTCTCCTATTAGCCAGGGCCCTTCCTGCTGCCTTTCATCGTCCCTTAGATTTGACTCTATCTCAGATGGAGAAGTACTGCCTTCTAAACTTTCCCATGCATTCAGTGGGTTTTCATAGTGCTTTGTGTGTAGTAGATGCAATTTAATTTTAAAGACTTCTGTATATCTTAAGTGTGATTTTAAAAGGTTAGAAGATATTATAAAACTAAACCTAATACTCCCACTTGGCATAGTTCAGTTAATCAGCTATTCTGTTTGTTTCAGATCTTTTAATTAGTGCACAGTGATTGTACAGATTATGGGTTCCATTTCGGCAGATTCATTCGTGCACATAGCACACTTTGCTCATTTTTACCCCTGTCCCATCTTCCCCCCGGTTTTACACTTGGGGTGATCATAGCCACCGCCCCCCCCACCCCGTTCCCCACCCTCCTTCCCCCTGTAGCCCCTTACTGTCTGACAGCCTCCCTTCCACTTCCTGGCATCTCTTTTAGATTCCACATGTAGCAGAATAAGCAGTACTTATCTTTCTGAATCGGGCTTGTTTCACCCAGCATGATCTCCACATGCATCTGTTTTCCTGTAGAGGACAAAGTTTTGTTCATTGTGGCTGGATAATATTCCATTGTTTTTCTGTACCGCACAGTAATCAGTTGTTTTTAATAGACTGTCAGCTTCCAGGGGAAAATCCCTGGAAAGCATTAACAAGTTTAAAAGATCAGAAATATACCCAATTTGTAGAGGAGTAAAGTTGCTGAAAGACTAAAGAAGAAATTCGCTTTTTCATGGCTTATTTTTCAATGTCCTAATTTGTTTGGACCATCAACTTCTATTTCATAGAACACAAAATAGGATGATATAGTCAGATATGGTATGGTCCCACTTTTACCAGTAGATTTTTATTAACAGGTATATAAAAATTCATACTTCTGGGGGTGGCACTGGGGATTGAACCCAGGCTCTGTGCACTGAGCCACATCCCTTGCCCATTTTTTATTTTGAGACAGTGTCTCACTAAGCTGCCCAGGCTGAGATCCAACTCGGGATCCTCCTGTCTCAGCCTCCCAGAGTGCTGGGAGTGAAGCACGAGGTTGGAGGCACTACATAACTCAGACCCAGGTGGAGTATTCCTCATCAGAAATGCTTGACCAGAAGTGTTTCGAGTTTCCAAGGGTTTTTTGGGTTTTAGAATATTCACATAGACTTCACTGGCTGAGCAGCCCTAGTCCAAAAATCACAAATCCAAAATGAAACACTTCGAGGGTCATGACAGCACCCAATAAGTTTCAGAATGCTCTGAAGACAGCATTTTGGATTTTGGATTTTCGGATAATGAATCTGTATAAGGAGATAGGACACAAGACGAGGCATTGAGTCGCACGGCTCCCTACGCTGGCCACCAGGTGGTGCAGTCGGTCCTCCCTGCTGCTCACAGCAACTGCAGTGGAAAGGTGGGGGAGGGCAGGAAGAACCGCACAGGCAGCTGCTCCAGAGGGTAGTGTTTTCAGGGTGGCTCTCAGAGACAGCGGCTTGATAAAGTAGAAACAGCCCAGTGGCGTAACTGTGCCAATTTGAATTTCTGGTTCTTTGGGGCCTGCTTTTATGCTGTTCCTAAATGAACCATGTCAGTAGCCCTCCTGTAAATCTTGACTCAGCTCTTTCAGTATATGTGTGAATAAAAAATTAGTAACACCAGGAAATGGAACACAAAACACCCCAGCATCGTGGCACGTGAAGACACACTTTGGATTGTTCCATGGATGATGCTACTGACTGGGGGGCAGTGCTGGCAACTGAACCCAGGGCCTCACACATGTTAGGCAAGCTCCAGAGGGGATGCTTTCAACAGTCGCTGTGAGCTGCTAAATGACTCTTGTCTTAGACACGACCAAAATGAGAAACACAGTAAAACGAGAGTGATGACTGAATAAAGGCAAAGGAGAGGATCCATTTTCTTTGTATTTTGTTTTTTAGCTTTTTTTTTTTTTCCGAGACAGTCTCACTATGTAGTCCAGAATGAGTTTTGTGGCCTTGAACTCTCTATGTAACCCTCTACGTGGCCTCTAACTCTGGGGATCCTCCTGTCTCAGCCTCCCAATTGCTGGGATTATAGGGGCATGTTTTTTGATTGCTGAAATAGAAATGAAATACATTCTGTTTGTGTTTTTCGGGTGTAAATCGGATCCTGAAGGTTTGAAGGAAGTTTCTCCCCACAGAGCATGCGTTTGAGTATGTGCAGTCCTGAAACCAGTGGCGTTGATGCATTCACTGCATGCCGACAGCTAGGAGTGAGCACCAGAGACTCTGGGTGAAGGAGGACCTGCAGGTGGGATTAGGGACCATCTTGACACCCAGAAGGGGTACCCAACTGAGGCTGTGCTGTTAGAGGCTTTTTGTGGGTTGGCAGAGTGTAAATAAGCATTTCAGAGCTGAAGGGTGGAACCAACAAAGAAAGAGTTTTGTGGGCAACAGCAGGAGAGGCAAGGTGCGTGAGCCCCTGAACAGCAGGGTGCTGGGGGTCGTTCTGAGGTGGGGCCTGTGGAGACTGGGATTCCTGTGGCTCAGGAAACTGTTTAATCCGGAAACTGAGGGAGCCTGAAGGACCTGGGCCAGAAAGGATTTCTCTGCTTTTACAAGTACCAAAGAACTGAAAGAAATGGCTTGGCTGTGACCTGGGACTGGAAGTATGGAAACTAGGAAATACCCAAGGAGCTGTGCTTCTAGAGAAGAGTCCTTTCTTCTAGTGGTGAGGTTTAGAATATATTGAGAGCAGAGTTCAACTGGTGCTGTCAAAATAAATAAAAGGAACCAGGCATGGTCTTGCATGCCTGTCATCCCAGCCCTTGGGAGGCTGAGGCAGGAGGATCACCCGAGAGTTTGAGGCCAGCTTGGGCTACATAGCGAGACCCTGTCTCAGAAAAAGAGAGAGAAACGTAGTTGTAGTTCCCCAAGCTAATGATACAGAACAGGTCCCAAATGAAATCTTTCCGGTGGTAGAGCTGTAGCCTCACACCCGCCTGGGCTGGGCAGTGAGAGTGAGCAGTCACGCTCTCTACAACCAGGATCTGGATTTTAGAAACCAAGGAATCAGACAGCAAATGGGCCGCAGCTGTGATCCACCAGAGTGAGGCGGCATTATTCAAACTGGACAACTCTTTTAGCTATTTTTGAACCATAAACTGATGCTATGGATTCACAGTCATATCAGCTCTCCACTGCTGGGACAAAGAGCCTGACACATGCCACCCAAGAAGAAAGTGTTTACTTGCTCATGGTTGAAAAGTTCTAAATAATATGTTTTTATTTGTAACATCTGTGCTTATAGTGTATTTGTTTTATAAAATGATTTTATATTTTGAATACTTCCAGTGTACAATAATTTATGGTACATTATACATGTTTTGAAGAAACTTGGTAAAATAAAGTCCTATAGATAAGAAATTTGGAGGATTAAATATGTCTCTTAGCCCATAAACTTTACTTGTGGAGAAAGGTGAGATGCTTAAGAATATGTATATCTATAGCTGTTTTCAGAAGTTTCCAGTTACCTTCTTGGGCTTTCTCTTTTCACTGATTTTGGCTCTTTCTGCTCTTTTGAAACAGTGATCACATGGAAAACGTGTACGGATACTTAATGAAGTACACCAACCTTGTCACTGGGTGGCAGTACAGGTGAGTGGTTGTTTATGTCCCCTCAGCCTCTAGGAGACAGAAAACCAGGCTGATCGCTTTATATTCTGATATAAAGATGTGGTGTGGCAGACACGGTGGTGGGGAAGCCTGCCAGAGAAGGAGGCTGTGCCCTGTTTTCTCCTATTTCTGAGAGGGTGGAGGAGGAGGCAGCCCCTACCTGCCTTGTTGTGCTGCTGCATTAGGGTTGGTCACCTCCCTGCACCTGTTACACGCTTAGGGGTTGAGGTCTCAGGAGAAGCAGGGTTTTTCGGTGGATTCTTAAAGCATGTCTGGAACCCCGGGAGGCTAGCTAACCAGCCTCAGGACATATTATCAGTCAGTATGGGAAATCCAGGCCTCAGTGCTTAGCCGAAGTGGTATTGCCAGGGCACAGGTATTAAACTTTTTTTTTTTTTTTTGCTGCTGGGGATCGAACTGGGGACCTTGCACTTGCGAGGCAGGCAGTGGCACCACTGAGCTAAATCCCTGGCCCAAACTTTTTTTTGTTGTTTTTTTTGTTGTTGTTGTTGTTGTTTGGTTCCGGGGATCGAACTCGGGTCCTTATGCTTGCGCAGCAGGCGGCGAAACCACTGAGCTAAATCCCTGGCCAAACTTTCATTTTTTTATTGTGATCAAATATACATAAGGCTTCCCATTATAATCGTCCTAAGTGCATAGTCCAATGCCATTAAATATATGTACATTTTTGTACAACTATTACCAGCAGCTATCTCTAGAACATTTTCATCTTCTCATACTGAAAGTTCACATCTGTTATATCGCACAAATACACACACACACCCTGCATCCCACCCGGCATGGACCTTCTCTACTTGAGTCGATGGTTTTGCCCTCAGGGACTTACGTGACCTGATCAGGGCTCATCCGTGTTGTAGAGCTTTCCTTCTAAGGCTGGGCAGTCCCAGTGTGTTCCTGTCACACGGTTTGCACATCCCAGCACCCGTGATGGACAATCGGTGCTCCTGCCTGTGGCTGTTGTGAGAATGTGGCTGTGATGTTGGTGTACCAGCATCTCCTCCTACTCTGGTTTACTTTTTGTCTATACTCAAAATTGAGCTACTGTAGCATATAGTATTTCTGTGCTTTTTTGTTTTGTTTTGTTAATTTTTTTATTGCTCTGTTGCCCAGGTTGGCTGTGGACTCCTTGGCTCAAGGCATCCTCCTGCCTCAGCATCCCAAGTAGCGAGGACTATAGGTGAATGCCACCATGCTAGGATTACTATATTTCACAGTTTCAGGAAACCCCATGCTGTTTTCCACAGCAGCTGAGCCATTTGACACCCTGGCCAGCAGTGCACAAGGGTCACAATTTCACTACGCCCTCAGCAGCGTCTGTAATTGTTTTTTTTCTTTTCTTTTCTTTTTTTATTCTGTTCCAGGAATCCAACTCAGGACCTTGCACTTGCCAGGCAGGCTCAGCACCACTGAGCTACATCCCCTGCCCATGTAATTGTTTCTTTTGTTGTTTTAAAATTATAGCTGTCTTCATGGTGTAAGGTGCTTATTGTGGTTTTTAAACTTTTTTTTAATTGTTAAAACTAGACTTTGAAGCTGAGTGTGGTCATGTGCACCTGTAATCCCAGCACTCTGGAGGCTGAGGCAGCAGGATCGATACAAGTTCAAGGCCAAGGGCAAGAATTTATATCATTGACACCAGGCCTGCCTGGGAAGCACAATGTCCTGAGTCAGTTCCCAGTACCAGAAAAAAAAAAAGACAAGTTCAAGGCCAGCCTGGGCTACATAATGAGTTTGAGGCCAGCCTGGACCCTATATCAAAAAACTAGACTTTGAATCCAAATAATTCTGACTCCGATGTCTGATTTTGTTTTTGTTGTTTTGTACTAGAGATTAAACCCCAGGGCTTCCTGCATGCTAGGCAAGCACTAGCAAAAGCTATATCCCTACCCCCTCTACTTTGTTTCACTTTATCTTGCAGTACTAGAAATTAAACCCAGGGAGGCTGAGCTACATCCCAAGCCCTCTTTATTTACTGGTTTTTATATTTTTAGACAGGGTCTTGCTAAGTCCCTAAATTGCTCCACCTGGCTTCAAACTTGAGGTTATCCTGCCTCAGCCTTCTGAGTAGCTAGATTACAGATGTGAGCTACTCTATCTGCTCCAAAGTCTTTTTTTTTTTTGGTACTGGGAATCGAACTCAGGACCTTGCACTTACGAGACAGGCAGCGGAACCACTGAGCTAAATCCCCGACCCTCCAAAGTGTATTTTTATAGGCAAATGATTTTTACAAAGCTGCGTGATCTATGTCATGCTGTTTTTAATTCTAAAACATGTCATTTAGAGAATTCTGCTTTTGGCCATGATGTAGTAACAGGAAGTGAATTTGCCTTTCTACCTTAAATGACTGGAAAATAGGAATAATACATAAAGGAGAAGTTTTCAGACACTTCAAAGAAAAATAGAAGTATTAATAAAAATGTGAGGGGTTTTCTTTGTTTTGTTTTGTTTTGTTTTTTCTTTGTTTTGTTTTAAGAAAAGCAGTTTGGGTCCTGTTCATCACAGCATTCGGAATCGGGTAGTGATGACTGCAGGAAGTTGAAGGTCATATGAAAGGTCCAAGCTGGGTATGAAACTCAAGAGGGAATCACTCCTCCGGAAGTGCAAGGGCAGTTCTCTATTTAAAAACTAAAAAGGTCTTTCCAAGGGAGTCTTTTCAGTCTACATTTTCATTTCAGTTTTTATGTAAGTTTGAATACTTATATGTTCAAATGATATACAAAATGCTAATTTTTAAGAATTTTGCTTGGTGTGATGGCACTCAGGAGGCCGAGGCAAGAGGATTGCAAGTCTGAGGCGATCCTGAGCTACCTAGTAAGACCCTGTCCAAGAAAATAATTCCATGTTGCTTTTTCCTGAGCACTGTTCTTTGTTCTCCTTTGTATAACTTCCACTCACCCAACGTGATTAAGTATTACTAAGCAGGCCTCACGAGGGGAATGCAGGAAGAAAGGCCCAGACAGCCCGAGCATAGAAGGCTTAGGATGCATTAGCGAGGCTGTTTCCAGTTAGCGGCCGCTGTGGGGAGAGGGGCAGGTGCTGCGTGGCCACTTGCAAAGGCTTCTCCTCTTCTTCTCTCCCCTTCCTTCTCCCTGAGCTGTGCAGGTACACAGTTAGGACCTGGGGCAGTCAGAGCAAAGCACGCAGTGGCTTTTCCGTCCACACCTGTGGCTGAGGCTAATTTTTGTCATCTTGAGATTTGCTTCCAAGTCAGTTAGGATAAAGTTGGATTTGACAATATCTAAGTTGGGGGCCTGTCTCAAAGATGAGTTCTTTCTCCCAGCTGGCAGTCTGTGATTTCCACAATGCAAAAAAAGGGAACAATATGCCAGCCTTAACCGGATGTTCTTTTAACACACTCGGTGAAGTGTCTGTGGGTGCAGATTTCCGTCAGCGCCTGAGTCTCCCCGTTGGCCTCTAGTCCAGCGGTTCAGCCAGCCTGCTAAAAAGGCCTAGCTCAGGAGTGCTGTGCCCTGGGTCGGGTAGCCTTGCTGCCTGCACACTCAGGGGTCTGTGTCCTGTACCCGCTGTCAGCTGGCTTGGTCCTTGTGTGATGACAGCCAGGGGCTGGTCGGGAAAGCAGGCGGTGCTGGCTCGCTGGTCCCAGCCTGGAGCCCTTTCCAGCATCACCTTCTCTGTTCCTGGCGAGTGCTCCCAGGCTCTGGCTGTGCGGTGATGCTTAGCGAGCGCTAAGACAGGTGCATTCAGGATGCCCCACAGGGTGGCACTGCACCCGGTGGCCGCTTTTGAGAGAAGAGCCAGTCGTCAGGAATTACACATACTGAGTGGAACAGGGAGAGGAAAGTTTTCTTTTGTTTCTTCATTCTTTTGGTGAGCAATTATATTGAGAAAAATTCATTTACTGTACAGTTCACCCATTTAAAGTGTATAACTTAATGGTTTTTGACATATTTAAGAGACTCTTCTCTGGCAAACAGCCTTTCAGGGGTTTTTTGGATGAGTGTTTTGTAGAAGGTTCACAAGGACAGATCTTAAATGTTTTAGAAATTTAAGGCAATGTCAATGACTAAACAGTTCAAACAGTCCCTTCATATTTGTGGGAAAATAAACAGCTATCAAAAATGGGCAAAAATATGACAGAAGCTGAGCGTGGTGGCACATACCTGTAATCCTAGCACTCTGGGAGGCTGACGCAGGATGTCAAGTTCCAGCCCAGCCTGGGCAACTTAGCAAGTTAGTGAGACGCTGACTCCAAATAAAACTATTTTTTTTGGTGCTGAGGATCAAACTCAGGACCTTGCACTTGTGAGGCAGGCCGTGGCACCACTGAGCTAAATCCCCAGCCCCAAATAAAACAACTTTTAAAGGGGGTTGAAGATATAACTCAGTGTGAAGACCTTGGTGTCAATCCACAGTGCCACAAAAGAAAAGAAAATAAAGGTGATAGGCAGTTCACTTGGTAGAACTACAGATGATCCATGAACACATGAAAGAAAATGTGTTTAACCCCACTAGTGGTTAATGCAATTGAACTTTTAAAACTCAAAGTTTTTTATTTATTTAAGCAGAACATTTGTTTTGGATATACATAATGATAACGCTCATAGGGTCAAAAAATTTTAAAAGTTAATTTACATTTTCATCAAATGCATGAAAAATTTTAGAACTCAGAAGCCTGCTAGAAACTCCTAGTCCTTTGCTTCTCGTCCTCAGGCCCCCTGACTTCTGTTCTTTTCTCCTCAGTTCCTCTGCTGTCCCGAGTGAAAGGCTGGCCCGGTCTGTCCCGGCGCTCTGGCGCTGTCCTCCAGGAATGTGGCCTGGACAGACTGCCCACGGGCCCTGTGCAGAGCAGGCGCCGAGCTTCTCCACACCCTCACGTGAAGCCCCCCTTCTAAACTACTGTGCTCCTTAAATTGGGATTTGAATTAATTTAGTTCTTAAAGTAGTTCATCTAGGATCAAATCAGAACACCAGATTCTTTTCCAGAGTTCATCAGTATTTCATTAAATGCTTTTCCAAAGTGTATCGGTATTTCATTGTTCAGTTTCAAGTTCCGTATGTTTCTGCGTCTCCAGTTGCAGCATTTTCATTTTTAAACAGGACCCGTCGTCTTTAGCTGTGACCTATTTAATGATAGATTCACAAAATCTTTCTATCCCGACATTATTCCCATATACGTTTCACTGTTTAAATCTTAGCCCGAAGTCATTTCTTACCCAGCAGTTAACCTCAGAGCTCATATTTTGATTTTTTTCCAGAGAATCTTAAATAAAAATTCTCACTACCATTTGTCTTTCTGCAATTTATCCTCACTTTTAATGAATTTCAGCAAAATGTCCTCCTCTGGGGCCGGGGGTTTAGCTCAGTGGTTTCACTGCCTGCTGTGCAAGCGCAAGGATCCAAGTTCGATCCCTGGTACCAAAAAAAAAGTCCTCCTCTGAAAGAATAAAATAGAATAAAATATCACATGCCTGTAATCCCAGCACTCAAGAGGCTGAGGCAGGAGGATCTCTGTAAGTTCTCAGCCAGGCTAGGCTACCAGAGTGAGTTCAAGGCTACTTTGAACTACATAGTGAGACCCTGTCTCAAAAATAAAAAGTAAAGGGAAGGAAGGGGAGAGAGAGAGAGATGATTATACTGTTGTTTGCTTTTGTGCATTTGTGCCTCTTCCTGCTGATGTGCCTCTCCCTGGGCTGGGCGCAGTGTAGCCCGAAGCCTCACCTGTCAAGCATGGGCTTTAGCTCCTACCCTGCAAACGAACCTGCAAGCGCCTCCAGTCACCTGCTGACTTCGTGTGTCAGTTTTGCAGTGATTTTTCCAGCTAGGAAATCCATGGTAGTGTTTCCAAATACTAGTACTTGAAATGCTTTTTGGAGTTATCCTTCGTTAGTAAGAAAAAAACCATCATTTTTAAGTGATGAGAATTCCTTTTGCTTTAGTGTGCCTTGGGAAATGTTTATAACTCACAGCTCTGTGAAACCACTGCAGGTTCTTCGTGCTGAACAACGAGGCAGGGCTGCTGGAGTACTTCGTGAATGAGCAGTCCAGGAGCCAGAAGCCCAGGGGCACGCTGCAGCTGGCGGGTGCCGTCATCTCGCCCAGTGACGAGGACTCGCACACGTTCACGGTGAACGCGGCCAGCGGGGAGCAGTACAAACTCCGAGGTGGGCGGAGGGCCGCTTCTGGGCCACTAAAATTCGTAAGATGGGCAGCAGGTGCAAGTCACAACACTGGCAGCGTGTTCAGCAGTTCTTACTGCAACAGCGCAGGAGGGCGAGTGGCCCTGGCTGACAGTGAGGACGGACAGGCCGTTTGCCTGACTTCCCAAGCAGCCCGCTGAAATCATCGTGGAAATCTCATAGCACAGCCTACTTTAAATAGTGTTCCCATGTCTGCTGGAGATGATTTTACCCTTACTTAACTTTGTTTCTATGCCCTCTTTGCAGTTTTTGGTCACTAATATGTGTAGTTGGGATTATTTTTCCCCCAGTCCCAGGGATCGAGCGCAGGTCCTCGTGCCTGCCAGGCAGTGTGGCCCACTGAGCTACATCCCCGGCCCCACATAATTGGGACTTATGGAGATGCCCCTGTTCCCTAAAATAAAGCATAACTTCTATGAGGACGCACTGAATCGTGTAGAAGCGGGTGGTTTTCATCTAATAAATGCAGGAGAAGGATGATCCTAGCTGGCGTGGTGCTCAGGTCTGAAATGATCGGTGAGACTGCACTCAGACTTAGGGTTATTTCTGTAACAGACAACGAGGGGCCCACGTCCCCCCCTCCCTCATGTGCTCTGTCTTCCTGTGCAACCTCAGCACCTTGCGCCTGTCCCCAGCAAGGTGAGGGCTGTGGCCTCCGCCCACCCTGCGCTCGCTCCACGTGGGGACATTGGCCCTCTCGAGAGGGGGGCCAGGCTTAGCTCCCCAGACACCGGCTCTTCACACATAGACAACTGGTTGCATTCCCAGAATCTCAGTGAACAACTGTGCTTCCTTTCTCAGCCACAGATGCTAAGGAGAGGCAGCACTGGGTCAGCCGGCTTCAGATATGCACGCAGCACCACACGGAAGCCATTGGAAAGGTAGGCGGTCACAGTGTGGGGTCCCCAGGAAGAGTGAGTGCTCAGTCTTGAGTGGGGTATATTTCAGAGGGAGGGTCCCATGGTTTCTGTGTATTCCCAAGGTCCTGAACCCAGGCAATGGCCTAATTCCAGGTCATTTTTACTGCCCTCTGTAAAAGCCCACCCCCGTTATCCTTTGCTTACTCTCCCTTCCCAAGCCTTTGGCAAGCACCCATCTGTTTTCAGTTTCCATGATTTATCTATACAGATGGAGTCATACAAAATATGGTACATTGGGCCGGGGATTTAGCTCAGTGGTTTTGCCACCTGCTGCGCAAGCGCATGGACCCGAGTTTGATCCCCAGTAGCAAAAAATACAAACAAACAAAATATGGTACATCATGTCTGGGTTTCTTCATTCAATAAAAAAAAATTTGTTTTCCAGTACTGGAGATTGAATCCAGGACTTTCACATTAAGCTATATTCCTAGACCTTTTTAAAAATTGCGACCCTCCCAGAGTGCTGGGATTACAGGCCTGTGCCACCACAGAAGGCTCACTTAGTAAGACTTTCTGAGATTCATCAGCGTTGTTGCACGTAGCAGTGCTTTATTCTCTCTAAAGACTGAACACTATTCCACTGTGTAGATCATGCACCAGATCGCTGGACACTCAGGTTGTGTCCATTTTATAGATAATATGAATAGTGCTACTGTAAGCATATGTGTTCAAATATTTTGAGTAGAAGGTATGACTGAAAAATACAGTGAATGTTTAACTTCTAAAAATGTATTGTAGTAAAAGATACACTGCCATGAATTCCCATCAAAATCCTCCCCTTTGCTTCAGGCACACTTATCCCATTATTCTTGCCACTTTCTGCAGCCCTGGAAACCTCTTTACTGAGTGTCTTCAGTTGCACTGTCCTGCGACTAAAATGATTCAAAATGTTGACCTTTCATGGTCATTTTGACTTTGGGGAAGAGCCAGGAGTCACATAGAGCCAGATCCGCTGAATAAGGTGGATGAGGACACAGCGTCATGTTTTTATGAGCCCGCTTTCAGTTGGATGGCGCTTATCACTGTGGTTTTTTGTTTGTTTGTTTTGGTACCGGGGATCAAACTCCAGACCTTGCACTTGTGAGGCAGGCGCTGGAACCACGGAGCTAAATCCCCTGCCCCTGGTCACTGTGTTTTTGATCACACCTCATAAAGATGCGCTAGAGGGATGGGGGAGAAGTGTGTTTGAAGCAGGAATGGGGGAGTATTTTGAAGGGGATTCTTAGCAGTGTGTTTTACTGAGTTAAATGTAAACATTCGCTGTGTATTTTGATCACCCATGCATTTCAGCTCTCAAGAACATGGAACCAGGAGTAGACCTGCTGGGTCATAGAGTAACTGAGGAACTGATAAACTTTTCCAAGCAGCCACATCATTTCACACAGTGTGCAGGGGCTGCAGCCTCTCCCTGCACACCAGCGCCTTGCTGGGGCCTGGGAGCTGGCTCTTGCTGTGATTTCCATTTCCCTAATGACGAATCACGCTGAGCGCCCTTTCATGTGCTTATTGGTTGCTCTTTTGTATGCCTTTTTTTTTTTTTTTTTTTTTTTTTTTTTTGGATACGAGGATCAAGTACGTGTCCGTAGGTCAGACGTGTGCTCTTTTGTTCATCCAGCTCTACATAGTGAGGAACACAAATGGAAGAGTTTGTTTTCTTTCTTTTTTTTTTTGGTACCAGGGATCGAACTCTGGTCCTGGCACTTGCGCAGCAGGCAAGGAAACCACTGAGCTAAATCCCCAGCCCTTTTATGTGCCTTCTTTGGGGTATTTTTTTTAACAGCAGCAAGGTTTCACTTTTTTTTTTTTTCATTAATTTTATTGGTACATTTAAGTATACAAAATAGTGACCTTCATCATTGGAAATTTGCTCCTTTAACATAATCTCTCTTGGTTCTTATTTTTTCCCCCTTCCCCTGCCATCCCTTCAACTCCTCCATCCCTCTCTATTTACAGAGACTTTGTTTCCATTTTTTCCTTTTCTCATATTAATTCCATTTCCTACTTTCCTTTCCCCAATCCCTCCCATTTCCTCTTCCCCTTTGGACCTTTTCTTCCTGTTTCACATTATCTATTATGCCTTTTGATCCTTATTTGCACTTTCAGTGTCTCACCCCAAAGAAACTATTCGGTATTTACATGTCTGTCCTATTTATTTCACTTAATAGTATGGCTTCAGTGTGCATCTATTTCACTTAAATGTCTCTAATTTCTCATTCGTTGTGGCTGAGTAGTACTCCATTTTATTTTTTAAAAACACATTTTTATCCAGTCTCCAGTTGATGAGCAGTTGGGCTGTTTCCAAGTTTTAGCTATTACAAACTGTGCTGCTATGAACATGGGCGCACATAGATCACTGTGGTATGATTCTTTTAATTCTTTTGGGAAGTTACCCAGTAAGTAAATAACTGGGTCAAATAGGACCTCTAATCCTAGTTTTTTGAGGAATCTCTACACTGATTTCCACAGTGGTTGTACCAGCCTACACTCCCATCAGCAGTGGAGAAGGGTTCCTTTCTCCCCACACCCCCGTCAGCATTTGTTATTGGTTGATTTCTTGATACCAGCCATTCTTTGTGGGGTGAGGTGGAATCTCAGCGTTGTTTTCATCTGCATCTCCCGAATGACAAGTGATATTGAACATTTTTTCATATGTTTATTTGCTGTTTCTACTTCTTTGTCTGAGAAATGTGTTTATTTCAGATGCCCATTTATGGATTAGGTCTTTAAATTTGGGAGGTCTGACTTTTTTTTAAGTTCTTTATACATTCTATTTTGTGAGATGAAAAGGAGAGTATTTGAAATCTGGACTTAGAGATTTTTTTTTTTTTTTTGTACCAGGGATCAAACTCGGGTCCTTGTACTTGGAGGGAAGGCAGCAGAACTACTGAGCTACATCCCCAGCCTTGGAATTAGAGATGTTTGAAAGTAGTATATGGACAGCACATTTAAAGGATTCCAAAAATAAATAAATAAATAAAGGACTTCATACTTAAGCACTGAGACTTGATTTTTACTTTTTTTTTTTTTTAATTCTTCCTAGTATTTTTTTTTCAGTACCAGAGATCAAACTCAGGACCTTGTGCTTGTGAGGCAGGTGCATTCCCACTGATTTAAATCGCCAGCCCCTTATCTTACATCACTAATTTTTGTTTTTTGGTACCAGGTATCAAACTTGGAACCTTGCACTTTCAAGGCAGGCAGCGGCAACACTGAGCTAAATTGCTGGCTCAACATCACTGATTTCTTTAAAATTGTAATTCAGGGCTGTGGCCTGGTCTTAGGAACCTGACACAGCAGCTTTGCTCATATTGCAGAACTCCAGCCGCGGGCAGTGACCAGCAAGCACTGGTTGTCCCAGAGAGTGTGTTCGCGTTTCACTACATCTGTTTGCGTATTGCTGAGCACAGTTTTTGTGTTAATCTTTTTTTACAATCTGAAATTAGAAGGGGCCAGGGATTTAGCTCAGTGGCAACGCACCTGCCTCATAAGCACAAGGTCCTGAGTTAGATCCCCAGTACTGGGGAAAAAAACCCTGACATTAGAAAAATTTTGTTATTCTAATGTACCTGTAAGAGGTACAGAAAGTTCTTTGAGAATGCAAAACTGGAAATTAATTTTCTAAATTACATATTTTCTCTGTGATGTGTGAAATGCTTAGATTTTTGCATAGCTTAAATTTCATCTTTAGAAACATAACTTTAGTCAGTTCTGAAGTTAATTTTTAAAAATTGATTGTTGTTAAATAAGCCTCAAGTGTATGGTAGCTTGACGGCTAGAGGGCCCAAATTTTTTTTTAAGGGAAATTATTTTCTTTGCCTAACAGAATAACCCTCCTCTGAAGTCTCGGAGCTTCTCCCTTACGTCAAGTGGGAATTCCCCGATTTCCCAGCGGAGGCCAAGTCAGAACGCTGTCTCCTTCTTCGGTGTCGGGCACTCCAAGCTGCAGCCTGGGGGCCGAAAAGCTCACTTACCCCCGGACCACCTTGTGGAAGTCAGAGAGGTGAGTGTGAGAAGTCTAGCAGAATCGCACAAAATGGCATCTCGCTTGCTTGGTTTCTCACAAAAATTTTCAAAATACAGTTTGTGTTTCCTGTCTAGTATGCAAGATACTTTTTAAGTGAATAAGATTCCCTGATTATGTAATAGCCCAGGTTTCCACATGTCTGTCAGTTCTGTGCTAGGTATACTGTCATTTTTCAAAAGTCTGTATCTACCTTTCATGTCTCAAGGAAAAAAAAACTGCCATGCTGTGAAATCTGGGAGAGTCACAGGGCCCCTGGGCAGGCTACAGAGTCCGGGCAAATGGTGCTTTCTCTTGTTTCCAGTGAGGACAGCACTCAGGACTGAACCTAGGCAAGGGACCCACCACTGAACCACATCTTCAGCCCCCATTTGCAGAGTTTTGAAACAAGATCTCCCTAAATTGCCCAGACTGGTCCTGAATTTCCAGTCCTTCTGCCTCAGCCTCCCCAGTAGGTGAGATTACAAGCTATTCCACAATTCCCAGCTATGACTGTTTAAAAAACAACAACAAACATACTTAGAACTGCATGTGCAGCTCAGTGGGAGAGCATATGCTCAGCATCCACACAGCCCTGAGTCACCCTTGGCACCAAAAAATAAATAAACTCAAAACAAGACCCAAAGACTGGCACGTATAGAAAACTTAGGACCTAGATAGTTAAATCCTTGACATTGGCGTGTCTCACCTTTTCTCTTTTTCTTTTGCATTGATACCAGATAATTCTGGATGTCAGAGGATATGGTCTGCTAAGTTCTAAGTATTTTAGGCAGTACAGGCTGAGTTACAGTTGTTAGAGCTCATAGATGTTTTAGAAGTAGATTGGTGAAAATAATACTGTAAACCATACCCTAAATGATTCAGGGCAGGAGGCTGGGGAGTATGTACCCTCTAGTGAGTTGTTTTCAGGTGTGTTTATAAGTTGGGCCTAGTGGTACAGGCCTGTGATCTCAGAACTTTGAGAGGCTGAGGCAGGAGGGTCCATGTTTGAGCCCAGCTGTGGCAACTTAGCGACTTAACGAGATTATGTCTCAGATGATTTAAAACGGTCCTGTAATGTTGCTCACTGTGAGGGCCTTGGGTTCATTTCCCAGTACCAATTTTAAAAGGTTTATAGATGAAGAAATTGAAGTTTAGAGCAATGAAATAACGTGCCTGAGATACACAAACAATAGTGGGGGATTTTTTTGGTACGGGGATTGAACTCAGGACCTTGCACTTGCCAGGCAGGCAGTGGCACCATTGAGGTAAATCCCCAGCCCCAGACAACAGCTTTTGATTCACTTTCTAGTCCTGTTATAGAAATAGGTTGTACTTATAGACACATTTATGTGCAGTGTGTGTGTGTGTGTGTGTGTGTGTGTGTGTGTGTGTGTGTGTGCATGCCCGTGTGTGCTGAACCAGGATGCACTCCGCTGCCCAGCTCCTTGGCCCTGTTCAGTATCCATGGCAATGGCGATCAGAGTATGGATAAAGTCCGTGTTCGTCCCTTGCAGCAAGAGTGGAGGAAAAGGCAGTGTGGAGAGCGGTGAGGAGGGAAGGAAGGGACAGACAAAAGGCCGGCGTGCAGGTTTCTCACCCTTTAAAGCCAGCGGCTGGCACTTTGGGCTCGGCCCCTCGGTGGCGATGGGGCGTGGGGAACCCTGGGCAGGCTGTGTCGCACCTCTCGGTCTGGGTGTGGAATCTGCGGCGCCTGTCCTGTGCTGTGTGTGCTCTGTGGCCACCGTGCACCAGTGCCCTGCGCTGAGTCCCAGCCAGGCAGAGTGAGGCCTCCACTCCCTGCACCGGCCTTGACGTCCTCAGCTTCGCCCTCAGCGTGCGGTATATTCTCTGCCTGCTCTGCCAACTGTGCTATTCCCCAGGCGCCCGTGTTTTCTCACAGCCCCGGCCCGAATTGGACAGGTGGTGCTCTGGAGCTTCAGTGCACTCTTCATGTCCTGCTGGTTGCTTTTTTTGGGGGGGGTAGTGGTGGTTGAACTAGAGCCTTTGCACTAAGCTGCATCCCCCAACATCTCCCCCTACGCTTTTTTTTTTTTGGGTCAGTGTCGAAGTTGCCAAGTTTTCCATCCTGAACTTGAACTTGCAGTCCTCTTCCTGCCTCAGCCTCCCAGAGTGCTCACACGTTAATATTTAGCGTGTGTCCCTGGCATGTCTGGAGAGGCCCCAGTTTTACACCTGCCCCATTGACTTAGAGTTGCCTCGCTTGACAGCAGTCTCCTTCGAACTGCGACCCTGGGAGGCACTGTAGGTTCAGTGGGGATCATGCTGTCCCCTGGCCCACACACAGGGCAGAGACCCTGTGTCTCTGCCAATGGCCACGTGCGTCCTCATGAGGGCGCTACTTCTACATTTCACTACACAGCAGGTCGCGCTGGAGATGGTTACTATATTTGGAGCATGTCTATAAACGATCCTTTTGAAGTGTTTATACTTCTTCTGTCCTCCAGAGCTACTATTTCCTTCAAAACATAATTCACTGCTGGTTATTGGAAATCACCATGGGCTAGTCTCTGGGGCACATCGTTTCCTAGTCTTCTTTATGAAGCTGTCTGTTTAGGAATCCATTTTCAGTTTGTGGCTTAGATGTTTGTTTGTTTTGGGGTTTTTTTTTGTTTGTTTGTTTGTTTTTGAGACAGGGTCTCACCTTGTAGTTCAAGCTGGCCTTGAACTCACTGCATAGCTCGGCTGGCCTCAAACTCACAGCGATCCTCTTGCCTCAGCCTCCAAGTGCTGAGGTTGTAGGTGTTCACTACCATACCCAGCTAGATGTCTTTCATTGTGGGAACTTAACATGTAAGGGCCATAATTCATATGTCTCGCTGCCAGGTGGCTCTAATTTAATTGTATTAGTAAAAAGACCAATAAAAGTGATTAGACCTGTTTGTACCACCAGTGGCCCAGGCTGCTCAGTGGTACAAGCCAACAGGAATGGGGAAGCTCTTCATGAAAGTAAAAGCCTTTGGAAGGCTTCTGAGCCTCTCCAGTCAGTTTTTACCCAACATAATGACCAAAAAAATTCTTCTTAGGCTAAAATCATAGTTAATGGTTTTCACCAACTCAGCAGACTTTTTAAAGGCTTCTTATTTTGAGGTCATTTTAAATTTGCAAAGAAATTGGAAGAATAGTATAGGGTTTCTGTATATTCTTCAGATTTGCTGTGATGTTGCTATCTAAAATTATCAAAACCAGGAAGCCAGGATGAAAGGAAGCTCTTAAGTTTATTTAGTTCATACCAGAAACACTGATAAAAATTCCATTTACTCTTGATTTTCTACTGTTTGGTGAACTACAATCTTAAATAAGAAATTGAAGTTTTACTCTTTGAGTATGCGATCTGAAGGATCAAACTATTTGCAGTATTTTATAGTAGTAATTATTTATTTATTTATTTATTGGTACCGGGGATCGAACTTGGGACCTTGTGCTTGCGAGGCAGGCAGCGGAACCACTGAGCTAAATCGCCGGCCCTATTTATATTATTATTAAGTAGTGAAGTCACTCCACTGTAGCTCTATTTCTGTTTCTATGCTTTGTTCCCTGGTACCTGGCAAAAAACCTTTAGTAGTGATTAATGTTCAGCTTGGCAATTTTGGGCATTCAATAAACATCTTTTTGTTTGGCTGTTAAAAAAAAAAAAACAGGAAGCCATAGTAGTGTCATACTTCATGTTCTTGTTCTGGTCTTGGGTCCTGTCCAGGACAGTACCTGAATTTGGTTATTTCCACTTAAGTCTCTTCTGCTCTGTAATTGTTTCTTAATCTTTCCTTGTCTTTCATGACCTTACACTTAGGAAGATCACTGGTCTTTTTTTTTTTCATATCTTTTTTTTTTTTTTTTTGGTACCGGGGATTGAACTTAGGTCCTTGCGCTTACGCAGCAGGCGGTGAAACTACTGAGCTAAATCCCCGGCCCTTTTTTCATATCTTGAATCTGAGTTTGTCTGATATTTCCTCACGATTTGAATGAGATTACAGACTTTGAGAAAGAATGCTACAGAAACTGTGTGTCCTCAGGATGTCGTATCCAGGAGTTCTTGGTGCCACCCTGTCTTAGTACCCATCATGCTGGTCTCCATCACGTGGTTAGAGTAACTTCCATTAGTCATTCTGAGAAATTATGGAGAACTTCAAAGAGCTGTTTTACATGAATCAGATGTATTAATGTTTACCTTATTAGAATCAAGGCAAATTTAAATAACTTGTTTATTTTAAAACAAAAATTTCTAAACCTGTTACATGTTAATATAATTGACATATTTTTATGCCCAACAATGATCTTTTTCCAAGACAAAATTTTGTTTGTTTGTTTGTTTTTGGTACCGGGGATCAAACTCGGGTCTTTGCGCTTGCTCAGCAGACAGCGAAACCACTGAGCTAAATCCCCGCCCAAAATTTTTTTTTTTTCAAGACAAAATTATTGAAATACGTGGACTGTTGTACATTTTTCAATCTCTTCATTGTTGGGCTTAACACCTTCACGGCAGGGCTGTAATTCATGTCTGGCCACCAGGTGGCTCTAAACCACCAGTGTTATATGCATGACTGTCCCATCAGGCAGCATGGGACAGTCACTCAAGTGCCACCTGTGGTTCAAGCCACAGGCACATATTAATAGACTATGTTAGCATTTTGATATCTCCTGCGCAGTATATTTTGCACTTTATTGGGCTTATTTGGTTGAAATAAATGATAACATTTACCCTCCCACAGATACATGTTGGAGAAAAGAGGAACATTTCAGTGGCCTTTTCAGACTGTAGTTGCATAATGTCAGATCCAGTATGGAATCCAGCAGGCAGCAGTGAGCTCTGTCTTCCATGCATGAAAGTGCGTGAGCCTGTCCTGCACCCTGAGTGAGTCCCCAGCTTGTCCACGATGCAGTCACGCTGGGCACTAGCTACTCAGGTCTTGCAGATGTTGGTGGGTGTTGTCGTTAGACACAGTGTTGACAGTTCATGTTTATTAACCTCCCCACTCGTCTCACTAGAAAAGGCTTTAATATTGGGAAGCTGTCGAGCCTACAATGGCAGACAAGTTCTCCAAAATTCTGGTGTTCATCTTAAAGCCCACATTTTACAATTGGCAACGGATGTTGTCAGTTTCTTTCTCTTTAGAAATGACAGGTTCATTTTGCTCAGTTTTGAGGAAATGTCTGTCATATGCCTCCAACTCTGGATAGCCGTGGTTGCTATGAGTCATCCTTTGCCATTAAGTTAGTAATGTGTGCAGAAAGTGGGTCATCAACCTGCAGTGCAGTCAGTGCTTTCCCTGCATGCAGACCTCCTGGGTGTACCTACTGCACACTAGCTCTGGAGGACCTGTGCTTCAGTGTTGGATGAGCGTGTGCTCAGGTGGAGACGGAGCACACCCAGTGTCTTCACGGCCTTTCAAGGACACTCAGCAAAATCTGCTTCTTTCTGACACTGCACAGCAGCAGAGGACACAGTGGCCATTGGCAGGGCCAGTGTCCCTGCCTGTCACTAGCATTCCACCCACATGTCACCATCCTGATGGCACTGCCCTTGCGAACATCCCCACAGTAGGGTCAATCACTCCTGGAGATTTAGGGAAGTAGCTCTGATCTCTCAGACAGCCTGCAGGAGGCCTCGCAGGGCACAGGGTTCTACAGAGCACTCGGGAGAAACACCCGGTTCCAGGAGCTAGATGCAAAGGTAGGGCTGGAAGGAAATTTGGAAGGAGCTTTTAACCCAAGTCCTGGGCTAAGTCAGTGACAGTTGGTAAAAGCAGCTGACTCTTGGGGCTGGAGATTTAGCTCAGTGGTTCCACCTCCTGCCTGCCTCACAGGCTTAAGGTCCCAAATTCGATCCCTGGTACCAAAAAAAAAAACAAAAACAAAAAAAAAAAAACAAGTGCACCTGGCAGGAGGGGATTCAGCTTAGGGGTTCCACCACCTGCCTCGCAAGTGCAAGGAACCAAGTTCGATCCCTGGTACCAAACAAAAAAGCACCTGACGCTTGGAAATGATGTCATCTTGTCATATGCACACATTTATTGTGAAAGATATCTGGTTAAGATGTTCTCTTTTACTGTTTACTGTTTATTATAGTGCTGCTTACTGATTCACTGCAGTGCTCAGTACTTGCTTCATGGTGATTTTATCTGTGCCCTAGGAGTGGTGACAGTGACCGTTCTAGGGGGACAGATGATTAGCACATGAGTGATGTAAGTTAGAAGTCCAGTCTGGTTTTCACACACACACACGCACGCACGCACACAAGATGCATGATGTACTGCTGTCACCACATTTGCCACATGTAGCTACAAAACTCAGGTTAGCCAGGTTTCCAGCTTTCTTGAAGCCTTTTTCTTGAGTAACTGGCTGTGTCATGTCAGGAACAGTCACTAATGCAGTTTCACAAAACACTTTTCCACTTCTTTGTAAATACTGTATGTGATTGACTCACCTGTTTTGGAAAGGAGCATTGCCAAGTTTTGTTTTGTTTTGGTACGGGGGATCGAACTCTGGAACTTGCGCTTCCACGGCAGGCTCCGGAACCACTAAGCTAAATCCCCGGCCCAACATTGCCGAGTTTTAAAGTTTATTTTTCTAGCCATAATAGTGCTATTTCCTTAAACCTCTTAACTTCTAACATCAGTGGGGAATGGGAGAACCTTTTGCTTACAATTAAAAGTAAGCAAGCACGGGCCAGGGATTTAGCTCAGTGGCACCGTGGCTGCCTTGAAAGTGCAAGGTCCTGAGTTCGATCCCCAGTACCAAAAATAACAACAACAACAAAAAGTAAGTAAGCATCATAAATTCCATTTTCATCTAAAAAAGTTGGGTTTCTCATCTGTAATCGATATTCCATTGGCACTGTTAGCAAAAGCGACCAGGGCTCCTCAGTACAGCACAGTGTATTTGACTCTTAGCTTGAAAGCTTACACCCAGGGCTGGCACCAAATCCAGCTTAACAGGACCAGAAGGGTTAGGAAGGAAGGGGCCGGAAGGCCATCATGTTCTCAGCAGAGGGGCAAATTAAGCCTGATCAGCAGTCTGAGACTAAATGGGTAAGAGCCCTGCTTGGCACTTTGCTTTACTTTGGTGTCAGTCAGTTAGGTTAGCGGTGCAGAGGAGGGAACCCAGTGCCTTAGACATGCTGGGCAGGTACTCTACCACTGGATCTTATCCCCAGTCCTGATTTCTCTGTGGAATGAAATGTCTGATACTGTTATTAAAGATGTATGTACCAGAGTGTTCCTTCTGATGGCTTGTATAAGTTTGTACTGCTAATAAAGTGGCCAGCCTTTTGAGCTTTGCTGCTTCCAGAGAAAAAGGTCACAATCTTGCTCTGTTGATAAGCACCATTAAGCTTCATGAATTGAAAACAGCGTAGCAAACTTCAAATAGATTTCTAGGCTGAGTCTGCCCTGAAAGATGGCTCAGAAGCTGAACATGGTAATAGAAATGGTATTGCATGTGCACACATGACACAGAAATGACTAGAAGCAGGCGTAGTGGCGCACGCCTGTAATCCCAGCACTGGGAGGCTGAGGCAGGAGGATTGCTGCAAGTTTGATGCCAGCCTGGGCTATACAGTAAGACTTTATCTCAAAAGAAAAAAAGGAAGGAAAGAAAGATGGAACTATTGTCTTCCTTAGATGATGTCTCATGCAGAAGGACAGCAGAGAGACTTGGTGAGACGAATCGAATGCCTCCCCACCTCCGGCCTTCCCAGCTCCCTGGACCAGGACCTCCTGATGCTCAAAGCCACATCCATGGCCACAATGAACTGCTTGAACGACTGTTTCCACATCCTGCAGCTGCAGCACGCATCCCACCAGAAGGGTTCTCTGCCTCCAGGTATGCTGCCCACCAAAGGCAGATGCACATCGAGGACCGAACAGGGAAGGAACAGCACTTGTTCTTGTCCTAATCCTGGAAAATCTTTTTTTTTTTTTTAAAGTGAGGGGCCGGGGATTTAGCTCAGTAATTCTGCCGCCTGCCTCACAAGTGCAAGGTCCCAAGTTTCAATACCCAGTACCAAAAAAAAAAGTGAGGGGCTGGGGATTTAGCTCAGTGGTTTCACCACCTGCTGCGCAAGCACAAGGACCCGAGTTTGATCCCCGGTACCAAAAAAAAAAGAAAAAAGTGAGCCTCTGGTTTAAACCATCACACCGTTAAACCAGCTCTTCCTAAGTGTTATCTTTATTGGGTTTGGAATTTGATGTCTAACATCCTAGAGAACTCCATGCTAGAGAACTAACATCCTCAGAACTCCACAGGATAAAAACCGAACTCACACCCTGCAGCTCCTGTATTTCTGTTAAAATTGGGGAAATCACCATGAACCTGTCCATCTAGTTGACCAAAGTGGCAACGCTGGGTTCATTCCTGGAGTTTCTTCTTTTTATACAAATCTGTCACATGCTTCTCTGTGTACATCCAGCATCTGACTGGAAGTAACTGGGGACAGGGCATGCAGATGGCCCTTCTGGCATGCTACGTCAACTGGGCGTGGTATGTGACAGGTGGTCACTTAGTATATCACAGCGACTCATTGTTCTCTTTTCCAACGCACTTCCCTTACTTGTGAGCAAGACATTTTAGAGTCGGCAGGTCTCTTCCTGGGAAAACGTTTGTCGAAGTCCTAGCATGGACTCCATCCTCTCCTGTGCCTAAATTATTCATTTCTACCTAACAGACTGTTTTGATGGCAATTGTAGATACAGGTCAGGGCTCACAGAGAGTCCAGTAAGGTGTGTATTCCCCTGAATGAGCTGTTAGTCCTATGGGGTGCTAGGTTTGATCCCCAATACCACCACCAAAAAACAAAGTAAGTCATAATCCAGTTCCAGCAGAGAAAGAAACATGTGACTAATACCCACAAAATAATATATAGAAAGTGGTACTAGCTGTAGGAACAGAGTATGGAGAGTAGATGGGGGGGGTGAGCCCTTCTGAACACCAGTTGGTTTAGGAGTGACAGGTAGTTGAGCTAGAGGGCCCCTCAGTGAGACAGAGCCCAACTCTGACGTGTGAACATGGGTTGGTCCTTGTCGGAATTGGGCCCGGTAAGACTGATCCAAGCAGGATGTCTAGCACCCGCTGAGTGCTTTGGGATTTACCCGTCTGCTGAAATGGGAGTGTGATAATAGACTGAGGAAACTCCTGGCTCTTGCACATTTCTGCCATAGTAGCCAGAGCATCTTCATTATAGCACTCAATATCCCAGCTTCTGTGAAGCCTAGATCAGCCTCTGAAATCTAACGGAACATTTTCATTATTGATTAGGCCTGGAATCCACTTTGTTAAACTAGTTGAGAGTAACAAGAGACCTTTGAGTCATGCACGCAGGAGATGACGGGTCTCTAAATGTGACCGCTGTTTTTCACTAGGTCAGCCATTACTTATTCAGGAGCAGAGTCCTCAGTTTGAAAGTTACACGGGGCTTTCTTATGACTAAAAAGGCAAAGGAAGACATGCATTGCAGTTCTTAAATTAGATCCAGGTGGTTCTTCTGGTTAGAAAACTGCTGCTGGAAATAAAGTTCAGTCCCAAATCGAAGGAAATGTTACCATTTCACAGTCCTGGCCCCTCTGTCATTGTGCCTCCTAACTTAGCCTAAGCATACACCTTTTGTTACTGAGGGACATAGTTTAGACAGAGAGGACAGAAACGAGCTGGCTAGAACATACTTCAGGATGCACAGACCTGCCTGAGAAGTGAATTGGGTCCTGCTCAGGGTTGGTTTCTTTTAAATGAGATCTGATTTCGAGTTACAAGTTGCTCTGTGGTAAAATACCCAATCGTGGTGCTCATGCTAATGAGATCCAAGGGGCCGACTTTCAGGGCCCCTTGACAAGTTGAATTGCTTTTAGTCTGGTAAGCTCGAAACTAAATTGTTTAATAAAATCCACGTCTGCTGAACTTTCCAGATTATGAGCACGTTTCAGCAAGAGTTTTCTCTTACCTCATCAGGAACGACAATCGAGTGGTTAGAACCAAAGATCCCTCTCTCAAACCATTACAAAAATGGAGCCGAGCAGCCCTTCACGGCGGAGCAGGACAAAGCCGTGCCCGTTCCTGAGGAGCAGTCGGCTGCAGAGTCTGGGCTCATAGCGCTCATAGCAAGGGTAAGGAAATGGGGAAATGTGCTGTTGGTGTGCAGAACAGGCACCCCTGAGAGGGGCGGGTTCCTCTATGCTGTTAGGGCATCTGTCAACTCCGGCAGTGCTCGCTGAGGCCTGACATTATTCCACTTGAAACTGCATTTGCTTTGGGTAGACAGCTCTTGTATTAAACTTGAACATGCTGTATGCTCCGGGTTAAATCGCTAGCACTTTTCATGTTGATTTACTTCTGCTTGATAAACCTGTAATTTGAAAAACTGAAATTTGCATCCTTTCCTTTTTCCTAGGCAAAAAATACCTGACAGGATTTTTATGTAATAATTTATCTCATATTTCTTATTCAATTATCTTAATAGTGTTTACTATATGTTTACCATTACATTTATAAGCTCAAACAAGCTTTTTCATAGTAAGCACTTTACCAAACCAGTTGTTTTACAGTATTAGCCTGCTTAAAATAGCACGATCTCAGGGTTTAATATTTTTATAAAGTATTATTATACATTTCTGAGAAGCTAAAAAGAATGTTTACTTGTACATTTACCAGAGTTACAAATCATATTTATTTATTTATTTAGGTGCCAGGGATCGAACCTAGGACCTTGCACTTGCGAGGCAGGCACGGCGCCACCGAGCTAAATCCCCAGCCAAATCATACTAGTTTTTTGTCCTTTGGGTTCATATTTGTTATTTCTTTGGCCACTATAATTCCATAGGTAGTTTTAAGACATTTTACTTGATACTCTCATAAGTATTTTTCTGTGATGTTCTGCCCTATATAATTAAAGTTTAAAGGTTGAAACAGGCTATCAAGTTAATGTCGCTATTGGTGAATATATAGTTTGCTTTTTATTTATTATTATAAATAGCACTGTACAGTATTATCTCACTTACTGTTTTCCCCCTCCCCTGTCTTCGGATTATTTCTTAGATTTAGGTTAAACCCCAGCTGGAATTGCTGAGCCAAGAGCAATGCATGGTCTGTGATTACATACATATTAGTCAGTGACTTCCTGAGAGAAGCTGTGACACAGGGACTCCAGCTGGCAAGGTTTTGACCTGACGCTGATGGGGAGCTGGACTGGGCCGAGAAGTAGGACAGACAAAGTGTGATGAAACACTTCCTGCTCTGCAGCTTTCTTATTAGCTCATTTGCAGAATCAAACAGTTAATGGATGTGTACATGACAGGTACAGCGTTAGGATTTAGAGGCCAGAGGTCTTGTCTGGAAGCAACTGCATCTACCTGGAGTGCACACGCACACAGACACGTACAAGCAGTGGTGTTTGCCTCAGCTGGTCCAATGCTGGGAGATGAGCATTCAGAGAAAGGAGACACTGAGCAGGGTGGATGGGCCATATGGTGGGGACAAAGTGGGACTGGAGTTAGGCTTTGAAAGGAGACAGGATTTGAAGAGAGGAAGAGAGAGAACCTCAGATTGGAGGAACAGCATAGGCTGGGGCGCTGCAGCACATGTGTTTATCATCTGATGTCTGCAAACTCAAGATGTGTTTTTTAGTTACATGTGGCCCAGTAATGAGCACTTTTAGCTCCAGTTTCCTCATCTGTAAAGCCAGGGTGATGATACCTGTAAGATTTGGTGAGGGGAAATGAATGTGGCAGAGCACCTGGCTTATGGGAAAGGACTTCATATTCATGTTGCGGCGTGGTATAAACTATATTCCTGAAGAGCATAACAGTCATGCGAGGTTGAGTCTTGGTGAGATACAGAAAAGAGGGCCAGGAGCACAGGGAAGAATGGGTGTACAGAGATGACTGGGATATGATATGGTATGGAATTAAGTATTCTAGAAGGCTATTAAGGAAGCAGAAATGAAGACCCATGAATAGCCAATATTCATTTCAAATAAAGTCATTTGGACTTGGGATTGGGTATAGGGTTGGATCAAAGACAACTCCAGGTTTTGGGGCTTGAATGACAAGATGGGCTTGTCACTTAAATGACAGATAGACATCCACAATGGGGATTTTTTTTTTTGGTACCGGGGATTGAATTCGGGACTTTGCACTTGCGAGGCTGGCGCCAGAACCACTGAGCTAAATCCCTGGCCCCACAATCTGGGTTTTTGCAAGGTTGAAAAGATGAGGGTTTTTTTCATTTTTCTTGTGCTAAGAGGATTGAACCCAGGGCTGTGCACTGAGCTCCATTTGGGCCTTTTTATTTTGAGACAGGGTCTCACTATGTTGCCCAGGCTGGGTTTGAACTCGTAATCCTCCTGCCTCAGCCTCCTAGAGTGCTGAGGTTACAGGTGTGGGCCACCCTGCCCAGCTCTAACCTTTCTTATTTTGAGACAGGGTCTGCTGAGTTGCCCAGGCTGCCTTCAAATTCATGATGCTCCTGCCTCAGCCTCCCCAGTCGCTAGGTTTAAAGGCATATGCCACTGTGACTGAAATAAAACTGTTCTTTTAAAGAGCTTACTACCAGGTTATGTTTTATTTCTTTAGCACAATATTTTCATTGGAGGAAGTTCAAATCATAAACTAGAGAGTTAAAGCTGCTTATTTGTCTTTCTGTCCACCCTTCCTTCCTTCCTTCCTTCCTTCCTTCCTTCCTTCCTTCCTTCCTTCCTGTGCTAGGGATTGAATCCAGGGCTTTGCACATGTAAGCGTGTACTCTGCCATCGAACTGCACCCCAGCCTCCAAAGTTGTGTTCACGTTATTCATGGCCTAGGTTCTAACCTCAAATGTCATGTTAACTTTTCAGAGGACTGGAGAACAGTATTTAATCAAGACCTAGCAGATTTCTTCTCCTGGGTCTCACATAGTGGTATTTGGTCCCCGTGTAGAGAGGAGGACCATGAGCTTGTCTCCTGTGTATCATGGATCACATTGTAAGTTACTGCTGCTGTACTGCTCACGTACTTAGGTACATGACAGCACATACTTCCCGACAGACTAGCCGTGGAGAAGGAGGATTCACAAAGCCTTTGGGTCTCTCCTTAAGGGCATACAAGCAGAAGGCGTTTTGATATTTGCAAATAGTGACTGTGTGGGGTTTTGTTTGTTTGTTTGAGGGTTTTGTTTTGCGTTTGAGGAAACTGAACCCAGGGCCTCTCACACAATGTACTACTGAGCTGCATTCCCGGCCTGTTTTTGAGACAGGGTCTTTCTAGGCTCCACAACTGGCCATAAACTTGTCGTCCTCCTGCCTCAGCCTCCTAAAGGGAGAGAGATGTGCACCACCACACCCAGCTGATCTCTGTGACCTTAACATAAGGAAATAAACGTGACTGCTAATTGATCTCTCAGAGTACATGTTGGTACAGACTTCCTGGACGGAAGGTGGTAGAAACAGAGAAAGATGAAGGCAAAAGGATGGTCAGAGACTGGCTGTCCTTTTACCCTGTCACTGTGCGTTATGTTTTGGTTTCACATTTTGAGAAGATTGAGTTCTTGATCTTGGGTAGGATCCGTTTTCTGTGTCTAGCCGGATAGAACTGATGGGTTTCTTGTCACTAGTGGGAGGGAAAAATCCGAGGCAGAGACACTAACAAGATCCTTTCCTTTTAGAAATCCTTGTTACTTAAAATCTAATGAAATACCAAAAGAGGACGACTGTCTTAGTTACTTTTCTTGTTGCTGAGAAAAGATAGCCAACACCCAGAGTTAAAGGAGGAAAGGTTTATCTGGCTCACAGTTTGTAGAGGTTTCAGTCCATAGTCAGCTGGCTCCAACATAGGGTGGCATGGCAGGGGGGCATCGCAGAGGAGAATAGTTCACGGCAGGCAGAAGGCAGCAAGTGACAAACAGCAAATAGTGACCCTCTTTCTGTCCCCTGTTCTCTATCCAGGCTACCCGCAGGGCAAGCAGCACTCACACCTAGAGTGGGGCAGCCTTAATCCTAGCATCGCACCATGAATCGATCCCAGCAAAACATCCTTGATCCCAGGAGCACACACTGTAGATCCAGCCTCCCCCGAAAACCCCACCTATGACCCCATGAGGCTTAGGGGGACAATGCAACCAACACAAGCCAAACAACATCCTCGTAAAACTGTCTTACTCGGAGATGCTGACAAGGATCCCCTGAGAAAGGGGACACTTCCCATGAAGACCTGGCCAGGGACAGCTGATGGGATCTGTAGAATCTTGGGATATGAAACTGTTATTTGTTTAAATAAAAGTAGGGCCGGGGATGTAGCTCAGCGGCGCTGCGCCTGCCTGGCAAGCACAAGGTCCTGAGTTCAATTCCTAGTACCAAAAAATTAATAGATAAAAGTAAATATAGAATTGTCTCTCTTACCCAGTCACTTGGAGCTAGAACTCTGCTGAGATAAAAGCACATCTTCAGCATCCACTTCTCCATCAGTAGTATTATTGATAGTCTCAGGAACCAAGGGGCTGGCAGAGAACTTGTGGCATTCTAAGCACTCAGGGGCAACTCCACATTTCGTACACCTGCCCAGATCTGCTTCGCCCACATGCCCACGTGCCGGGCCAGCCCCATAGGTAGCCCTTGCCTGCCCTGCACAAAGCCCTGGGTCAGTCCCCATCAAAACAGAGAGAGCACTAAAACGCACTTCACAGGAGTTAGGCTTGACATGCATGCCGCTGCCTCTAGAATTTCTTCTTCTCTTGGTAGCCGAAAAAGAGGCAGATTCTCATTCTCAGAACTCTGCCGTTATAGGCAGTGGTGGAGTCCCTGGTGGGTGGTCGGAGCATGGGATTCTGATGACTTTCTTCAGATGAGAAACGGTATTTAAAAAAGACAATAAATGTATCTTATATGTGGTATAGGTGGCAAACCCACAGTATTTTCAATACCAGAAATAATAAGGTCTTTGAAGGAAACATACCCATGTGGCAGTGACGGGAGCGATGTTTTCAGGAAGGATTCTGCTCATACTCATTTAGGCCCAGTGTAAGTGTCCTCCAGTCTGATGTGAATCCTTTTATCTGAATGAGCATCAATACGCTTTATAACCTGACCTCTGCCTGCCTTCAGGAGCCTGAGGACATAAACTCGGATGAGGAAGTGGAGGACACCTGCGATGACAAAGAGGACGACCTGGGGGCCGTGGAGGAGCAGCGCAGCGTCATCCTGCACCTCCTGTCCCAGCTCAAGCTGGGCATGGACCTGACACGGGTATGTGGGGGACACACTGGCTGTGGGGGCCATTGGGAAGAGCCACACCTGGAGTTGTCCTGGGTCAGGCTTTCGTGTACACCACTGAATCTGTCTCTGCCTCTGCCTCTCTCTCTGCCTCTCTCTCTCTCTCTCTCTCTCTCTCTCTCTCTCTCTCTGTCTCTCTCTCGTGATACTGAGGCCTCTTAAATGCTCAGCAAGTACTCTAGCACTGGCTACATTCCTGTACTTTTTTAAAATTCATTTTGAAGCCAGGTGTAGTAGCCCAGCCCTCAGGAGACTGAGACAGGAGGATCACTGAGTTCGAGGCCAGCCTGAAATACACAGTGAGACTCTGTCTCAAAGAAACAAACAAAATTATTTTGAGACAGTCTCATTAAGATGCATAGGCTGAGGGCCGGGGATTTAGCTCAGTGGTTTCACCACCTGCTATGCAACCACAAGGACCCGAGTTCGATCCCCAGTACCCAAAAAAAAAAAAAAAAAAAGATGCATAGGCTGGCCTTCAAGTTGTGATCCTCCTGCCTCAGCCTCCTGAGTTGCTAGAATTCCAGGCCTGAGTTATAATCCCTGGTTTGGTGTTCTAATGCTTCCCTTCCCCCTCCCCACTACCCTCCCTCTCCCCCAACACTGGGGATTGAATCTGGGCCTCATACTTCTTATTTTTGTAAGACATCTATGGTTTTCTTGTACAGCAGGGAGTCTCATGGCAAGTAAAGACCTGCAGTCTTCCTGTTTCTGTAAACCTTCAAGCATCCCATTGATGTAGCACAAGTCTGAGGAGAAGGATATAATCCTACAAAACCGTACAAAGCTTTGAATTTTGCATTGCTCTGAAGGCCCACGTATGGACAGTACATTTGGGATGTATCCTGACTTTGGCTGTGCAGGGCCAGACAGTAAATATTTTTAGCAGTCTGGCCATCGATGTGTGTAGCAGCTGCTCAGTTCTGCCACAGAGGATCTGCTGATGGTCAGGACTGTGGTCCCGATAAACTTTATTATAAAACCAAAGCTGGCTGTGATGGTCCACACTGTAATCCCAGCTACTCAAGAGGCCGAGGCAGGAGGATCTCAAATTCAAAGCCAGCCTAGGTATCTTAGCAAGACCCTGTCTCAAATATTTTATGGTCCCTGGAATCAAACTCAGGTCCTTGCACTTACGTGGCAGGCAGCAGAACCACTGAGCTATATCCCCAGCCCCTCAAAATAAAAGTTTAAAAAAAGGGCTGAGGATGTAGCTTAGTGGTAGAGTGCTCGTGTGTCGTGTGCAAAGCCCTGGGTTCAGTCTCCAGCACCACACAGACAAGAGACCAGGAGACAGGAGTAGGGAGTTCAGTGTAGAGCGTCTGCTTAGTGTGCACAAGGCCTTGGGTTCAGGGCCCAGCCCCACAAGACAGACAGACAAGAGGCCATGTCTGGGCCAGGCACCACAGTCTATAGGCTCAGAGTCCACCATCTCCCTACCATAAAAGTGCGAGCTTTGGTACATTCACATCATGATCACCTGTAAAACTTGTTAGAAACGCAGAATCCCGGTCAGCAATCCCAGACTTCACAGACCAGAGTGGCAGTTTAGTCAGGTTCCCGGGTGGTTTCCACATACCTCAAAGTGTGAGAAGCCCTCCTTGGTTGTTTACTTTAGGCCAGTCTTCTCTGGTCCCAACTTACCCAATTTGGCAGCCCTTCATTTGTTTCAGCAATTAGTTCATGACACCATTTTAAAAAGCTAATCAGGGTGCCAGCCTCACAAGTGCAAGGTCCCCAGTTTGATCCCCGATACCAAAAAAAAGCCAATCAAGGGCCAGGGATGTATCTCAGTGGTGCCGTCCCTGCCTGGCAAGCACAAGGCCCTGAGTTCCATTCCTGGTAAGGAAAAAAAAAGCTAATTAGGCTCAGAACCTGTGTTTGTCAAATTTTGATTACTGTGGGATTATTTTTATTACTACTAACATGATTTTGCGTTAATATGGAATTTCAAAATGGACATCAGGAGGGGTGGTTCAAATCAGGTCTCTGATGCCACTGAAAGTAGTGAGTGTGGCATTGTTTCCAGGGAATTGTTCACCTGCAAATGCTACTTAAATAGAAAGCAGCTTGCATTTAGGGTTCACCTTAAAGCTCTTAAGTCAAAAACAGGAAGAGATGCCTCGCAAGTGCAAGGTCCTGAGTTCAATTCCCAGTACCGCCCCAAAAAAATAAATAGAGATGGAGGGAAGGGAAGGGAAGGGGACGTAAAAAGAATTAAGATGTGTTAGGTACCTGTACCATGCTTAGGTACATGTTAGGTGCATGTACATCTACTCCTCACCATGATGTAAACATTATGTACTGCCACCATGGACTAATAAAAAGTAAATTTTAGTTGCTGGGGATTTATTTAGCTCAGTGGTTCCAGCGCCTGCTTCACAAGCGCAAGGTCCCGAGTTCAATCCCCGATACCAAAAATAAATAAATAAATAAGTAAGTAAGTAAATAAATTTTAAGTCAGAGGTGCAATAAGTCCCCGACATGTGAATTAATTCCATTCCAAGAGAATTGTTCCTAAGTTGGATTCATCTGTAAGCCAACAAAGTGAGTTTTGTTTTTTGGTACCGGGATCGAACTCGGGTCATTGTGCTTGTGCAGCAGGTGGCGAAACCACTGAGCTAAATCCCCAGCCCCCAAAGTGAGTTTTATAATAGTACACCTGTGAAAGTTTGCAACTCGAATGTTCATAAGTCGGGGACTTGCTGTAGTGTGTCCCTATAGTGCCAGCACTCCAGAGGCTGAGGCATGAACATCGCCGAGTTCAAGGCCAGTCTGCACTAAGTGAGACCTTGTCTCCAAAAAACTGAAGAAAAAAATAAAGTCAAAATCCTTTCTTTTTTACGTAGACTTATGCTTAACAGGAGGTTTTAAAAGAGAATAAATTGGGCCAGGGATTTAGCTAAGCAGTTCTGCCGCCTGCCTCACAAGCACAAGGTCCCCAGTTTGATCCCTGGTACAAAGATAAATAAATAAATGAATGAATGAATGAATGAATGAATGAGAATAAATTCCATTGGAGACGTTTTAGGAGTAAGAAAACTCATTGATCTTTCATTTAGCCCCAGTACTTCAGCTGCGTGTTGTTCTGTTCAAGAAGTGTTTTCATGACTGGTTCAGGAAGACCTTTGTTAACTGTGAAACTGGTTAAAGAGACTGGTCCTACGAGGGTTGCTTGGTAGGAGTCGGGATGGTGATTGTTGTCCTAGTCTAGGAGGCATAAAAGTGGCCTTGAGGCTGACGAGCCGAAAGCTCGTTGAAGAGAACATTCTAGAATCGAGTGAAGCCCTCTGTCACACAGATAACTGCGTAATACTCTTCCCCCACGTTTGTGCCTTGTCAGTGAAAACTTATGTTACATCAACCAGCCCAAATTGTGAACACTCACGTACCGTTTAACTGATAGTACGTAAGTCCCCTGTGCCACAGCCGCAGGGACACCAGTCTGCTCTCTGACAGTCACACTGGGCAGGCGACATCCGCTGGGCCCGCTCCTACCCCAGGCACCAAGTGGTGGGTGCAAAGGACCGAGCCTCCACACCCTGAAGAAGTCGTGTCTCTTTTCCCCACCGTTCCTTTTTGGTCCTTTTTAAATAATACGAAATTAGTATCGGTAAACGCTTCATAGAAAAATTTCAAGTAGAAAAAAGCTCACCTCCCTTGGTTGCCCCCTCCAGACATACACAGCAGCGCCTGCAGGAGCCCCTTCCCATCTTGGTCACAGGCAGCCTGGCCTCCTCCTCCGTGACCTGCACTGAGCACACACAGGCTGAGGCGGCTCCCAGACACATTCCGAGGGCGATGACAGCGTCCCTGCTGCCTTTTCCAGTCAGCTCTGTCTCAGCCTGTCTCCAAGCCCCTGCGGTGCAGGTGGCTGCTCACTTGACTTGGGTTCGTCATCCTTCCTTTTCATGACAGGTTTACCCCTTATGTTTGTGCCCGTAAACTTGTGATTTAGTGTAGGGAAAAGTAAGCACCAACGCAGGCCCAGTTGGCGCCACACAGGGGCTGCTGCGCTGACCATCTGGGCCTCGGCCTCCCCTCCTTCTGTAGCATCCCAAGGGCTTAGAGGGAGAAGGCGGCAGAGGAGGCCGTGAAACATGGGTCTGTCCCAGCCTGAGGGAATGTGGCTGGGTGACTAGGCTGCTGGCCTCCCCCTGCTCCTGAGAGACTGAAGCCAAAATGCGCCTGGGTGAGCCCTGAGGGTCCTCAGCCCAGCTCAGCAGAGCCCGCCCTCAGCAGCAGATGTCGTGAGCCAGGGCCACACAGCTGAGGCCGAGTCTCCTGGCCTCCATCCCAGCTGAAAGGGTGCTGGTGGCACAGGGCGGCCACGGTCCTTGCTGTGCCCATCCCTGCTGGAAGGAGCCAAACCCTGACCAGAATGGACTCCTATGGGGCCTCCTGCCCAAAGGAAACCGGGACAAGGCGGGGTCAGCGTGAGCCTGGTAGCGTCCCGGGGTTGCCCATAGCTGCAGTCTCAGAAGAGCATGACTCCTGCCGGAAGCCTCACAGCTCTCCCCCACGGTCACACACCATCCTGGGCTCGTGGGTTCCACACACTGCAGCCTGTAGCTCAGTCAGTGCTCCTGTGCACCAGGGCTCCCTTCCCCTTTCTGATCCCCTTAACCGGTCCCATCCTGCGGTGGTCTCCCTGTGTGGTAACACACTTGAGGCTCTATGGGAAGCAGATGTGCATCTGAAACGCCCATTTGCCCTCGGGTCTGATTGCTAGTTTGGATAGAACTTGTCACTAGTTTCCCTTCAGGGTTTTGCTCCTTGCTACAGACTTCTGTCGAAAAGACTCAAGTCTCTTGTGACTTGTTTTTTTCTCTGAAACTATTTGGAATCCTCTCTCTGTCATATCTTGGGGTAGTGATATATCTTTTTTTGGAGAGGGGGTGTAGTGATATATCTTGATATAGGTTTCTATTTGTTGTGGGCTCTTCTTGGCAGGATTTTTCATTGTGACAACTCAGATGTTTTTCTGGTGAGAGGTCTCATTGTATAGGGCAGGCTGGCCTTGAATTTATAATCCTCCTGCTTCAGCCTCCTGAGTGCTGGAATTCCAGGCACGTGTCACCACACCCCACTAAAAAATATGGATCGTTTTAATTATTATTTTACACTCCTTTTCTTTGTTCATATTATTTCTTTTCTTTAGGCTGGATTCTTGGATAATTACCAGGCTAAATGAGTATGAACATTAAACCTCTTGAAAAAATATTGCCAGTTTTCTCTTTCGAAGAGTTGAACTGTTTTGCAGGGCCTCTCCAATTCTGCTTCAAAATATTTTCTGTCCTTCCCAGCTTTAGGTGTCAAAAGTTAGCTGAAAGTCAGAGTTTAGGCTTTGGCATGTCATCGCTCTGCGTTCTCGGGGAACAGCATTTTCTGCCTCTTCTCATAGTTTGGTGAGCCGCCCACAGTTTATTTTTTAAGGTGAGATAGGAGGAGACGCACCTCACACTTACTCTGGACTTTAGTACTATCCTCCTGATGACACATATCCAGCCTGGAAGCTTGAAGCTTCTGCTATTCTTTCTGACCCTCTTCATCTCCTGAATTTGCATTTAATTATAACCACGGACTAGGCTCTAGTTTCCTTTTATGTCTATTTTCTACTGGGAGCAAATACTTCTCTTTGCCTCCCCTCCCCCTCTCCCTCTCATTTTTGAGATGGTTCAGCCGGACCTCGAACTCACTATATAGTCCAGGCTGGCCTTGAACTCACACAGAGATCCTCCGCCTCAGCCTCCCGAGTGCTCTGATTACAAGCGTGCGCCACCATTCCTGGCTGTCCCTTTTTTAAAAAATACCCACCTAGAAGGCAGTTCTTTCAGGGTGGGTAGTGTGACCGCCTGTGGCCGCCTGTCTTGCCCCAGGTGGTGCTCCCCACATTCATCCTGGAGAAGCGTTCCCTGCTGGAGATGTACGCAGACTTCATGTCACACCCGGACCTATTCATAGCCATCACGAGCGGCGCCTCAGCCGAGGACCGGATGGTCCGCTTCGTGGAGTACTACCTGACCTCGTTCCACGAGGGCCGCAAGGGAGCCACCGCCAAGAAGCCGTACAACCCCATCCTCGGGGAGACCTTCCACTGCTCCTGGTGGGTGCCCAAGAGCAGCCCCGGGGCCCCAACGGGCAACGCACCCAACCCTGCGCCCGAGGAGTCCGCGAGCCCGGCCGCTGACTGCTACACCGTGCGCTTCGTGGCCGAGCAGGTCTCCCATCACCCGCCCGTGTCCGGCTTCTACGCGGAGTGCGCAGAGCGGAGGATGTGCGTGAGCGCACACGTGTGGACCAAGAGCAAGTTCCTGGGCATGTCCATTGGCGTGACCATGGTGGGCGAGGGTGAGTGCGCGTGCGCAGGTTCGGAGGGAGGATTGCGACGTGGGTGCTCTGTGTCCCAGTCACCATGATGGGCGGAGAGTGTGTATATAAAATACTCAGCATCAAAAAAGTGTAAGGGGAAATAAAGGCATCTAATCCCTTCATGAAGAAAGATAATTTTAGTTTCTGTCTTTTAGTTTTTCCATGTATATGCTCATACTTTTAGCTTTACAAAATTAGGATACATGCTGTATGTGTAGTTTAGTGCACCAGGTTTTTTATACTAAATATATTCATTTTTTCATATTGATTTTAATAGCCATGTAATATTGTGTGAAATGAGTTTCCCATCAGTCATTAAATCATTTTTTGTTTGGATACTGAAATTGTTTCCAGATTTTCATTATTACAAAAATCACAGCAAGGGCCGGGGATTTAGCTCAGTGGTTCCGCCGCCTGCCTCGAAAGCACGAGGTCCCGAGTTCGATCCCTGGTACCAAAAAAAAAAAAAAAAATCACAGCAAGAAATGTCTTCTAACCAGTCATGGTGGTGCACGCCTATAATTCTAGTACACAGAAGACTGAGGCAGTAGGATCTCAGGGAGTTAAGAGGCCAGCCTGGGCTACATAATGGCTTCCAGGCCATCCTGAACTGCATAGTGAGACCAGTCTTAAGAAACAAACAAGAAGAAATGTCTTCTAGATACATCTTTATTTCTATCTCTTATAATTCTTTAGCAGCTATTCATGAATATTTTAAAAATATATTGCCAAATTTTGCTTGTCTTTCATCAAAAGGTATGAAAAAATAATTTGAAGGATTATAGTGGGTTTTGGCCAAGAATTCGAAATGAAAACTCCACAAAAACCATTAAAGATTTAATGAAAATATAATGACCAGAAAAAACTGGCATTTTAACTTTAAAGGAAAACTTGTGAAAAGATTAATTTTTCAGAACATAAACTTACAATATAAGCATGATGTAGCTCAGCCTGTAACTTAATGCTTTGAAATTGTTGCTGCAGCCAGGAAGAAATTATTTTATCCCTATTTTCAGTTTTCCCCATTTTTGAGTTCTGTTATAACATGTCTTGCTAATTTCCAAACATATTTTCAAGTTAATTACAATTTACAGCATTAGAAAGTACTCATGTTTTATTAGTTTAAAAACGTTTGCCCCTTTCAGATGGAAGCTCTATAACATCATAGGTCAGTTTATTTTATAAATGAAAAATCTGCCATCTAGCAGTGGCCAGACGTGTCTAGGTCATAAAGGCTGAGGCCTGTCAGGTTTGAAACCTCATCCTGTGATACTCTGTCCCCAAGGACATTGGCTTCATAGGAGGGAAAGAATCAGAGCGCGGTTGCTTCTCCCACTTCTGGGAAAGGAATTAGGAAATGAAAGACTTTGGATTCCCCGTGCTTTAGTCATGAACCATATAGTAGATAGGTTTTTATTATCCAGGTGCTATTGTATATTCATGCATTTCACTTTGGAAATTAAATTGCCATTGGTTACCCTCAGCAGGAAGTAAATAAAATAAAGAAATGGAAATTATGACTATTCATCTTGCTCCTGCTAGGTGTTTGGTAATAGGAAGAAATGCAACTTAATTGTTAGATAAATGAGATTTCAGAATACTGAATCTCAATTATGCGAAACTGGTGGTAGGGCAGGGGATTTTTAGCTCAGCGGTTCCGCCGCCTGCCCCAAAAGCGCAAGGATCCAAGTTTGATCCCCGGTACCAAAAAAAAATCAAAACTTGTTGTATGTCTCTTCAGATTTTAATACCCAGAAAGAAAAGTCCAGGGCCGGGGATTTAGCTCAGTGGTTTTGCCGCCTGCTGCGCAAGCGCAAGGACCTGAGTTCAATCCCCAGTACCAAAAAAATAATAAAAGTCCATAAACCCAGTTTATAAGATATTTTTACAAAAGTGATAAAAACGCAGTCTTTTTCAACTTGGAGTTAGCAGTTGTTACTAACTCGCCTTTCTCCTGACAGCTCACATTGCGGTGCAGTGTATTCTACCCAGGACTGCTCTGCTCGGGAACTGGTGCCGTTCTGGGTTTATCACTGCCCTCTGGAGCACTGCTAGCAGCATCTGATGATGCTCACTCACTGTGGGCTACTCTAGAATCTCTCTTTGTCTCTGCTTAGCCTGAAAATTAACTGTTAAAGTAGTTTCCATGGCTCTTGCTCTTATTGTGAACATTAAGAAGAGGATTTAGGCCAGGGATTTAGCTCAGTGGTTCTGCCGCCTGCCCCACAAGTGCAAGGACCCAAGTTCGATCCCCGGTACCAAAAAAAAAGAGGATTTAGAGCACGTTTGGGGCCTGGGGGCCAGGCGCTGTAGGAGCTGAGACTAGACGTACACATCCAGTTCAGTATTTGGTTGGTAATGTAGCTTGAGTGTCCTTGGTGTCTCCTAATTATCTCATGTTGATCAGTTACTCATTAAGGTAACCCCTTGTGTGTGTCTTGAAATCATCTTTATTTATTTTTTCCTCGCAGTACCGGGGATCAAACTCAGGACCTAGCACTTGCCAGGCAGGTGGCACCACTGAGCTACATCCCTGGCCCACTGAAATCATCTTTAAACAGCATCATTTAATATGGAACAAGCCCCATTAGAATAATATTGTCTGAAACCATCACTTAACACCTCGTTTAGGTTCACCCTAAATTTTTTTTTTTTTTTTTGGTACCGGGGATCAAACTTGGGTCCTTGTGCTTGTGCAGCAGGCGGCGAAACCACTGAGCTAAATCCCCAGCCCCACTCTAAATATTTTAACAGAATTTATTATGACCATAGTTTTTTGTTGTTTTTTTTTGTACCAGGGATCAAACTCAAGACCTTGCGCTTGCACGGCAGGCGCCGGGACCACTGAGCTAAATCCCCAGCCCATGACCATAGTTTTTATGATAGAATTACTTTTTCTTCTTTAACATGCATACACTAGAATGAGGAGCATTTCCCTCCGTGGTGAGTTAAGTCCTCTGCCCTGCTGAGTGGCTGTCTGGTTTTGGGGACTGCTGACCAGGTTACTGGCCCTGGCTGCTGACCTAGTCTACCGTGATCCAGTGCAGCAAGGTCCTAAGTACCGCCTCAAGCTTTATTTTCTTGTTGGGTACATTAGAGAAAGCCCAGACTGTTCCCCCAGACATCGCCTGGCCCATGAGCTCCGAAGTCATCGTCAGGTCACAGTGAAAGTAATTCTGGTTCATTGTCACCAGGAAACGTGTCACATACAATTATAATAAAGTCACTGTCACCCACAGTTAAATGGAGATTAAATGAAATAATGATGTTTATGCTAGACAGGAAAAAATCAGGGGGTGTGTGTGTGTGTGTGTCCCTCCCTATTTGTTTAAAAACATGCTGACCTCCCATCTTGCTCTCAGGGGTCCTCAGCCTGCTGGAGCACGGTGAGGAGTACACCTTCTCTCTGCCCTGCGCATATGCCCGCTCCATCCTCACTGTGCCCTGGGTGGAGCTGGGCGGCAAGGTTGGCGTGAGCTGTGCGAAGACCGGGTACTCGGCCAGCATCACCTTCCACACCAAGCCCTTCTACGGCGGCAAACTGCACCGGTGAGGCTTGGGGAGCTCGGCCGCGGGCTTCCCCACCAACCCCTTGTCATCACTCCTAGTTTCCTGCTGCTTTGTTTTATGCGATGAGATTTATTCATGTTTGCATTTTGCCACATATGTTTTGTCTCTCAAGAGGTGTTCTGGAAATAATGACCGAGATGGATTTCTTCATTTTGTCTGAGGGTTATTCCTTGGCAGTACTGGGGCCTTGCACGTGCCAGCCATGCCCTCTGCCACTGAGCTGCATCCCCTGGGTGTTTTTTTGTTTTTGTTTTGGTTTTTTTTGGTACCGGGGATCGGACTCTGGTCCTTGCACTTGCACAGCAGGCAGCGAAACCACTGAGCTAAATCCTCGGCCCCCCTGGGTTTTAAAGTAGTTGCATTATTAACATGTCAGCTCTTGTCATATCTTTCTGATGAAGTCGCTAACAGCACATACAAGAGAATTTCTAACCAAGGCATATGCAGTCTCTGCCCGATTTTGCCTTGAAGAGAGTTCGGATTTGGATCCAGACCTTAATGGAGGCAGCTTTTGCTACCAACTCAAATGAAAAGTTCTCTAATCCAAAAAAAAAAAATAGATTCTAATCCAAAGAAACGCAGCATGCTGGCACACGCCTGTGATCCCAGTTCTCAGGAGGCTGAGACAGGAAAATCGCCGCAAGTTGCAGGCCAGCTGGGACTACATGGTAAAACCCTGTCTCAAAAAAAACAAAAAAAAAGTCCCAGAGGCTCAGTGGGAGAAGCCAGCACCTCTGGGCACCAGCAGTGAAGCAAGGCAGCTTCTCTGATTTCACCCCGGAGCCGGCCAGTTCTTACTTCCGGCCCTGGCTCGTTAGTCTCCGAGGCATTTGCCCAGGTCCCCGGATGACAAGAGGACCAGTTTGCAGTGTGGTGTCAGGAGGACACTGGCTCTTTCCACAACCCCAGATGTCTATTCTGACTGTCCTTGAAAGTGCAGGGGAAGTTTTGCTACAAACTTTCTATTGGAAAATAGCATATATGCAGAAATATACACATTGATAAATGTTCACAAAGTAAAAATTTGAGCACCTTGGTCTGGATGTGGTACCTCCCAGCACCTCCCAGCTCCCTCGTGCTGGTCACAGTTCCATCCGCCCAGGTTACCTTCCCACACCCCTCCCAGTGCGGGTGACCACTGGCCTGGTATCTCACGCTGTCAGTTTTGCCCATTTTCAGTCTCTCCTTATAAAGGACTTCACACACTGTTCTCTTTCATGTCCAACTTCTTTTGCTTGATGTTACATTTTGAGATTCGCCCATGTATATTTGCAGTTTTTCCTGTTATTGAAGATCATAGTCCACTGGGTGATTGTGCCACAATTCATTCATTCATTCTCATGTGTAGCTTTCAACTTTTCTTTTTTTTTTTTTTGGTACCAGGATCAAACTCTGGACCTTGCGCTTGCGGGGCAGGCACCAGAACCACTGAGCTAAATCCCCGGCCCCCGCTTTCAACTTTTGATGATTGCATACAGTGTGACTGGACCATTAGTTGGTGACTGTATTATGGGCTTCTGTCGGGTAGATCCCTAGGCGTGGGGTTTCTCAGCTGCTGAACCTCATCAGAGGCTGCCAAACCGCTTTAATGGCTAAATCAGAATATACCTTCAGTGGTCTCTGAGGCTGTGAATTGCATGTGGCGGCGTTACTTCCTTACTCCAAGACTGGCATTCAACAGTCCTGAAAAGTGGAGAGAAAGCTTATTTAGCTCTGAGGCACTGAATGAGCCTTTAAAAATAAGGATTTCAAAACACTGAAGCAAAGAGTATTTCTTAAAATAAAGACCATCTAAAAATAAAAGACCTGAGTCTAAAGATGGCAGCCTCTGTAGCAAGGGGTGCCCTGGCACTGCGTACGAATTTTACTCGGCAGGTTGCTTTTGTCCGGAAAATTCCTTGGACTGCAACAGCCAATGAGCTGAAAAAACACTTTGCTCAGTTTGGCCATATACGAAAGTGCATTCTTCCTTTTGATAAAGAGACTGGCTTTCATAAAGGTATATGTTGGATTTACTTTTCTTCAGAAGAAGCACTTCAGAATTCAGTGCAACATGAAAATCACGTAATTGATGGAGTAAAGGTCCACATTCAAGTTCAAAAACCAAAAATTTTGCAAGGGTATCAAACATCTGATGAAGAGAAAGGTTTCTGAGATGATTAAACCCATTAAATAAACACAAAACAGGAAGAAAAAAAAAAAAAAAAGACCTGGCCAGGGATTTAGCTCAGTGGTTTCACCGCCTGCTGTACAACCGCAAGGTCCCAAGTTCAATCCCCGGTACCAAAAAAAAAAAAAAGACCATCTAAGCAGAATCACCAGATGTCAGAACAGTCACCTTTTACCCTGCAGAAGGTATCAGCAGGGCTCATCCTTTGCTGTGTGCTTCTGCTCACTCCTCGCCTTGTGCTGGGCCTTTCCGCCCATGGGCCAGGCTCGGGGCCTCTAGGCATTACTGGGTGCACTCTGCTTCGGCCATGCTGCTGCCCGATGGGGTCCTTCTATGTTGGGAGATTATTAGCACCCAGAACTCAGCGAGGCAGCCCCTTCCCGAGTCCACACCCCGCTCATTTAAATGAGGCTAGAGCTGAAATCTGCATCCCCATTAACATGCTTTAGTTGGTGAAGGTGTTTGTTCCTCAGAGTCTGCTTCCAAGGCTGCTTACTGGAAAGCAGCTGCAGGGATAGAATTCCCAAATCTGCCTCTTATTATTGTCAGTGATACTGATGACTCCCTCCCTCCTTCCTTCCTTCCTTCCTTCTTTCTTCTCCCCTCCACCCTACCCGGGAATCAGGCTCAGGGCCCAGCTTGGGTATCTGGGCCTCCCATTTCTTCACATCAGCAGCAAGTTCAGGCTCTGGTTGGGTTCTGTCTGCACTGAGACCCGGGCTTCCTCTGAGCTTGAACTCTCTAGGGTTGTGACAGGAAGACCAGTGGCTGAGCGCTCACCTAACCCACTGTTCACCTAGGATTTCCCTCTAACTTGAGTTTCCGTCTTCTCTAAGGTCAGATCTGTGTAACCCAGGCTGGCCTTGATCTCACAGTGATCCTCCTGCCTCAGCCTTCCAAGTGCTGGGATGACAGGCATGCGCCACCACTGCACCCTGGCTAAGGGTCAGATATTGACTAAAGGTGCACAGGTCACATTTCTCTGGTTCCTGTTAAGTGAATTTTTTCCCATTGCTTGAGAAATAGCGTGGACAGGTTGCTACCCATGGCTTTTCTCCTGCACGCATCCTTCTGCCTCAGCCTCCTGGGTGCTGGGACTATAGACATGTGCCCCCACACCTGGCAAACTCTCACTTTTAAATAAGGAAGACCAGTAAAAAACATTGTAGTGTTAGAACATTTTTAGTCTCTAATGAAGACAGTGTTAAGGGCCAGGGATGTAGCTCAGCAGCGCAGCACCCGCCTGGCAAGCACGAGCTCCTGCGTTGGACCCCCAGTACCAAAAAAAAGAAAAGAAAGGAAAAGAAAATGTTAAATACCACACTTTGGTTTTTGACAATGAAGTCTCTAGTTCATCTTTTTGTTTGTTTTTGGTTTTGGTACCGGGGATCGAACTCCGAACCTTGCTCTTGTGAGACAGGCGGCAGAACCACTGAGCTAAATCCCCAGCCCTGAAGTCTCTAGTTTTATGCATAGTCTTTTTTGGGTTTTCTTTTTGGTTGTGGTTTTGGGTTTTTTGTTTTGTTTGGGGGTTTGTTTGTTTCTGGTACCAGGGATCAAACTCAGGACCTTGCATTTGCCAGGCAGGCACAGCGTCACTGAGCTACATCCCCAGCCCAGTTTTTTCTTTTTTTGAGACAGGGTTTCCCTGTGTAGCCCAGGCTGGCCTCCAACTCGCTGTGATCCTCCCGCCTCAGCCCCGAGTGCTGGAGTGATGCATGCACCACCACACCTAGAAACCTAGAGTTCTTTCTAAAGATTAAAATTGATCTATGGGGCCAGGGATTTAGCTCAGTGGTTCCTCCACCTGCCTCGCAAGTGTAAGGTCCCGAGTTTGATCCCTGGTACCAAAAAATATAAATGAATAAAAAATAAATAAAATTGATCTTTGAAAAAAGAAATCTCTAGGGAGCTGTCAAGGGAGTCTGTCCTGGGCACCGGCAAACTGCAGAGCATTCTGCTGGGAGAGCTGCAAGGCAGCCCCAGTGTCACTGACGGACGCCTTCTCTTCTCTGCTGCCCCTAGGGTCACTGCGGAAGTGAAGCACAACCTGAGCAACACCGTGGTGTGCAGGGTGCAGGGCGAGTGGAACGGCATCCTGGAGTTCACCTACAGCAACGGGGAGACCAAGTGCGTGGACCTGACCAGGCTGGCGGTGACAAGGAAGCGAGTCCGGCCCCTGGAGAAGCAGGACCCGTTCGAGTCCAGGTACGTGGCCGCCGGCCTGCCCCATCTGTGGCTGCTTACAGGCTGCTCACCAGTTTGCCTCGGCCTCGGCAGTGGGGGCTGCCTGCTCTGATGCCCTTCAGCCCCTGCAGCTCCGGCGTTGGGTGGTATGCAGGCTTGTGCCCCTAAAGACTGAGCAGAAACAGGCCAGAGTCAAAGGATCACTGCTGTGACCAGTGACCACCGAACCCAGGCGCGCAGCGGAAAAGCATGCGCAGTGCACAGTGATGGTTCGCAGAAACAGGAGGACCTCAGTGCGCAGAAAGTGGGATACTGTTGAGTGTGATTAGACTCAGACACAGATTAAATAATGAGACATACCAGTTTTTTTAAAGGATACCTTTCAGGAAGTGTGTAAGTGGCCCTCTCCCTGCGGCCAGCAAGGAGGAGGCCCACAGCTTTCCAGCGAGCACAGGGCAGCAGGTTCCAAGATCAGGCACGAGGTGGAAATGCAGCGCTGCAGGAAAAGTTAGATATAATGTTTGGGATTCGGAATACATTTGATTTCCAGGGCAAAATCAGAAGTGTGGAAAATTTGTGTCTGCCACCATGAACTTGAGGGCTTCCCTGGTAAGGGTTTTCTGATGAGATAGGTGGTGGTATTGATGACTGTGATATTTTAAGATGATCAGTCCATGGTATTAGAGAACCATGTATGGTGAGTGATCCATGCACATGAAGCCAGGATTTCCAAGTGGTAGGATGAAAAATAATTGACAGCTTTAGTTTGATACATTGCAGAATATTACTGCACTTGCCAAGTTTTGGCACAGTAATAAAGAACTGAATTATTCAAAAACTCTGTTAAAGGGCCGGGGATTTAGCTCAGTGGTTCCGCTGCCTGCCTCACAAGTGCAAGGTTCTGAGTTCAGTCCCCGGTACCAAAAAAAAAAAAAATCTGTTAAAAATTATTTTTCTACATATATCTCTGTAAAGCCAGGTTTTCTGTAATGCTTTAAAACAGTATATCACAGCCAGGTCCAGTGGTGCACACCTATAATCCCAGCACTTGGGAGGCTGAGACAGGAGGATCACTGAGAGTTTGGAGCCAACCTGGGCTACATAGTGAGTTCAAGGACAGCCTGTACTACATAGCGAGATCCTGTCTGGGGGAAAAAAGGCAAAACAGTGTATCACAGCAGATTGAATGTAGAAACAGATACAAGAATCTATTATTAAAGCAGGCATTAAAGAGTTGCTCCTAAATAGTATTTGCTGAAATTTTGTTAAGAATTTTTTTATGGGGCTGGGGATTTAGCTCAGTGGTTCCGGCGCCTGCCTTGCAAGCGCAAGGTCCCGAGTTCGATCCCCACTACCAAAAAAAGAAAAAAGAAAAAAAAAATTTTTTTATGTGTGTCTGTATTCATGAATGATATTGCTGTGTAGTTTCCTTTAGAAGAAAGTTTTTAACTACAAATGCAGTATCTTTAGTACATAGGGGTGTTATGTTCTGTTTTTTTTGTTTTGTTTTTGCGGTACCGGGGATCGAACTCAGGACCTTGCACTTGTGAGGCAGGCACCAGAACCACTGAGCTAAATCCCTGGCCCTGGTTCTCCATTTCTTTTTAAGTGAGCTTTGGTAGTTTGTCATTCAAGGAACTGGTTATTTAATGTATCACTTTTTTTTTTTGGTACCGGGTATGAACTCGGGACCTTGCCGCCTGCAAGGCAGGTGGCATAACCACTGAGCTAAATCCCCGGCCTGATCTATCACTTTTATTGGCATATAGTTCATAACATTACCTGATTGTTGTTTCAATCTGTGTAAAATATACGGTGATGGCCAAAATCATGCCTTATATTGGTTTGGTTCTATTTCCCTCATCAGTGTGGTTAAAGGTCTGGTTAATTTTTAGTTAATTTTTAGTAACTTCACTCAAAAGAGCTACCTTTTGATTTCATTGATTTTTATCTTTTTCTGTTTTCTCTTTCATTGATTTCTGCTTTCATCTATTTCCTACTTGGTCATAACAAATCATTTGCTATTTGTTAACCGTTGCTCAAAGTGGAAGCTTAGGTGAGGGGTCAGAAAACGTTTTCTGTGCAGACAGGGTAAATATTTAGGTGAAATGCTCTGCAGAGGCTCAGCCACAGCCTCTCGACTGCAGCTGCCGCAGGGAGTCCACAGCCAGGTGTTGCCATGGTGCAGCGACAACTTCCCGACCAGAATGGGGTGACAGTGAGATGCCTAGTGTTTCCCTCATGGTTTTTTCTTCTTTTCTAAATGTTTACAGTGATCTTAGCCAAAAGGCCGAGAAGCTATTTTTACTAAATGTTTAATGCTGTATATTTCCTCTGAGGACTGTCTGATTTACACTTAACTTTTTGTTTGTTTTTTGAGATAGGGTCTCCCTGTGTAATTCAGGCTGGCCTCGAACTCATGGTGATCCTCCTGCATCACCCTCCCAGGTGCTGGGATTACCACGCCCAGCTCAGTTTTTAATTCTGATGCGGTAGGATTGGTTGTCGATGGTTTTGGGGATGGTAGTTTCAGTGTTGCATCTGAGAAACCCCTGCAGTCTCAGGCCTTCTCCTGTGGCCTCTCTAAGGGTGACAGACTTTACACTCAGGTCTGTGGTCCCTTTTGAGTTCACTTCTGTGTGTGGTGCTACACAAAGGTCTGAGTTCATCCAGCACCCTTGTTGAAAACTGTTCTTGCCTCAGAAATCTGCCATGGAAGCTTTCTTTTGCTCGAGGTGGGAGCATTTCTCTCCCTGATGAGTGGCAAACTCCCAGGCAGTGGGTTGAGGCACTCGCAGGGGCTCCAGTCCCTTCCCTTCTCTCAAAGGTGCTTGTCCTACATCATCTTTTTGCTCCATATCTGAAAAACATCTGTTACGTTTTGGTTTGCTTTGGGGTTTTGTGGTACTGGGGTATGAATGGAGGGCTCCATAAATGCTAGGTAAGTGTACCACTGAGCGATAGCCCCAGCCCATTTTACTTTTTTTTAAGACTTAGTGAGACATTTTTGTTGCCCAGACAGCCCTCGAACTAGCAATCCTCCTGCCTCAGCCTCCTGAGTGCTTGGGGTTCAGCCCTGCACCACGTGTCTGGCAGTTTCATTGTTTTGTCTGGTTTCCCAGCTGAAGTGGGAGAGTGAATCTAGTCTCTGTAATTTCCTCAGGCTCTTACATTTCAACTTTTTTGATAATTTCGTAGTTTATCTATTAATTTCTAAGGCTCCCATAAATGAAAACTTTGCTTTTGTAACTTGGAAAGCTACAGGTTACTTTTATTTTTTTTTGTTTTGCTTTTTGTTTTTGGTACCGGGGATCGAACTCGGGTCCCTGAGCTTGCGCAGCAGGCGGCGGAAACCACTGAGCTAAATCCCCGGCCCCAGCTTACTTTTAATTAAAAAGAATCAGAAGCGGCAGCCTTGACGTGGTGCCTTAGGAGCGCAGGTGGGAGGGGACGTGTAGCCGGATTTAGGGCAGGTGCTCCCCGGGATTCTTGCTGAGAAAGCATGTGGGTGAGACGTGTGGTGTTGGGTTCCAGGCGGCTGTGGAGGAACGTGACGGAGGCGCTGAGCCACGCGGAGATGGACAAGGCCACGGAGCACAAGCGCGCGCTGGAAGAGCGGCAGCGGGCGGAGGAGCGGCTCCGAGCCGAGGCAGGCGCGGCCTGGAGGACGCGGTACTTCACCAAGGAGGTGCGCATGCGTGGGCCTCGCCGCGCCACTTCTGTGCGCACGCGCGGCAGGTGACGCGTGTGCCAGGATTGACGTAGCCTAGCCGTTCCCAGGAACTGAGAATGTACGGACCGTGGGCCTCCCTGTGGCTCGTCGCGGGTGGTGGCTTCTCGGCGCCTGGTCCCAGGATCCCTGGCCCCAGGATCCCTGGCCCCGAGCTCAGGGGCCGCGCACAGGCTACTTGGGAGATAGCCTGGGGAGCCCAGCTAGACTGGTTTTAGGGATCCTTGTCACCAGAATCCAAATAAGTGCCGGCTTTAAATGATACTTTGGAACAAGAGGGATGGAGTAAATTTTAAAATAAAATATATAATCGCATTTTTTTTTAATTTTAAATTTTTATTTTGAGACAATGTCCCTAAATTGCTTAGGCTGGCCTAATCATCTGCCTCAGCCTCCTGAGTAGCTGGGATTACAAGTGTGCACTACCATGCCCAACTGTAAGAATTATTCTTAAAACACAAACAAATGGGGCCGAGGATGTAGCTCAGTGGTTTCGCCGCCTGCTGCACAAGCGCAAGGACCCGAGTTCAATCCCTGTTACCAAAAAAAAAACCTAAATGTGTCTGGCGATGTATCTCTGTGGTGGAGCAGTTGCCTGGCACACAGGAGCCCTGGGCTCCACTCCCAGCACCACTAAAGGAGGGAGGGGGTAGGATGAGGACGGAGACTCCCTCTGCCCCGTGGTCTGTCTCGCAGCACTCCCGGGCTGCTCCGTGCCCACCTGCCTGGCCAGCCCCGTCTCAGGCGTGGTGGGCGTCCTGAGCTCGGGGCTTTATTGTTTCACAGAACCCTTTTATGTAAAAACAATTCCATTTCAGTGAAGGTGTTTCTTGTAGCTTTGATGTGTGTGTGTGGGTATGTGTGACTAGGGATTGAACCCAGGGCCCTTGCACTGCCCCTTTATTTTGAGACAAGGTCTCTCTAAGTTGCCCAGGCTGGGCTCAAATTGCAATCCCTCGGTCGTGGGATTACAGGTGTGGGCTGCCGCGCCTAACTTAGATTTTGTTTCTGATTTTCAAAAATATCAGAGGAGTGTTTCCTTAATTTGTTTCCCCTTTTTGCAGGGAGACAGCTGGGTTTATCACAAACCCCTCTGGAAAGTCCTTGCAGCAGCACAACCAGCAGAGTGACATGTGTTCTCCAGGATGTGACCAGATGTGGCTCTTCCATTCCCCACCCCAACTGGAGTCACTGCACTGAACTGCCCCGCCGCTGATCTTGAATGTACCTCCTCGGGCGCCTTCATCCCGCAGCAAGACCAAAGTGTCACACCTGGCCCATGACGCAGCAATGCAAACAACCTGAGCCCTGAGGGAGCTGCCTCTCTCGGCCACCAGACAGTGAGAACCCAGTGACTTCCCTTCTTGGTAGTGAAACATGAGGTCTCCTTTCAGTCTCTAATTTGCTTTGTCTGTCCATAACTGAAGTATTTGCTGCTCTTAGAAACCAGCCACGATGTGGAGGAACCACCCCAGCGGATGGCCGCTGTGCCTGCAGTCAGTGCTGGGCAGCAGCGCCAGCTGAGCTGTCAGCAGTGAGTTCCTGCAGCCACCAGAATCACAGCCGCGGAGTTTTTTCTTCTGAGCATTTTCATATACTTGAAAACAGCACTGACTTGAAAAATTTCAGAACATTTTTCAGTACCTAGTTTTATTAAATATTACACTTGAGAGACAATTTTTTTAAATGTATTCATGTCAATATGATGAGATTTGGGCCTTTCCCAAGAACGAAGGCATTAAGAAAATAGCTAATATTAAAAAGTGGAACTGTTACATTTTCCTGACCTTTTCTTCACCAGTAGGTTAGAAGTCAGTATTGTGTGTACTGGGTCAGTTTGCTTTCTGTTACCTTGGTGCACCCAAAAGTGGAAGCAGGCAACTATTCGTGTTTGTCAGTAACTTATACATGTGACCAGGTGCGTGGAAGTAAGGTGTGGTTCCTTTCTTTTCAAGGAATCGTAAACAGTGAAGAAAAATATGAAATAAAAAGCTATCAGGAAGTTGTATTCAGGTACAAATCATTTTTAATCAGTATTTCATGGAGGCTGAAGAATTGCTGGCAGTTGACAAATAGTGCTGGTTATGGTTCTGTCATTCGTTCGCCTTCCTCAAGTGCACATGCGTGGTGCTCGCCCCTCGTCCCTGCGAGCGACCTGAACTTCAGGAGTGGTGCCTTACGCGTCCTGTCCCTCCCACGTGTCTTCTGACCAAGCATCACGTGTCGTGGGAGACAGCTGCATCCCCATCCTCACAAGGCATTGAGCTCTGCGCTCTGATAAACTCTTCTGCCGAGGGCTTCAGAGGACAAAAACAGGACAATAGTTTTTTCCAACTAATTGTAAATTATATGCAAAAGAATTGGTTTGTGTACAACCATTTTAATGATGCCCTTTGCGTATTTGCTGTGAAAAGCACTGGAAAAAATCTCAAAAGGAGCTGTAGTTCATGTGTTGGGAAAATTGAGAAATAATAAAACTAGAGAACAATACTGCCTTTGTCTGTCTATGAATGGAGAGAAACAAAGCCATTTCATGGGGTTGCCCTGTCTTTGGAGACCACTGCCTTTCTCTAAATTCCTACCTTCATGAGTCTGCAGCTGGAAAGGCCATTTAGTGAGCTTTTTAAAATAAAAATGTTTGATTTTGTTTATTTTCTTTTGTTTTTCACCACGTAGCCCAGGGTGGCCTTGAACTCTCCTGTCTCAGCCTACTGAGTAGCTGGCATCACAGGCATACGCCACTACGCCCCTCAAGAGTGCTCCCCTTGTGACTGTTCCAGAGCCGGGTGTCAGACGGGCACCAGATCTGCCTGCCCAGGGATTTCTGTGGATTGAGAGCCCAGCAGGGCTGTGCACACCTGCAATTCCAACTCCTCAGGAGGCTGAGGCAGGAGGAGTGCAAATTGGAGGCCACCCCAGGCAATTCCATGAGATCCTATCAAAAAAATAGAAAGATGGGCCGTGGATTTAGCTCAATGGTGCCACCACCTGCCTTGCAAGCACAAGGCCACTGAGAGCCAAAAGGCAAACTGCAAACCTCCAGTTTTGCCTGGAATTTGACCCAACAAAACAATGAATCTCCTGTGGGAAAACGTTTCTTTTTTGGAGGCTGCTGAAGTGCAGGGAGGGGAGAGGCATGAACCTTGTGAGCCGAGAAATCCAGAGTCTCTTCTTGGGCCGCTATGGGCCGGAGAAGCTGTGGGTTTCTGGAGGTTTTCACTTTTCTTTCCTTTTCTTCAGGGATTCGTGGTTTCGCTTCTGGGGTCTCATTCCAGAGACTTTGTTGTATTTACTCTTCAGCTTGGAGCCCTAGTAGGTGAGGGACACCCGACCTGTCACTGTCATCACATCAAGGAAGGAGAGCCAGGCAGAGTCCAGGAAGGGAACGCAAGAGCATTTGTGTTTTCTTTTTGGCAGAGCTGCCTGGACACTGTAAAGAACGTAAAGGTAGGCACTGTGGCCAGAGCTGCAATCCCAGCTCCTCACCCAGGAGGCTGAGCCAGGGGAATCCCTTGGCACAGGGTTTTATGTCAGGCTGGGCAAAGTAGGACACACGGGCCAGGAATTTAGCTCAGTGGCCTTGCACCTGCCTTGCCAAGCACAAGGTCCTGAGTTCAACCCCCAGTACCACAAAAAAAATTAAATTAAATTTTTAAAAAGTAGGACACACACACATACACAGGAGCAGGTGAGTGAATGAATATAAATATAAAATGTGAGCTGGGAATTTAGCTCAATGGTGCCACACCTGCCTCAAAAATGCAAGGTCCTGAGTTCGATCCCCAGGACCAAAAAAACCATGCAAATTAACGCACATGGGCTGCCCACGCCTGAAACCCCAGTTGTTTGGGAAGCAGAGGCAGGAAGGTCACATTGAGACCAGCCTGGGCAATTGAGTGACCAACCTTGTTTTCCAAATAAAACGAGGGACTGGGGATTTAGCTCAGTGGTTCCACCGCCTGCCGGCCTCACAATTGGAAGGACCTGAGTTCTATCCCCAGTACCAAAAATAATAATAATAATAAAGGCATGATGTCGCATGTCTGTCTGTGATCCCAGCATTCTGGGAGGCTGAGGCAGGAGGATGCCAAGTTTGAGCCCAGCCTGGTCAACTCAGCGACTTAGCAAAATCTTGTCTCAAAAAAAAAAATCTCTGGCTGCAGCTCAGTGCCAGAGTACAGGGGTGGGGTGCTGAGGATGTAGCTCAGGGCTGCCTAGCCTCAGTCTCCAAATAGAACAAAATGAAACAACCCCAGACACCCCAAAGATTAGAACTTAAGGAAAAGCAAGGAGAAAGAGAATGAAAAGGGAAGAAGAAAGAGAGGGCAACAGAGACAGAAAAGGAAGGAAGGAATCAACAGCTGGTCCAAAGCCCCACCCAAAATTAAATCTGAATGAAAAATACACCCAGCTCTGGGGCTGCGGCTGAGTGACCGGAGCTCACCCAGTGGTGCCAGCCCTGGTTCACCCCAGCCTCGCATCTGCAGGCCTCACCCTGAACCTGCCACACGCAAGGAGGGTGCCGTGTGCTTTTGGGTTCCAGCCGTCCCCAAATTGTTGCTTGCCCTCGATTTTGTCTTTGTTTTTGTTTTGGTACTGGGGGTCAAACTCAGGACCTTGCACTTGTGAGGCAAGTGCAGGCAGCGGAACCACTGAGCTAAATCCCTGGCCACCCTTGCTTTTTCAGGACAGCTCACAGGGACAGCTGGGTGACCTCTAGGTCTTTCAACCCACTGGTGAGCGTGGGACGCCCACTGCCTCCCTCTTCTGGTTATCCCTTGTGTCCAAGCTTGACTTTGTTACTGCTGTTTTTTGAGACAGAGTCTCTCTATACTATGAAGCCCAGACTGGCCTTGAAATTGTAGCGATCCCCCTGCCTCAGCCTCCCAAGTGCTGGGATGACAGGTGTGAGCCACCACATCCGCAGGGCTGACTTTCAATAAGTTGAAGCCAGGCTGCTGCTCTGTTACCAAGGAAACCTCTTCCGACCAAGGAACAGGTCCTCTAATGACAGTTTTGTACCAAGCTCCCCACAAATGTGCATTATGTGCTGGGTGAGAGGGCAGCTCCCTTTCCCAGGCCGAAGGGCTGTCGGCACCAAACCCCAGTGCACACAGAGCAGGCCATGGCCCACACTGATATTAGGTGGCTGCCCGAGGGTACAGCCGGGGGACCCACTCCCTGAGGCCAGGTGAGCTCCCTCTGCTACTCTACTGTGACCCACACAAGCAGCTTTGCCCCTGGGCCCCTGGGCCAAGCACACAGCCCAGTGTCTGCCCCAGGACCTCGTACCAAGCAGGGTCACCATGGCAACAGCGCATCCGACCAGCGCAAAAGCAGCTGCCTCAGACCAGCTCCCCGTGTCTACGAGTGGGTGAGCAACCTGCACTGGGTGACTCTGCCTCCCAGGGATAGAAGAGGATGGAGAAGAGCCATCACTGTGCCCCACTGCTTGCCACAAGCCGCCTATCCCTGCGGCACCTCTCCGGACACCTCCTGCTTAAACCCCAGAAGGCAGGCAGGATGGTGAGGCCCATACTGACTGAGGAGCAGGATCCAGTGAGCCTCCCCTCTGCACCCCAGAGGGCCTGTCCTCCCTGAGGCTCCTCGGGACACCTGCGTGGCTCTTCCTTCCTGAGCCTGACTGCAGTCTGCTGGACAGCAGATAGGGACGGTGGGAATCATCCTTTCACCAGCGACACAAATTAGACAGGGGTCTTTAGCCGGGGATTTTAGCTCAATGGCACTGCGCCTGCCTCAAAAAAATATAAACTTAGGGTCCTTTGGCGACCTTGGAGAGTTATAGATACTCCTCCTCTAACCCGAGCCTCACTGACTGTTCACTGACCATCGGAACAATGGGCAGGAATCACAGGGCATCCATACTGTGATGCTTTAATTAACAGCGGGGTCCCCTGGTCCCCAGCATTTCCGAGTCAGCTGTGAGGCGCCCTGCAGACCCGGCGGAAGGGTGGCCAGCTGCCCAGGACGAGGGCAGCGGAGGGGAGGGGAGGGGAGGATCCGGGGCGGGGGGGGGGCAGCTCCAGCCCTGGTGTGCGCCCAACCGTGTCCCAGCCCCTAGAGCCTCGAGACCTCCCTCTCTGCGAGGTTCCAGCTCCGGGGCCGCCGGCGGGGAGCCCGGCCACACTCACACGCTGCCCTGGGATAGTCGAGGGCCTCGCGGGCTCCTCGGACACTGCAGGCTGACAGGATTCACAGGTGGCGGATTCCCGCGGCAGCCACCACCTCGCGGGGTCCCCCTGACCCCGCCCTCGGCGCCACGCGGCCACGTGTGCGACGCCCCGCAGGACCCGGGCGCACTGGGGTCCCGGGAGCCACGGGGATGGGGAGGCGGTGGCGCCGTGGGCAGGAGGCGGGGAGGCAAGGACCGGACCAGGGGGACCCGGCCGCGACTCGGGAGGGAGACACCCCTGGGAGGCAGGGTCGGGAGAGACGAGCCGGAGACCCTAAGTTCCCGCTCTTTTCAGCCGCGCCCCGAGCGGGACCTCGGCTTCTGCGCACCGGGGTGGGAGGGGCCTTTATCTCCGCTGTAAATTAGCTGCGTTCACCGCCCGCGCCCCCGTGGCGGTGGCACCCTCCCACCCTTGTCACCCTCCCCAAGTCCTAACCTTTGACCCCAGCTCCCGCCTTCGCAGTTCCCTGAAGGGTCCGCACTTCCGCGGAACTCAGTCTCACAGATCTGACCGCAGGCCGGGCTCGGGCCCCACCAGGGGGCGCAGGGGACAGAGGCGGCCTCGCCGTCCCCCTGGCGGGTTGGGGACCCTGCCTGGTGGCGCACTTTGGCGTGCTCTTCTGACCCCTATCCCCGCGGGGAGGCACCGCGATCACCGGCCACAGAGTGACCGGCCCGGCCCGGCACGGGGTGGCCAGGGGGTTGCGCCCCTCGGAGTGGCACCAGCAGGGGAGGCGATCCGCGGGAACGCGGACGCGACCGTACCCTCTGCCCAGGAGCGCCCGCCCTGGGAGACCCGGCCTCCGAGCGCACCCACCTGGGCAGGGGCGCGGGCCCCGCCGCGTGTGGCCGGAGGGAGCCCCTGGAGGGCCGCGTGGAGGGCCGCAACCAGAGACACGGGGGCGGGCTCACACCGGGGCCAGGCGCTGGCTGCGAGAGGCCAGTGCTGTGGGTGGTAAAAAGAATTTACCAAAGGCCAAGGGATACAGCAAAGCGAAGAGTTTCGTGGTCCACTGCAGGAGGGCAGCAGTTAACGGCGTGGTGTTGCACACCAGTCATCCCAGCACTAGGGAGGCTGAGGCAGGAGAGTCGCTGTGAGTTCAAGGCCAGCGTAGGCTGCATAGTGAGACTTTGCCTCAAAAAAATAAAACAGGAGGGCCGGGGACTTAGCTCAGTGGCTTCGCTGCCTGCTGCGCAAGCGCAAGAACCCGAGTTCGATTCCCCGGTACCAAAAACAAATAAAATAAAATAAAACAGGGGCTGGGGATTTAGCTTAGTGGTGCCACGCCTGCCTCGCAAGCACAAGGTCCTGAGTTCAATCCCCGGTACCGAAAAACAAATAGAACCAAAAAGAGCAGTGGGGGAGCCCAGGAGAGGACCGCGCAGTCGGGGTGGAGGCCCGGATTCTGTGTTTGGCTAAGGTGAGGAGGGCCCGGCAGCATCACCCAGGGCCGCGTCTCCGGTGTCCCCGTCCAGCTCTGAGCCCAGCCAGGTGCTGTTTGAGGACAGAGCCGTGCGCTTGTCCAAGGGCCAGCGTCCTCGGGGGAAGACTGATTAACAGACGGCTCGGGTCAGGGCCAGTGACCTCGGGGTCAGAGGATCGTGTGCCGCGCTCTGGCAAGGGGAGGACGTGGTGCTGGGGACACGAGGGCCCGGTCCCTAGGTGAAGTGCACGCTTCTGGTTCCGGTGCACGACCTTCGAGGCAGAAGTTAATGTTCTGCTCCAGAAGCAGCGCCAGGCTGCAGTGTGGCCTTAGAGCAACCGGGATGTTCTGCAATTCCTCCACAACCATTTTAGGGGTTTTTTGGTTTCTGTTTTTTTGTTTTGTTGAGACAGGGTCTCCCTGTGTAGTTCAGGCTGGCCTTGAATTCACTATGTTGCCCAGGCTGGCCTCAACTCACTGCATTCCTCCTGCCTCAGCTTCCCCAGAGCTAGGATTAAGGCATGCACCACCACAAGGACTCAGCCTTTTTTAATTTTTTGAGACAGGGCCTAAGTCTCTAAATTGCTCAGGCTGGTTCCAATAATTTGCAGCCCGCCTGCCTCAGCCTCCTAGAGTTATGGCTGGCATTCTAGGTGGGCACCACCACCTGCACCTCCAGCGCTTTCGCTGGCTCCATTCTCTTGAGCACTCACATCCGGTCTCCCAGATTACCTTGCAGGGCAGTGGACCCCAACAGGAAAGAAGAGCCGCCACCAGGCAGGTCTGCACTTGGATGAGGCCCCTGGGGGTTCATGGAAACCCCAGCCCACAGACTCCAGGGACATAGAGCAGCCCCAGGGCATGCAGGGAAGCAGGTGTGGCCGAGTGCCTGCTGGTGCCTGAGTCCTGCAAGTCACAGGAGTCCTGCTCAGCTCCTCTTCCTGTCGGCCCCCCCTCCCCAGTCTTCCTAGTTGGGCAAGGGCTGCCCTTCAGGGTCCTCACCCCACTGGAGTGGCGCCGGGTGCAGGCCTGTCCCCAAGCAAAGCGGCTGCCTCAGGCCAGGCAGCAAGGCCTCCCCCACTCCAAGATGGGTGAGGACCCCCAAGTGGGCAGGACCCAGAGGACTCTCTGGAAAGCCCAGGGGTCCCCCTCAGATGGTACAGATTGGTCAGGGCCAGGCCCCACCCACCTCCTGACCTTCCCACTCCCAACCACCGAGGAGGGTCTCCCCCCATCCCGGTTCAGGGATTGAACGAGGCCCTTGGCACTGAGCTACATCCCCAGCCCCTTTTCTTCTTATTTTTAATTTTGAGACAGGGTCTCTCCAAATCTCTTACGTTGTCCAGGCTGTGCTGGACCTTGTGATCCTCCTGCCTCAGCCTCCAGAGTCCTGGGATGACAGACGTGCACCACCACTAGAGCCAGTGTCTCCCTACTTGAACCTCAAGTCCTCTGTGTCATTCACAGTCTGGACCCAGTGACCCTTCTGCAGCCTCAGGGTCCACACTCCTCATGCTCAGGACTCAGCGTCTGGGGAATTTAATGTGATTGTTTCTTGTGACCATCACATGGCAGTAATAATTTCATAGGTCGTGTGAAATTATTTTTTTAAATAATGCCATCACAGGGCATAGTCACATACATGCCTGTAATTCCAGCCTTCTGAGAGGCTGAGGCAGGAGGATCGAAAGTTCAAGCCCAGTTTGGACAACCTAGAAAAACTGTCTCAAAAAAATTTAAAGGGGGAGTGGGACCTGGGATGTAGCTCAGGGCAAAGACCCGGAATTCAATCCCCAGTCACACAAATAAAGTTTTGTTCACTCTGTACTGTTATCTGTTTATTTGCAGTTTAGTAACCAGGAAGCTGCTGACTCCTAGAAGCCAGTCAGGCAGTGGGGACTTAGTGTCCTGTCAGCTTTGCCAGAGGCAGGCACCATCCTTCCACCCTGGTTCCTACCCTGGCCGGTTGGATGGGACCGAGATTGAGGGCAGAGCCTTCCCTCATGGCCACAAGTCACCCGGCTCACCTCTCAGCCAGCACCTGCTCCTTTGCAGAGCTACCTGTCCCTCCTGGTGGAGATAAAAGCTGAGCAAATGGGCAACACGACAATCCCAGTTACAAATGCAGTGCAGAATGTTGAAATGGAGACATAGGAAATGAGCCAGAGCTTGAAAAATGGAAGAAATTGTGGTTTGGTTTTGGTTTTGAGACAGGGTCTTGCTATGTAGTCCAGGTTGGCCTCAAACTTGAGGCAGTCTTCCTGCCTCAGCCTCCCCAGTGCTGGGATTACAGGCATGCACCACTGTGCCTGAGTGGAAGTCACACACTGAGGAAAGCAAGTGTCTCCTGGAAGATGCTGCTTCCATACTTCTACTTCCCAGTGTGACAGTCCCAGGCCTAGGAGCAAAGGATCTGCACCCCACTGCCCACCCATGCAATGGAAGATGTGACCACTGAGTGGGGTTGGGAACAGCCACATGTGCTGAGAGTTGGCCTCAAGCAGGATATTAGTCTGGCAGGTGACTAGATCTTGGTGACCACATGGGACATCACATCAGCAAGGTGGTCTCTGTTCTGGAACAGGTATCTAGAAAAACAGAATTTTTTTTTGTACCGGGGATCGAACTCTGGTCCTTGTGCTTGCGCAGCAGGCAGCAAAACAACTGAGCTAAATCCCCGCCCCCAGAAAAACAACATTTTACAGGCAAGGCAGGGTTCACTTCCTTTGAAGATCCTGAAAGTACCTAATCTAGCACAATAAAAAGCTGAAGTCAGGCATGAGGGCACATGAGGAAAAAAACTAGCACTCTGGAGGCTGAGGCAGGAGGATCGCCACAGTTTGAGGCCATCTTGGGCTACACAGAGAATTCAAGGACAGCCTGAACTGGATACCGAGACCTTGTCTCAAAAATAAACAAAAAAAGTAGGAATTCAAAACTTGAGTATGGCATACCTCTAAAGATAGGTTCACTGGCAAGACATCTGGGTGTCAGAGTGCCAGGTAGCGGCTGCCCTCACCGCCCCCAGGAAGTTGTGATGTGAACTCTGATGCTGGCAGCGCAGACACTGGGAGAAACAGGCTCAAGCAGTGTCTCCTCCTCCAGACTTCAAGCTCAACCCGTTCCACCTTCATCGCCAGCAGTCAGGAGCAGTGCCCGCCCGCCCTGGCCCTCAGGCAGCAGCAGCAGCATTGCACAGGTAGAGCCGAGGCGCAGATTCTGATCCAGGGAGGGCTGTGACCGGTGTGACCTGCTCCTACTCCAGAAGGTCTCAGCTGCAATTCCCTAGATGGATCATCTGCCTGGAAAATGTAGGATGAAGATGGCAAACTTGCAAATAAAATGCCCATGGGGGGCTGGGGATTTAGCTCAGTGGTTCCGCAGCCTGCTTCGAAAGCGCAAGGACCCAAATTCAATCCTCATACCCAAAAAAAAAAAATGCCCATGGGCACGAAGTGTAATTCTTTAGATAACACAAGTAGGTGGTTGGAATATCTGCTGTGGTTTTTATCTCAGTTACTGAGATAATATTAGCACCCAAGGGACAGCTCTAGGGCTGATGGGGAGCATGGGAGCTTTTTTGTGTTCCAGTCCCATTCCTTACCATCTGTGTTTTTTTGGCGGGGTTCTGTTTATGGGTTCTTTTGTTTTGTTTTGTTAAAAAGATGGTCTGCTAGGTAGTCTAGGCTGGCCTTGAACTCAGAGATCCTCCTGGCTTGGCCCCCTGAGTGCTGGGATTACAGGCATGTGCCACCACATCTGGCTTTTACCATCTGTTACTTGTGTGTCACTGAGCTCTCGAGGGAGGGACTGCCCTTCACCTTAGAGATAAATGCAGACTTTTAACTATTTCATCAAAAAACTCTTGGTATTTATTCTTTGTCTTGCAAATATTTTGTACTTTTTTTTATGGCATCTAAAATTCTGTTTCGATGATCATGATTTTTTCCTTTATTGTCTCCACACTACATTGCTTTTGCATGCTAATTTTTTAATTAAATTTTTATGTTGATTGGTACATGTTCCAGTACATAACGATTACACCCGTTGTGGGATCATTTTTTCCCCCAAACATCCAATTATACTAGGGAAAATAATTCAGCGACTTAATCCCATCAGACACAATTCCTTCCGGAGGAGCTGGGAAAGAACAACGTGTTTGCGCTTGTTTCCTGGACTCTGCAGGGTCTGGGAGAAGTTGTGCTCCTCCCTGAGGCGTGGAAAAAGTCTCACTCCCGAACATTGCGCATGTCCACAGCTCGTCGGCACTATGAGGGCGACCTTCTCCTGCGCCGTCCTTGTCCTGGGGGTCGGTACGTGGACGGCCGCTGCCCGGGGTGAGTGACAGGGCTGGCTCTCCCTCGTTTCCTACTGGCATCCCGCTCGCGGCGAAAGAGAGGCTGCTGTGCCCTTGAGTTTTATTGAATCCTAATTCCTCATATGACAGATGAAACTCAAATCCAGAGAAAGAAAGAATTCACACACTTGCTTGTTTGTTTCTTTGTTTGTTGTTTGTTTTGAGATGGTCTCTCTGTATGGTTCAGGCTGGCCTTGAACTCACTATGTAGCCCAGGTTCAAACTTGCATCAATCTTCCTGCCTCAGCCTCCTGAGTGCTGGGATCACAGTCCTACGTCACTGCACCTGGTCCACAAGTGTCCCCTCCAGCCAAGTCCCCAGAGCACTGTCTGTCCCCGCAGGTGTGCCCCTTCATACTGCGTCTCCCCATGCTCCAAGCCCAGCTGCTAGGGCCACAGAACTGTGTGGTCACAGGCTCACACGCACCATGCTCGGCGCCCTTCTCTGACATGTTAAGAACAGTCTCTCATTCTCTTCTGCTCTCGGGGCACAACCCTGCACCCGCTTTTCCGTGTGGCCCCTGAGTGTGGGTGCCCTGAATGTCCACACTTGCCAGCTACCAAGAGAGCGCCAGGCTGGCTGTGTGGCAGGAATGGCTTGGCCTCCGTGTGACACGACCATGGTGGGACACACAGAGATATCAGGATCCAAGCAGGAAGGAGGGCTGAGGCAAGAGGATTATTGCAAATTCCAGTCCAGCCTGAGCCACTTAGCCACTTAGCGAGATCCTGTCTCAAAATAAAAAAATTTTAAAAGGGCTGGTGGGGGAGGATTTAGCTCAGTGGTTCCACCACCTCCCTTGCAAGTGCAAGGTCCCAAGTTTGATCCCTGGTATAAATAAATAAATAAATAAATAAGGGCTGGGATGCTCAGTGCACAAACTCTGCGTAGGGTCCCCAGTTCCACACACAAAAAAAGGTGAATTCTGTGATGTGTGAATTACAGCTCATAAAGCTGATAGGAGCTGATGACAATAACAAACATAAAATTATATTAATTACAATGTAATTATTACACTACAGGATTACATAATATATATATATTGGAAGGACCAGTAGGATTGAATATGTAAGTCTTAAAGAAACTCAGCATCTTAAAAAAAAAAGAAAAGAAAAGAAACTCAGCATCTTTTAAGGCATCTCAGTGGAACTATTTCACGGGAATTTATAACCTGCAATGCGTTTTCCAAAACAACTAAGAGCTGCATGTGATGGTGCTCGCCTGTTATCTTAGCACTCAGGAGGCTGAGGCAGGAAGATCGCAGCGAGTTCCAGGCCAGCCTGGGCTACATAGCAAGTTCAAGGCCAGCCTGAACTGCATAGCAACCCTGTCTCAAAAACCAAACTAAGAGGAGTTGTCACTATTTACCCATGAAGCAGAGGGCTCAGATCTCCATGGGGAAGTGGCACATGTTTCCACCCCTCCGCTCCTTTAGCAGAAGCTCGCAGCAGAGCGAAGCCCCGGGCCTCCCCGTGGGATTGGGCGGTCCAGCAAGGGGGCCAGAGCTTCCCTGCTTCTGTCTTCCAGACTTCCCCCTGCCCGTGGCCTCCACAGGCTCGCTGCTGGAGGACACCAAGGTGAGCCTGGGTCCCTCCCCCTCTCCAGTAGGTGGGGGCAGCGGGGTGCCATGGGAGGACCTTCTCCCCTCCGTCACCCCAGTTGGGCTGCACAGCTCTCCTGGAGGATCGGGCGTCACCCCATACCCTTCGATGGACCAGGAGCCGGGGCTCAGCTTCTTCCGGCCCAGTGGGGCGGGGGCGCGCTTTCCCTCTGCTGTGCCTTCCAGGATGCGCGCCCAGACCCGAGGACGCCCCTTGTCCCCAACGCGTTCCTTGCTCTTCCTGACCCAGGGACTGCGGCCCTGGGCCCAGCGCGAGGCCTCGCTAGCGCGGGCGTCCTTCTCACTCAACACCAGGCCAAACCTTGTGGGCCGGAAGCAGGTTCCGAGCTCAGGGTCCAGCACCGTCTGACTGTCCCTTCCCGTCCTCCCTGTGACAGTGGCCCAGACCCTGGAGGAGCCACTCACCAGGCTCCCCGTCCCCCACAGGCCGAGTGCGCGCGGAATATAAAGAGGTGCTGGTTCCTGTCCTTCCTCAAGCCCAGCGAGCCCATCTGTGCCAGTGACCAGGGAACCTACAGTGGCGAGTGCCACCTCTGCTCCAGAGTCCTGTGAGTGTCTTCTCCCCTCGCTCCTCTCCGGCCAGGCCAGGCCAGGGGTTGAAGGTGGCCCGGAGGGAGGTGGCTGCTTCAGCCCGCTTCCTGATCCCCAGTTTGGTCTCCCCTGAGAGACGCCCCTGCTGTTGGCCCTCCTGAGCCTCTGTCTCTCCCTGTGTCCCCAGAGGGACCTGTGACCCTCTCCAGATGGTGCAGAAAAAGAAAGCCTGAGGTGACCCCAGGGGAGGGGACTCTGGAGCCAGGAGAAGCAGGCGTTCAGATAATGTGACCATAGATGAGTCCCCTTGGCCCTGTGGGACAATGATCAAAGCTAGATGAGGGGCAGCAGCGGGGAGGCTGGGTGAGGAATCTTCCTGCTCCCCTGATTTATTGGTCTTGGAATGGATGTCAGTCTCTGCAACTTAGCTGGTCATGGTGGCGCACATCTGTAATCCCAACACTCAGGAGGCTGAGGCAGGAGGATCTCTGTGAATTCAAGGTCAGCTTTCATTACACATTTTTGAGCCGTGTCTCAAAAAACAAAAAGAATTGTTTTAACCATATTTTAAAAGTTCTTTTCCTAGCAGTTACCCTGGGAATTACAATAATTTTAATTTGATATAAAATTTTTTTTTGTACCAGGGATCAAACTCGGGACCTTGCGCTTTCGAGGCAGGCGGTAGAACTACTGAGCTGAATCTCCAGCCCCTTTTATCAGTTTTTCATTTCAAGAGAGGTCAAGTCCCTAAGTTGCCCAGTCTGGACTTGAACTTAAAATTTCCTGCCTCAGCCTCCCAGAAGTCATAGTTTTTATATTAATTCTTTAGCATTTTCTTTTTTTTCTTTTTCTTTTTGGTACTGGGAATCAAACTCAGGTCCTCGTGCTTGTGCAGCAGGTGGCGGAAACACTGAGCTAAATCCCCAGCCTCTTTAGCATTTTCTATATGCAGGGTCATGTCATCTTTGAATATAGTTTACTTCTTTCTAGTTTAGATGTCTTGTTTCTTTTTCTTGTCTAATTGCTATGTCTAGAATTTCCAATACAATTAAACATCGGGGGGACAGCAGGTGTCTTTGTTTCGCTCCTGATTTAGAGAGAAATCTTTCAGTCTTTCACCACCACGTATGAAATTAGCTGTGGACTTTTTGTAAGTGTTCTTTATCATGTTGAGGAAGTTCCTTCGAAGTCTTGGTTTTCTGGGTGTCTTTGTTATGAAAGGGTGTTGGATTTGAATATTGTGCCTGTGTTTTTGCATCAATTGAGGTTTTTCATGTGAGTTTCTCCTTTGTTCCATTAATATGAAGTTCTTACACTGTTTTGTTTTAGATTAAACCACTGTGAATTCTTGGGATAAATTTCACTTGATCGTGGTGTAGGATCATTTTCTATATTCATAAGGGATATTGGTCTCTAATTTTCTCAGTGTCTCTTCCTCTTGCTATCTTGGTGTCATCGTTATGTTAGCCTTTCAGAAAGTTAGGAAGTGTCCCCTCCTGTTCTATTATTTGGAAGAGTTTGAGAAAGACAGGTCTCGAATCTTTTTAAATATTTGGTAGAATTCACTAACAAAGCCATCTGGTCCTCAACCTTTCTTTGTTGGGAGGTTTTTTGTTTGGTTGGTTGGCTTTTTGTGATGAAGCCCAACCGACCTCCATTGCTGCTTGACAAAGTTCCAGCTGGGGGAAAGAAAGGGTGGAACACATCGTACCCTCATGTTTTATTTTTTTCTTGCCATAATGTTTATAATTGTTACTCTGGTCACAGGAGTCACTGTGTTTGTGACTAACAACAAACTCTCCATGAGACAAATTGGCAATGATGTATTGAAATCTGATCTGGCTCAAAAGTCCCAAATTCCAGTTTCTCTTAGTTCTATTACCTTATCCACTTCTAAAGAAACCTCTCCTAAAACCCCCTCTGTTTTCCCACTACTATAATTCCCTCTCTTATTGCTGACATTCTTTTTACTAAAGGGGTCTTATAAAGACATTGAAACGACAGACTTTAGGTGTAAAAAATAGTGAAAAATGGGAAAAAGAAAGAAAGTTAAAACAGGTAAATACATTAAGGGGGCAAGTTACTCAATATTTCTCAAAGTGCTGTAAATATCTCCTACTCATGGACTATGAACCCAAATGACACTTAGGTAAGATAAATAGAAGTATAGAAAAATAGAGAGCTAATAGCAAACTATATTAACCATTGTGCAGTTTCTCAAGGGCCAGCTGGTGACCACAAGTTTGACATTTAATTAATTAAATCTTGCTTGTACCCCCGCTGATATAGGGATTTTGATTAAGTTACCCTCTGGAGATTTTGATTAAGTTACATTCTGTTCTACCTAGGTATGGGAAAATAAGGGGACAATTGTAATTTTTAAGAAATGTATTCATGATGTTCAATGAAATGAATCAGCTTAGAAAAAATATACTGTTTAGCAAAAATAACTTTTACCTCACTAGATATTGCTAAGGCAACCTAAAATGTAAACATATTCCGCCCAATGCCTCTTAGCTATTGCTTAAAGATATAAAAATAAATCAGACCCTGAGACTTCTCAGAGGGAACCTGAACATTGCCTGTGAAGGTTCTTTTCTCATCGCCGGCCCAGGACATCTCCCCTTCCTACCCTACATCGACTGCAGCTGGTGTGCGGCATTTTTGTTTTTGTTTGTTTTGGTTTTTGGTTTTTTTGAGACAGGATCTCACTATGTAGTTCAGGCTGGCCTTGAACTCACTATGTTGCCCAGGCTGGCCTCAAATTCATGGTGATCCTCCTGCCTCAGCCTCCTGAGTGCTGGGATTACAGGCCTGTGCCACCGTGCACAGGAGATCACATTCTCTATGTCTGCTTGAATCTTCAAAGGTTATTTTGAATTTCGTTGTTTTTCTTTTTTTTTGGTACTGGGGATCGAACTCAGGACTTTCGAGGCAGGCGGAGGCACCACTGAGCTGAGTCCCCAGCCCCTTATATTTTATATATTTAATCTCTCACAGATAATCATATAGTAGGGTTTTCTTGGTTGTTTTTTTTTGGTACCAGAGATCGAACTCGGAAGCCTGTACTTTCAAGGCAGGTGCCAGAATCACTGAGCTAAATCCCCGGCCCCCCCCATATAGTAGATTTTTTTTTTAAGCAAGAAGTTTATTTAAACAACAAGACACTTGACTTAAAAGGAAAACTATCTAGGATTCTTTTTCTTTTAAAGAGTAATTTACTCCTACATAAAGACAGATTGCCCTACATGTAACAGCTACATACAAAAAAGTTATAAAATTGTCCTTGGTTTTACAATGATAAATGAAAAACATTAAAATTCTCCAATCAAACAAGGTATGCAAGGATTTTTATGTAGTTGTCTTTTCTGTTAAAACAGTGAGAGCAAAATAACTTACCGGAATATAAAGATAAGAGCTGATGAGCATGCCACTAATGGAGAGAGGGAATTATTTTCACAGAACCAGTATCTCCCCATCCCGTCTCCATCTGATGTCAATCAAAACATATTGTTGGCCATTTAGTAAAAAAAAAAAGCAATGTGCTTGTGCACATACACCACATACTTTATGTACAATAAAGGAATGGGGAAGGGGTAAATGAAAGAATAGAGAAAACTATACTGTAGTAGTCAGGATGTGGTGGAACCAAACTGCAGTTTTCTAATTGAGAATGTATTCTTGGTCTGTAAGAACAGAGTTCTGGAGTAGAGTTGTTGCAGGTTCCCTTTTTAGTAGACACCTCCTGTCTGCTGCTGGAACACATCAATTGTATCTTCGTCCTCCAGTTCCAACTGTGCAGGTGTGTCTGTTTCATTGATTGGCTGTCCATCAAATCGGAATCTGATCTGCCTCATTGACAAACCCTGTCATTCACAATAGGCTTTCATTAGTTTACTAAGTGGTGTATGCCTCTTAATCTTAAACTGCACCACAGAACCATCCTGCCCCGCCACCTTCAAATTAATATGATCGTTGTTCTCAGTCTTGACTCCTTCCTTGGGCTTTTTGTCGGCCATAGCGAGCGCCCGAGTCTTCTCACCTGCCGCTTCACAAAAGAGGTACCAGGTCTGCACCGAACGAGCACACAAGCAGCTCCAGGAGCAGCAGAAGGAGGTGGCAGCGGTGGCCGAGCATATAGTAGATTTTTAACTATTTGTTAAATAGGAATTCACTATTGGCAGATTTCCTTCTCAAACTTAGCCAAAGGGCCAGGAAATTAGCTCAGTGGTTCTGCCACCTGTCTCGAAAGCACAAGGTCTCGAGTTTGATCCCTGGTACCAAAAAAAAACTTAGCCAAAGGTTATCAAGTAAAATTTAGTCATAACTTATGATATACTGCAGACCAAAAGTAATTACTTCAAAATATCATTTCTTTCAGATATGAAGGGTTTAACATAACTAAACTGTACGATGGACCATATGTAAGTAAAGTCACTTTATTTTTATTTTTAGCAGTATACCAGATATAGTTAAAAGCTCACTGCTGTTGATTTTAAATATTTGATTGTGAAAATTTTCAAGCATACATAAGTCAGGATAATAATGTCATGAACCCTATTTATCTATGATATAGAGTCAACATTTGTGAAGTTTTCCCACTTTCTTTTTGTTTGGTTCCCCCATCCTACCCCCCCCCCACTATGTAGTTCAGGCTGGCCTGGAACTCATAGTGATCCTCCTGCCTCAGCCTCCCAATTGCTGGGATTACGGCATGCACCACCATGCCCCACACTGCCATTGTCACCCCTGGTTAGCTCCTTGTCATCCTCTAGTACCTACTTCCTGTTTGGAATTTCCCAGCCACCTCGGAAGCGACCCCTTAGCCCTTCCCTGGCCTGCTGTCCTCAGAGCCTGAGAGTGACAGCAGGCCCTGGCCCGGGTGGAGGGGCCAGGTCTAGATGTTGTGTCCTTGAATTTAGGGTCCAGCAACCAAAACAAGAGCACAGCTGGTGCCCTCGAGCTTGCTGGACCAGGCTCCGCAGCGGCAGCGGGACTGGGATAAATCACCTTACAAGAGAAAGCAGGTAAGGGCTGGGGATTTAGCTCAGTGGTACCACGCCTGCCTGGTAAGTGCAAGGTCCTGAGTTTGATCCCCAGTACCAGAAAAAAAAAAGAGAGAGAGAGAAAGCAGGTAAAGGAGAACAATGATAAAATTTATAATAATTTTATGACAATATTTCTGACACAATCTCCATGACAAGCTCACAAGGCCCATGTGACGTTTGTTTGTTTGTTTGTGGTATGGGGATCCAATTCAGGATCTTGCACTTGCTGGCAGGCAGTGGAATGATTGAGCTAAATCCCCAGCCCTGTTTGTTTTTTGAGACAGGGTCTCAGTATGTAGCTCAGGCTGTGAAACTTGTGGGGCTTCTCCTGCCTCAGCCTCCTGAGTGCTGGGATCACAGGTGTGCGCTACCACACCTGGCCCCAAGTGATTTAGACCAACACACACACACACACACACACACACACACGTGTGGAAATTGTAGTGACCCTCCTGCCTCAGCCTTCTGAGTGCTGGGAGTACAGGTGAGCACCACGGCACCCAGTTTTGTGGGGAGTTGGTACGTGGTCATGACACGTCTTCATTCTTTTTACTTCCCCTTCCCTCCCTTACAGCATCTAGGTATAATTTGTTTTCTTTTATTCCATTTGCTCTAAAATAAAAGGGGTTGGGGATGTAGCTGAGTGGCACAGTGCCTGCCTGGCAAGCGCGAGGTTCTGAGCTCCAACCCCAGTACAAAAAAAAAGGGCTCTAATTCTCTTTGATGGTTTTTTTGGGGGGGTTTTTTTGGTACCCTGGATCAAACTCGGGTCCTTGCGCTTGTGCAGCAGGCAGCAAAACTACTGAGCTAAATCCCCGGCCCAGGGCTCTAATTCTCTAGGGGAGACTCCTGTGCAGTATTATGTTGGGGCTTCAACAGTGGCGTAACACAAAGATGTTTTACTCACTTATTTCAAATGCAAATGTTAACTGCACCATGGATGGAAAATTAAGGATAAGGGATCACCCCAAAATTTTACTGCAGACTACAATTCTACCTGTCCCCCAAGGCACCAGTGAACTGTTGGAAAATTTCTCTTGTTTTTATAAAGTGATGCAGGAAATTCTGATGCCAAGGATTTATAGAGGTTAAGAATGTAGACTGACCTCGATGTGGTGACGCAGGCCTGGAATCCTAGCACTCTGGGAGGCTGAGGCGGGAGAATTGCAAGTTCCACACCTGCCTGGGCAATTTAGCAAGACTGTATCTCAAAATTTTTTTAAAAAAATTTTTTTGAAAGAGCTGGGGATGTAGTTCAGAGCAGAGACCCTGGATTCAATCCCCACTAAAAATAAATAAATAAAGATAAAAGCCTGTTACCAGGTTTTGGGGTGCTCACCTCTTTGTTTCCAGGTCCTTCTCATCTCAAACAATGAACAAGACAAGCTTATTTGAAAAAGTAAAAGTGAAGGGTAAGGGAGAAACTGGCTCTGCAAGCAAACATGGGTGGAATAAAAGAAGGGGAAAGAAGTGCACGCTGAGGAACACAGGGAGGGTACTCTGAGGAGCTCTTCTCCGTGTCTCTGTCCTTTTATGTCACCCACACCTCTGGGAGGCCTTCTACACATGGCGCTGAGAGGCAGTGTTGCATGGATTTTAGGGTCCCAGCACCTCCTTCCTCACCAGGCTAAGCCACGCCCCATCTGCTCTCTCAAGCCTGTGGTGGTGCCTCACTCCTGTGATCCCAGCACCGAAGAGGCTGAGGCAGGAGGATTGCCAGACTGGGCTACAAAGTGAGTTCAAGGACACCCTGAGCTACATGGTGAGACACTGTCTAAAAATACATACATACATACATACAGCTAGGTGTGTTGGCTGACACCTGTAATCCCAACATTTTGGGAGACTGAGGCTGAGGCAGGAGGATCACAAGTTTGAACCCAACCTTGGCAGCTTAGTGACTTAGCAAGACCCTGTCTCAAAATAAATAAAAAAAGGTATGGGAATGTAGCTCAGTGCAAAGGCCCTGGGTTCAATCCCCAGTATCACAAAAACAAAACGACAATAAAAAGCAAAAACAAGGGCTGGGGATTTAGCTCAGTGGTTCCACTGCCTGCCTCGAAAGTGCAAGGACCCAAGTTTGATCCTCAGTACCAAAAAAAAAAAAAAAAAAAGAACAAACCACTGAACTCCTTAAAATGTTTGGCTGTAGTAAGAAGAGAAAGCAAATGAATGAGTGAATGAGTGGACAAGGGCTTCTTCCCCGGCCTTGCGCTACAGCGGCAGGGAAACTCTGGTTTCTACAAGATCACAAAGCAAAGAGCAGGATGTGTCTCGCTCCGGAGGAGGAACAAGGACCACAGCCCGTGGCTCCCGTGGCCCTGGGACCACCCCCACCCCACCCCCAGCCCCACCTGGGGCTTCGTGGCCCCAAGCCGCATCTCCTTGCCGCAGAAGCAGAGGCCCGGGGACCCCCACTCTGTCCTCAGCACCCCTTCTGTGGCTCCACCCCTCGCCTGATCCCCCACAGCCCCTCCTGCCCCAGGGGTCCCCTCAGCACCCGATCCCGCCCTCCTGTCCTCTGCCTTCCCACTGCCATTCTCCCCAGGACCTCTGATCACAGTCCGGACACCTGCTTGGCATCCCGCCCCTAGCGGGCGCCAGTGTGGCCCTGTCCCCTACTCTCCTCCAGTTCCCCTCTCTAAGCGGGCGCTTCTCCTGCAGGAAATTGCCCGGACCTAGGGTGAAGAACCCGAGAACTCACGGGCCGGGGAAGAAGCGCACCTGGGCCCAACTCCGCGAGGACTGAAGAGGAGAAATCACCGCTCAGCCTGCAGCTCAGTGATGTCTTCTTAATAAATGCTTCTCAGCAGAAAGCCTGGCCGGAGAACACTGGCTTTTGTCCCAGCTAACTGGGATCATAAACAATGAAGTAAGGGGGCGGAGATCAAGGGAAGGAAGACTCTTTGTTTGAAAGGAGGGAAAAGAAGATAGAAAGCTGCCCCCCCCCCCAGAGGGAAAGGAGGCTTTGGAGAGGCGGGGGGGGGGGGGGGCTGGGCCTTTGTTCTGGCCTGTGCTACAGTCCGCAGTGTCACGTCTGGCTCCCGATCAGGGAACCAAAGATGTCGCATTTGGGGGATAAGCACTGCTGCCCTGGTGTCCAAGCAGCCCCCCGGGATCACAAACTCGGCCCCAATAATAACTTAGAAGGACAAAGTTTAACGCATGGAAGACACTTTATTTGTAAAGAGGAGAAGGAAGAGGGAAGAAAGGAGAAGACTATAGCTTCTCTGATAAGAAGAATCAGGGCGGGGCCTCTGGAAAGCTGGAGGACCCCTGGGCCCTTGGTTCCTGGCTGCTTTTACGGGGGCTTGGGGCCCTTCCCCACCGGAATCTCCCGTGACTGGGTTGGCTTCCAGCACCTCTGCCTAAGGCCATGTTTCCCACTGCTCTATGTGCAGCTTCTGTCTTTTGCCAGTACCAGGGATCGAACTCAGGACCTTGCGCTTGTGAGGCAGGCACAGTGTCATGGAGCTACATCCCTGGTGCTCTCCACCCCCATTCTTGTCCTGCTTCCCAGGGGAATTTTTCTAGTGAAGTTTGCTTTTAACTCCTTCTAGCTGGGATTAGCTAGAAGACCTAATGAGGCCCCTATTCTATTCTTGTCAACGCTGACCCTACAGCAGGAGCCCTGGCCCCCACCTGGAACTTGCCATAACCCACTTGGTTCCCCTGCTGTCCTTGGGTTAGACTGGGCCCCTTACCTATGTGTGCATGTCTTTTGGTGGGCTTTGTGTGACTGCCTTGTGCCCTTCTGTCCTTGGCAAGGCCGGCTTTATGGAAGGTCAGCTTAGAGTTGGGAAAGGGATGTGTAGGTATCTACTGTAGTAAAATAGTGACCTAGAGTGAATATATAGATTCAGATGTGTATGCAGCAGCGAGTATATACCGAATAAGAGCTCTCCCCAGAGTTAGTCAGTCTCCCTCCCCATCGGCTCCCCTGCCTTCTACTGGAGGTGGGGAGGGCCGGCTGTCTTGCCCTCTAGCTTCACATGCTTGGCTTTCTCCCCTCTCTCTCCCTCTCTCTCCTCTCTCTCTTATTAGTTCCAAGTCACCTGTGCTACCTTGTATCTTTTTTATCTGGTTTTCTCTTCTCTCTATCCTTGTCCTTGACACTGTTCCCAAGGGAATTTATCTAGTAGAGTTTTGACTCCTACTCAGGATTAGTCAGAAAACCCAAGGAAGCCCTTATCTTGTCTCTCCCTGCCTACAGCCGCTCTTTCCCTGCCCTCTTCTATTTAAATAGTAGAGAGCATTGTTTGGGTCATTTGTCATCTTAGTGGCTTGATGTTTCCTTCTCCCATCTCTGGGAGTCATAGTGTGTTAGCTCCTGACTCGGGACAGATTCAAACCAAACCTGTTGGCGTTGAACTCACTATGAAGCCCAAGCTGGCTTTGAACCTGTGAATCTGTGATCCTCCTGCCTCAGCCTCCTGAGTGCTAGGATTACAGGTGTGCACCCCATACCCTGCAAACAGTTTGGTTTTTTTTTGTACCAGGGATCTAACTTGGGCCCTTGCACTTGCAGGGCAGGCAGCAAAACCACTGAGCTAAACCCCCCACTTCTTAACAACAATCTTTTTTGGGCTGGAGATTTACCTCAGTGGTGCCGCCACCTGCCTTGCAAGCAAAAGGTCCCACATTCAATCCCTGGTTCAGAAAAAAAACAAGAATCTTTTTAAAGTACCAGATATTTTGTGTGTTCATCCTCAAACTACATGTGTCACACTTTCCTGTTCTCTCTGTTTTTTTTTTTTTTTTTGGTACCGGGGATCGAACTCGGGACCTTGCACTTGCTAGGCAAGCGCTGGAACCACTGAGCTAAATCTCTGGCCCTGTTCTCTCTGTTCTTAAATAGGTTGTGACCAAAAGACCAGAGAAATCTAAAACAACAGTGCAGTTCCCTCAATGGCAGCATTTACCTGAGGGCTTTGGTCATAACTGAGCTCACTAAGAGTTCTTAGAGTGACGGAGCTTTCAATATATCAGGATCTAGTGTCAGAACTTCCAACCACACAGCAAAAGGGATTCAGAGTTTCAAAGAAAATTTAACTGGGTGCCAGCGATTTAGCTCAGTGGTGCCACTGCCTGCCTCGAAAGCACAAGGTCCCAAGTTCAATCCCCAATCCCGGGTACCAAAAAAAAAAAAAAAGGGCCAGGGATTTAGCTCAGTGACACTGCAACTGCCTCAAAAGTGCAAGATCCTAAGTTCAATCCCCAGTACCAAAAAAAATTTTCAAAGAAAACTTACCGGACCATATTACTTGAGTAGTGCCAGCCATAGCAAGGTTTCTAAATATTTCCCCAGTACTAACTAAAGTCTCAAAACAAACTTAAGTACAGTATATTCAAACAGCAGATTATAAAACAGTGTATATGGCATCACCAAGTTATTTTCAAAAATGTGTTAATGTATAGATATCAAAAAGTTGTCTAGAATAGTGTTCACTTAACTGCTGCAATCTCTCTGGAAAAGCTAAGTATATTTTTCTTTCTGTTCAAGAGCATTTTGTTGTTTCCTGAGACAAGGTGTTGCTAGGCAGTTCAGGCTGGCCTTGAACTCCCAGCAATCCTCCTGCCTCACCCCTGAGTGCTAGGATTACAGGTGTGGGACACCAGGACTGCTCAGACAAAGACCTTCAATCAGCCATTTAATAACTGAGAGATAAAGCAATCTATACCTAAAGAGCTAAAAGAAAAGTATGTAAATAGTGTGTGAACAGGCAGAGAACATCAAAAAAGAGAAGAAGCAAATAAAACCTCTGGAAGTGAAAAGTACAATAGTTAAAAAGAAAAATTCAGGGGCTGACTAGCAGTGTTACACAGCAGAGGAAAGAAGCTGTGAGCTTGGGGCTAGATATCATCCAGCCTGAGGCACAGAAAGGAGAAGGCTCCAGGAAGTACTGTATTGGGAGACACTTCTAAGAGCTGAGAGAGTCACTGTATAGAAGAGAAAATACTCAAAGAAGGCTACAGGGAAAATGGACCCTTCTCTATTGCTGGTGAGAATGTAAATATAACTGTTATGGAAATCAATATGGAGATTCCTCAAAAAACTAAAACTAGTTACCCAGCTAACCCAGCTGTTCCCCTTGTAGAGATCTTCTTGAAAGAGTTAAAGACATCATATTACAGTGATCCACACATACCCACGTTTATAGTAGCACAGTTCACAATAACTAAACCCTGGAAGCAGCCTACATCCATCAACAGATGAATGGACAAAGAAAATGTGGTATTTATACACAATGGAGTACTACTCCACCATAAAGAGGAACAAACTTCAGTCACTGTAGGAAAATGGATGAACCTTGAGACCATAATGTTAGATGAAATAAACCCACACAAACTTAAAATATCTCATGCTTTCTCTTATATGAGAAACTGAAAGCATAAACTAAAGAGTAAAAATTTAAAAAGATAATACAAAAAGCGGGGGATTTAGGCCAGTGGCACCACGCCTGGCTTGCAAGCACAAGGTCCTGAGTTCGATCCCCGGTAACAAAATAAAACAAAATAAAGGATAATAGGAAGCCGGGCATGATGGTGCACACCTGTAGTCCCAGAACTTGGCAGGCTGAGGCAGGAGGATCACCAGGAGTTCAAGGCCAGCCTGAGCTACATAGTGAGTGCAGGGTCAGCCTGAAGAACATAGTGAGACCCTGTCTCAAAAAAGGAAATAGATCTTTCTCAAATAGGACGATGATCAAGAGATGGAGCAAGGGCCGAGGATTTAACTCAGTGGTTCTGCTGCCTGCCTCACAAGCGCAAGGACCCGAGTTCGATCCCCGGTACCAAAAAAACAAACAAACAAAAAAAAGAGATGGAGCGAAAGGGGAAGGAGAGGGGATGAAAAAGGAATTCAGATGTGTTATGTGCATGCACCAACTCCACACAAGGAATGTAGACATCATGTACTGCAAACACTAATTTTTTAAAAAATACAGTACTCAAAGAAGTACTAATTGACAGGTGACATCGTTTTTTGGAGTTTTAGTTTGGTTTGGTTTTGGTTTTTAGAGACAGGGTCTCGATACCATAGTTCAGGCTGTCCCTGAACTCACTTTGTACCCCAGCCTGGCCTTGAACTCCAGCTGATCCTCCTGCCTCAGCCTCCCAAGTGCTAGGATCACAGGCGTGCGCCACCACGCCAGGCAAGAAAACAGTACCACACCTAACCTGTCACCAGTCTTCTGGTCACACCTCCTACAACGGAGGACCCCTCTCCGTTCCCAGCGTCACCATCGCCTCCATGCATCACACTACACATCTGGAGCCCTCGACTTCTCATTTCCTCAGCAGGACTACCTCAGGTAACCCATTCCTACGCTGACACCAGAGAACCTATCCACACCGGCAGAACTCGGCCCTGGCCAGACCCACAGCGGACCCACTCCTTTCCTGGTCTGGTCTGTAGCCCCACGGTTGCTAGGCAACCATGCGAAGACCCTTAGGAGGGCTGCCTGACCGAACGCCTGAAGGACCCCTAGAGACCGTCCAGGTTGACCAGCGCAGTGCCTGGTGGCCCTAAGTGGCGAGAGACCCAGGTGAGCAGGACGCGGAGTCCGGTCCAAGTAGCCGGGAGCGTCGGACGGGTTTTGTCCCCGAATACGAGGGCCCGGTGTAGCGCAGCTAAGGCCTGGAGAAGTCGGGGCTGGGCGGGAGCCTGGGCGTGGAGGCGTAGCTGCAGAAGGGTCCGAGCCCTTGCCGCGCTCGGGGACGCGGGGCTCCGGGTGGTTTCTCCCCGGGTGGGCGCGCGTGTGTGTGTATGGTGGGGGTTGAGACAGGGTCTCACTATGTAGCCCAGGCTGGCCTCGAACTTGCAGTGATCCTCTTGTCTCAGCCTCCTGAATGTTGGGATTACAGGCTGCGCCACCATGTCCGGCCCTCTGGAACTTTTAAAGTGTAATTTTCTGATGAGTGATCTTCAAATTGAGCATTTTTCTCGACTTGGTAACATTTGTTTCAAACCAAACACCAAGACAGCCAACCCTGAGGCTCGGGGGAAAGGACCCAAGTCCCGCCCTCCTCGAGTCACGTGTCTTCCCCGGGAAGGGAAAGGCCCAGGAAGCGGGAGCAGGAGGAAGTTAAGGGGCTTGGGGTTAGGGACCATCCACAGCTTGCTAGACTGTGATAAGTGAGGCTTTGAGGTTTTAGAGGTTGAGGAGAGGAATCATATGATCCGCTGCGCATTAACAATCCTTCATTTCGGCTGCAGAGAGAACAGATTTCCAGGGTGACAAGATCTGAAGCCAGGAAACCAGAGAGGAGGCTGTTGCGGGAGGCCAGAAGGACCGGCGAGATAGCAGTTGAAAGAGAAATTTATGTGGGTTTCAGATACATTTGGTACGGCGGGGAGGGGGGGACGGGGACCGGAAGTGTGAAGGGGGGACCGGAGACCAGGTAGAATGGTTAGGCTTACCCTGTACGCGGAGGTTGGGCCTGGCTTCGTGGTTTGCCTGGGACATCCAGTAGAAAGCCCTAGAAAGGACAAGAATAGTTTCTGTCTTTGGGCGGGACCCTAGCACCATGGCCAAGATGATGGTCCGGCCCTCTTCAGACTGAAAAGACAGATGTCCAGACTTTGTCCGTGGGTGCGTTCGCAGAAGCCTCCTCAGCAGTTCCTGGCAAATTAGAGATTTATTGAGATAATATTTTGAGATCTAGTCTTTACTCCTGCAGAGGTGATCAATTTTTTACATGTGACTAGAGCTTCATAGTTGGAAGAGACCTCAAATTCTTAGTTCAGCAATGATTGCGTAGTGGCCTATAATCCTAGCAGGCTGGGAGGCTGAGGAAAGAAGATTGCAAATCTGAGCTCAACCTGGGCAGCTTAGATGTCTGAAGGAAATACTGTCTCAAAAATTTTTTTAGGGCGGGGGATTTAGCTCAGTGGCAGCACGCATGTCTCACAAGCACAAGGTCCTGAGTTCAATCCCTGATACCAAAAAAAATTTTTTTCTTTAAATCTTTAAGGGCTAGGGATGTACCTCAGTGCAAAGGCCCCTGGGTTCAAGCCCTAGTTCCATTAAAAAAAAAAAAAAAAAAAACTTAGTCTAGTTTATAGGCTATTTTTATGTTTGCTATGTCTTTCCACAAGTATCTGTTGAGCTGTTATACCATGTTAGGGGCCAGGAATACAGACTAGAAGATTATATGGTATATGGGTTCACTGGTCAGTGAAATTGGTTGCACTCTGGGGTACCAGGCACTGTCTCAGCTGCTTCGCATAGAAAAGGGCCAGGCCCTGGCCTTGATGTCTCCAAATCTGGCCCCTGAGGACACTGAGTATATTAACAGCTTTGATTCATGGAAGGGATATTCTCTCCTGTCCAAAATATTAGACCAGAGATGGTGTGTGTCCAGCAGATGTACTGGTATCCAGCTTGAATTGAGTTTTTGTTTGTTTGGTTTGGTTTGGTTCGGTTTGGCTTTTTGAGACCGTGTCTTGCTATGTAGCCCAGGCTGGCCTCAAATTCACGGTGATCCTCCTGCCTCAGCCTCCCAGAATCACAGATGTGTGCCACCACACCTGGCTATTTAAGCTTATTTCTCTTGAGTGGGCAACGCTGGTGCCCTTACAGTGGCACCAGCCCGAGTGTACTCCTTCCTGCAATCCCAGTAAACGTTTGTGTGTGTGTGTGTGTGTGTGTGGCCCTGCACTGCAGCTGTGAGGCGCCCTATGCTGTGAGCATGGCAGGCGTGGGGTGCTGTCTACCATGTACAGCTATGCAGCTTCCCTCACCCGACTCTCCTGTCCAGTGGCAGAGGTGACATGATGTCCATCTTGCGAAGCCCCCAGGCTCTCCAGCTTACCCTCGCCCTGATCAAGCCGGATGCTGTTGCCCACCCACTTATTCTGGAGGTAAGGACAAGACCCAGCCTCTGGTGTCTTCCTGGGGAGGCTGCTGTCCCAGGGGCTCCAAGGCCACTTGTGACTGACAGCACATCCTGTGCCTCTGCACAGCAGCCTGGGACCTGGACCCTGATCCTAAGAGACTGGATGTCCTTTGGGGACCTGAGCAGATCCAGATCTAAGAAAGGGCCCAGTCCAGCTTAAAAGTAGTGTCTGTGTGTTCACTCCCCACGGCAGCGTAGCATTGCTGCAAGTGAGTCATCGCTCAGAGTCCCATGGGCACAGCCAGGCCGTCTCCTTAGCCTCTTATCTAGGTGTCTGGGAGAATCTGCTTCCAGGTCGGTGGCCAGTCCGCTAAGGTTTGGGCAGCTTCCTGTAATGACAGGGCTGATCCGCAGCTTTGAACACTGCATTGAGATAGTTGCGCTTCGGGCCAGAGAGCGCTGTGTACATACAGAGCTTCTGATTGATCGAGTGTGATGGTTGGAAAGAGACTCCAGATAGGACTGTTGCTATGACTTTCGGTGGTGGCCTGCGCACTCGGTCCTGTGGGCTCGAGGGCTGCAAACAGCACCCCTGTCCCCTACCCCCGAGGTTCTCACACTGCTGTGACTTTGGATCTGGACCCCACCGTGCGTCAGCCTGGGCCTCTGGCTGACTCTGCCTCCGGCCCTGTCTGTCAGGCTGTTCACCAGCAGATCCTGAGCAACAAGTTCCTCATCGTGCGCACTCGAGAGCTGCTGTGGAGGAAGGAGGACTGCCGGAGGTTCTACCGGGAGCACGAGGGTAGGAGGCAGGGGCCCGCCCGGGAGGCTGCTCAGCCCAGGCTTCCTGGCGTGTGCACTGCAGCCAGGCCCCAAAGCCTTGGTTTATACTGAGCTTCTTGTGATCATCAGTATTTGATATTCCTGGGAAGGTAGCATCTCATAGTTGCAACCGGAAGCCTCCTCATTTTACATCCAGTAATTAACACTTAGTGAATGTTTGCTCCGTCAGCCATTGCTTGATGCCCATTGTTTCATGTATTCTCCCATCACCCTTGAAGGCGAGTACCTCACATCAGCTGTACCTGTTAGGAAGCTGAGCAAGGGCTGAGTGACTTAGTTACTGACCAGAACTGCTCGGGTTGTTGGTGTCAGAGCATGCGGGTTCAGACCTGGGGTGTCAGGCTGCAGGATCCTTATTGCTCTCTCTGAAGTGGTGTTTGCTACTCAGGGTGAGGGCTAGGAGTGTCGTGACCAAGTCCTCTTTCTTTGCAGGGCGTTTTTTCTACCAGCGCCTGGTGGAGTTCATGGCCAGGTACCTGTCACTGTGCTCCTTCGTCTGTCTTCTCTGCCCAGTGGTCACTGTGCCAGGGACGGGGAGAGGATGGTGGAGCATTGCCTAGCAACCATTTGGCCAGGAGCCCTTGGACACAGACCCGCAGGCACACCTTGTGCCGAATTCCTGCCTGCGCACGGCCCACTCCTAGGCCAGCGGCCGGCCCCTGACACGTTCCTCTTCCTCCAGCGGGCCCATCCGAGCCTACATTCTCGCCCACAAGGACGCCATCGGGCTCTGGAGGACGCTAATGGGACCCACCAGGGTGTTCCGAGCCCGCCACACGGCCCCAGACTCCATCCGAGGGAGTTTTGGGCTCACTGACACCCGCAACACCACCCACGGCTCAGGTCAGTCTTCCTCCCTCCCACAGCCAGGTGAAGAATGGAGCAGGGCATAGTGGTGCAGGCCTGACATCCCAGCACTCTGGTAGGCTGAAGCAGGAGGATCGCAAGTTTGGGCCCAGCCTGGGTGTCTTAGTGGCTTAATGAGACCCTGTCTCAAAATTTAAAATTAAAATAAGGGCTGGGAGTACAGCTCAGTGCAAAGGCCCTGGGTTCAATCCCTAGTACTACAAAAAAAGGAAAAGTCTTGGAGGGTGGGCTGCATGGTACAGTTGGCAGCTAGGTCCTGCCATCGAGCTTGCTTCCTGTGTTCATTTCTGGCCCTGTGGGGCCACCTTGGCTGGTGTGGCCCTGGGCTTTCTCTGTCCCACCCGGGCAGGAGTGCAGGCAGGAGAGAAGGCTCAGGTTCTGGCCCAGGGAAGCCCCTCACCTCCACCTGCACGCGCTGTGTCCCCCCAGACTCTGAAGCATCAGCCAGCAGGGAGATCGCAGCCTTCTTCCCGGACTTCAGTGAGCAGCGCTGGTATGAGGAGGAGGAACCCTGGCTGCGCCACGGCCCAGTGCACTACAGTCCCTTGGGCGGCGTGCACTGCATGGCCAGACGGCCTGGGCCAGCTGGGGCTGACTGTGCACAGTGACAGCAGTGCCCCGACCTGTGCTCCTCTGCCTCGGCCCGGCGTTTTCTCCTAGGAGCAGGAAGCCTGGGCTGGTGGCGAAGCTGCCAGGCACCACCAGCTGCCAGAGGGTCTGGCTCGTCGCGGCTCACCCTCCGGGACCTGGCTCTTCATCTACCTCTTCTCTGGAACACTTGTGGTGCCTAAGAAGGAGGATTTTTCTCTTGCTGAGAGCCACTCCTTCCTCGAGGTCTTGCCTGGGATACACAGCACCTCCAGAAGCTCTGCCTGGCTGTCTTCCTTAATGAAGTCAGCGTGGGCTGGGCATAGTGGTCCACGCCTGTCATCTTAGCACCCGGGAGGCTGAGGCAGGAGGATCACCAAGAGTTTGAGGCCAGCCTGAACTACATATCGAGACCCTGTCTCACCCCTCCAAAAGCAAGAAAATGTGTTGCTTAAAACAATAGTGGTTTTTTTCCTCCATGTCTGTGGGGTGGTGGGCGATTCTGCTGATACTTCTGCACACACTCGTGTGACTGTGTCCACCAGGGTCTCCTGGCCTTTTATCCTGAGCTAAGCGATAACACTGTCGTGTTAGGGCTCCAGGAGGGTGGAGCCCATTCAAGAGTATGACACTTGGGTCACTGATGTTTCCTTGTCCAAAGCAGGTCAGACACCTTCTGCCCGGCTCTGAAGGCGTCCGCTGGGCACGCGGGCTCCCATCCATGGTGCTGCGGAAGGTGCCGCTTCCCATCAGGCCCCTCTCCTGGGTGCCTTGGTCATCAGTCTCTGCCACCTCCCTTTCTTCTCTGGAAAGCTCCTCTCCTCAGAAGCAAATCCATGTGGTGCCTGTCTTTGGACACATTCGGCCTCCTCCTCTCAGCTGAGTCTCAGGTCCTCCTCTCAGCATAGCCAGGCCGCACCGGTGCCTCCCTGATGGGCTCACCCCACTTCCTCACCATGTCTTCAGTCCAGGTTCAGCACCCAGGAGTGAGCCAGGTGTGGTGGCCCACACCTGTAATCCCAGCATTCGGGAGGCAGAGCCAGGGGACCCCAAGTTCAAGGCTAGCCTGAGCAATATAGTGAGACCCTGTCTCCAAAAAAAACTTCCACAACTGAAATCCAGAACTAAATTGAGTTCCAGCTCTAATTTCCAAGAGCCAGTTCCAAGGTCATGTATGATCCATTATGTGTCCCAGAACAAGGTTCGGTTCTGAAGTCCTCCGTGCTAAGGTCCAGGGCCTAAGTGGGAGGAGAAGGCCCGGGTCTGTGGCCCAGGGGCGCCCCTCGGAGGGCTGAGGGCGGGCTCTGACATCAGGCCCAGGTCTGAACCAGTGACTGCCGGCGTGGTGCATAGATTGAGCTGCTGGTCCACAGCCCAGCGTGCGGCAGTGACCGGAAGCTACTGCTTCACATCCATGGGTGGGGTTGTGCTGCCCCCCAAATCCATGTATCAAAGTCCTAACCCCAAGTGCAGCCGAATGCGACCTTCCTTGGAAACGGTGACTGCAGATGCACTTAGGGTGAGGTCACCCTGGGGAGTGAGCCCTGCTACAGCGCGACTGACATCCTCAAAGGGGAAGCAGATCGGAAGGATGCCCTCAGCGGGAAGACGTGGGGTGGTGCCCCCCCACCAGAGAAGGCCCAGCTGCCGGAAGGCGGTCTGGGTCTAGAATGTCCCCTAAGGGTCCCCATATTACAGTCCTGGTCCCCGCTGGTGCTACTGGGACATGGCGGGGCCCAGTGGAAGGTCTTCACGTCACGGGGGGGTGCGCTTGAAGGGGACAGTGAGAGCCCAGGCTCCTTTCTCTCCTTTCCTCTCCCCGGCCGTGAAGCGAGCAGATCTGCTCTCCTGTGATGGGTTCTCACCACAGCCCAGAGGATTGAGGCTGCCAGTTGTGAACTGAAGCGTCCAACCGGGAGCCAAAATGAACCTTTCCTCTTTGTACGCTGACTCTCAGCTGTACGTTATAGTAACAGTAAGCTGACTGACACTGTGAGACATTAACTTTTTTTTAAAGGAAAACATTTATTGGCGGGCTAGGGATTTACCTCAGTGGTGCCGCCGCCTGCCTCACAAGCACAAGGACCCGAATTCGATCCCCGGTATGAAAAAAAAGAAGTATGGTCTCAAGGTGCATCCACTTAGCTAAAAATGTCTCAAACTTAACCTTCTTTATGTCAGAGTAGTACTCCATTGTATAAAAAAAAAAACCACATCTTAACCATTCCTTGGTTGAATGGGCATTTGGGCTGTTTCCAAGATTTAGCTATTACAAACTGTGCTGCTATACACATGGGTGTGCACGTATCACTGTGGTATGATGCTTTTAATTCTTTCAGGAAGATTACCATGAAGGGAAATAGCTGGGTCAAATGAAACCTCTAGTTTTAGCTTTTGAGAAATCTTAACACTGATTTCCACAGTGGTTGCACCAGTCTGTGCTCCCACCAGCAGTGGAAAAAGATTTCTTTTTCCCCACAGCCGCTCCAGAATTTGTTATTGGTTGATTTCTTGATAGCAGCCATTCTTTCTGCAGTGAGATGGAATCTCAGTATTGTTTTAATTTGCATCTGTTGAATGACCAGTGATGTTGAACATTTTTTCATATATTTATTTGCCATTTCTACTTCTTCATCTCAGAAGTGTCTGTTTCATCTTATTTATTTTTTGGTACCAGGGATTGAACTCCAGTCCTTGGGCTTTCGAGGCAGGCAGTGGAACCACTGAGCTAAATCTCCAGCCGGTGAGAAGTGTCTATTTCAGATGCCCATTTTTGGATTGGGTCATTAAATTTGGGGAGTCTGATTTTTTTGAGTTCTTTATATATTCTATCTATTTCTCCTTTGAGGAACAACTAGCAAATTTTTTTCCCACATTGTGGGTTGTTTCTTCACTCTGTTGGTGGTTTCTTTTGCTGTGCAAAAGCTTTTGTTGTTTTGTTGTTGTTTTGGTGCCGGGGATCGAACTCAGGACCTTGCGCTTGCAAGCCAGGCGGCGGAACCACTGAGCTAAATCCCCGGCCCTGCAAAAGCTTTTTAATAAGATGAGATCCCAGTTGTTGATTCTTTGTGATCATTCCTTTGTGATCGGGTTTTGTTCATAAAGTCTTTGCCTACACCAGTGTCTTCAACAGTTCTACCTATTCTACCAGTAGATTTAGGGTTTCTGTTTTAATATTTAGATATTTGATCCATTTTGATTTGAATTTAGTCCATGGTGAAAGATGAGTCTAGTTTTAATCTTTGGCAAATGGAAAGCCAGTTTTTCCAGCACCATTTTTTTTTTTTTTTTGCACTGGAGATCGAACTCAGGACCTTGCACTTGCAAGAGGCAAATGGTGGAACCACTAAGCTAAATCCCCAGCCCTCCAGCACCATTTATTAAAGAGCCTATCTTTCTTCCATTGAAGGTGTTTGGCTCCTTTGTCAAAGACAAGGCAGCTGAGTATGTTCGGAGTTGTTTCTGAGTCTTCTAATCTGTTCCATTGATCCTTGGGTCTGTTTGTTTTGCCAGTACTGTGCTGTTTTTAATCACAGTAGCTTTGCAGTATAATCTCAGACTCGGGATTGTGATGCCCCCGCCTTGCTTTTGTTACCCAGAATTACTTTTGCTATTCTAGATCTCTTCTGGGAGAACTAATTTTTTTTTTTTGGTACTGGGGATCGAACTCAGGACCTTGCGCTTGCAAGGCAGGTGCTGGAACCACTGAGCTAAATCCCTGGCCCTGGGAGACACTAATTTTTTGGTCATTAAACCCACCCAATTTGTGATACTTTGTTACAGTAACAGCAACCTAATGCCATATATAAAACCCAAGATCTAGTTTGAGGGCCAAGGTCCAGGAACACAGTCAAGGTTTGCAAACAACTTACAGAAATAAGGTCAGGTCCGAGAGCCTAGAAAATGCAATCAAAGACTGAGTTCTAAGATTGTAGTTGAACACAGATCAATGTCCAATGTCTAGGTCAGCTTGCAGGATAAATTCCAAAGACCAAATAAAAGGTTCACCCACATCCACTCCATGGATCCACTCCATGTCTAGTTGGTCCTCTCTAAAGAACTGGGGAAATCCAGGTCCAAGCCATGGGTGCCACATACATGAGCATACATGTGAGGTCCCTGACTGTGACCTCAATCAGGTCTAGGGATACGTGTGAGGTGCGAGGTCCAGAGCCGAAGGACAGTGCCACAGTGCCTTTCAACAACCAGATGTGCAAGGCCAAAGCTCAAAGGCCAGGTCCCTGTGTTTTCATTTTTTGCTGTTTTTCAGAAAGCAAAAAGCCAATTTTTTTTTTTTTTTTTTTTTTTTTTTGGTGGTACTGGGGATCTAACCCAGGGACATTGTACCACTGAGCCTCCTCCCCAGCCCTTTTCATATTTTATTTTGAGGCAAGGTCTCACAGAGTTACCCAGGCTGGCCTCCTGCCTTAGCCTGCCAAATAGCTGGGATTCCAGGAATGTAGCACTGTATCCAGCTGAAAAGTGAATCTTTTAATTCATTTGGAACTGTGAGAGCCCCAAAGAGTTAGAACAATATTGCAAAAGGAAAAGAGTTGGAGCATTCACACTTCCTCATTTGGAAGCCTGTTACAAAGCCACCATAATCAAAACAGTGTGGTACTGGCATAAGGATACGTGCATAAACCCGTGGAATAAAACTGAGAGTTTAGAAATAAACATCTGCTGGGCATGGTGGTACATGCCTGTAATCCCAGCAGGCTGGGAAACCAAGCAGGAGGACTGCAATTTTGGGTCCAGCTTGCAGAAAGAAAGGAGAAAGAAGAGGAGGAGGGGGGCCGGGTATTTAGCTCAGGGGTTCCGCCACCCACCTCGAAAGCACAAGGTCCTGAGTTCAATCCCCGGTACCAGAAAAAAAAAAGAAGAAGAGGAGGGGACAAATAAACATGTATGACCAATTGATGTTTTTCAGAGAATTCCAAGACTTTCAATGGGGAAAAAAATCATCACTTTAACAAATGGTAGTGAGACAACTGGATAACCACTCACAAAAGAATGAAACTGAACCCCTGCTTCACACCATATACAAAAATTAACCGAAAACAGGGGCCGGGGATTTAGCTCAGTGGTTTCACCGCCTGCCGCACAAGCGCAAGGACCTGAGTTCTATCCCTGGTAACCCCCCCAAAAGAAAATTAACTGAAAACAGCTGGGCATGGTGGTGTGCACCTGTAATCCCAGCACTCAAACTGAGGCAGGCCAGGGATTTAGCTCGGTGGTTCTGCCACCTGCCTTGAAAACACAAGGTCCTGAGTTCGATCCCCAGTACCAAAAAAAAAAAAAAATTAACTGGAAACAGACAGACAACCTGAATATAAGAGCTAACACAATAAAACCATTAGAAGAAAACTGAGGTTAATCTTCATGGCCTTGATTTGGCAATGGATTCTTAGATTTGACACACAAACCAAGAGTAACAAAAGAAGAAAAATAGATAAATTGGATTTCTTCAAGATTAAAAACATTCATGCATCAAGGTAAACTATCAAGAATGTGAGGGGGGGCGGGGATTTACCTCAGTGGTTTCGCCGCCTGCTGTGCAAGTCCAAGGACCCGAGTTCCATCCCCAGTACCAAAAAAAAAAAAAAGAATGTGAGGCTACAACCAGAGAATGGGAAAAAATATTTTTCAGTCATATATCTGATAAGGGTTTAAGATTCAGAATATATTTTTATGGAAGGCTGAGGCAGGAGGATCACCACCAGTTCAAGGTGGGGATTTAGCTCAGTGCCTCGCAAGCGCAAGGTCCTGAGTCTGATCCCCCGTACCAAAAAATTAAAAAACAAAACAAAAAACATCTGAGTGTTGCCAAGCATGGTGCCAAATGCCTGTAATCCCAGCAGTGGGGGAGCTGAGGCAGGAAGATTGTCACAAACTCAAGACCAGCCTGAACTACAGAATGAGGCCCTGCCTCAAAAAACCAACATGGGCGCCAAAGATTTAGCTCAGTGGTGCTGCTGCCTGCTGCCTGCCTCACAAGCACAAGGTCCTCGAGTTTGATCCCTGGTACCAAAACAAAAAAAACAACGAAAAAACTATAGCAGTTTAAAACATAGATCTATATGGGCTAGGGATTTAGCTCAGTGATTCTGCCACCTGCCTCACAAGTGCAAGGTCCTGAGTTGGATCCCCGGTACACACACACACACAAAATAGATGTATAAAAAGAAATGAGCCCTGGAAATGACACCAATGAAGGTAAATTTCCCTTTTTCCTCTCTTTGTAGGATGAGGACAGAACCCAGGGCCTCATGCATGCTAGGCAAGCACTGTGCCATGGAGCCACACTTTTCTCAACTGTTATTGCCCTATATGTCAGCCTGACCAACTGAAGGAAAACAGTACCAATTGAGTGTGTGGTTATAGAGCATGTGAAAGAAAATGTATGAAAACATTAAGAAAAATGTGTGAGCAACAAAAGTTGGGAAAGAGAGGAGAAGACAGTTTCAGGGTGTGCTGTCATCCATGCATGCTGGGAGTGCCTCAAGATACCCACTGAAGCCATGGGATTATATCTGACACGTGATCAATAATACGCAAATCCTGGGGCAACTGCTTAAACATGTTTTAAATGGAAGTATAAACAAGAAACCAAAAAAAACCCCAATAAACCAAAAGCAGATATGAAAAACACTCTCACAGAAGCATTCAATGCAGCCAGGTGTGTTGGCACAGGCATGTAATCCCAACACACCAAGAGGCTGAGGCAGGAGGATCCCAAGCTGAAGCCCAGCCTGGGCAAATCAGTGACTTAGGGAGACCCTATTTAAAACATAAATGAGGGCCAGGGATTTAGCTCAGTGGTGCCACTGCCTGCCTCACAAGATCAAGATCCTGAGTTCGATCTCCAGTACCAAAGGAAAAAAAAAACATAAATGAAGGGCTGGGGATGGAGCCCTGGGTGAAGGCCCTGGGTTCAATCCTCAGTATTGCGACAGAAAAAAACAAAATCCAAAAGAAGCCACAAAAAGGAGAGGAAAACAGTGTACACTGAATGAAGAGGAAATAGCTACAGGATGGCAGGAAACAATTCACACATGCCAATAAAACTCCCCTAAAAACCACATTTTCACACCTGGGGCCTAGCTGGCAGGGGGGACACCTCTCATGATCATGAGGTACGGACCCCTAGAAACAGCCTGACTCCCGCAAGCCTTTCTCACACACACAAACCAATCCAGAGCCCCACACCCACACACCCCGCTTTACTGGACTCTCACATTTGAAAGCCAGGAGCCCCTGCCCTGACTCCCCAGGGTCAGCCCTCAGAAGACTCTCATCAGCTGGGGCCTGGGAGTAGGTGGAGTAGGGTGGCCCCCATGCCTGTGAGCCCAGCACTGGGAGGCTGAGGCAGGAGGATCGTTTTGAGTTTGAGGCTAATCTGAACTATATAGTGAGAGACCCTGTCTCAAAAAGAAAAACAACACACACACAAACTCAGATCAATGGTGCTCCAGGGCCACCTGAAATTATTCACTCTGGCCAATCCAGGCCTGGTCAGGCCCTCACCCAGCCTCACCCATGGCTTCCCAGGAAAACCACAGTTGGGGCTTTGGGAAGCCGCACTCCCTCTGCCTGTGGCTGACCCTACATGGCTGTGGTATGGCCTGTTGGAAACTGGTAGAAAAACTGGTGTTTTTTTCTGAGACGGGTTCACTATGTAGTCCAGGCTGGCTTTGTCCGAGTTCTCTATGTACTTGTGGTGATCCTCCTGACTCAGCCTCCTGATGCTGGGATTGTAGAGGTGCAGTACCAATGCCCAACTTGTCCAGTGCTTTGTTCAGGACAACAAGAACCTGGAAAGAATCTCTGGAAAGAGCCCACGGCTCCCCAGAACCTGGTAACAGAGAGACAGAGATAGAGGATAAAGCTAATGGGACAAAAAGCTCATATAGGTGACTGGATGAAAAGCATATAGAAAAGCAGAATTTGGGGGGAAAAAAAGAAAGAATTTGGGCACTTTGGGTATTTTCTTGCTATTTTCAGTATGTGCAAAATTATTGCCAAATACAAAAAACTTTGTGCCTGGTGTGGTGGTGCACACCTGTAGTCTCAGTATTTGGGAGGCTGAAGCAGGACTGCCTTGCATTCCAGGCCAGCATGGGCTACATAGTGAGTTCAGGGCCAGCCTGAAGTACAAAGGGAGACCCTCCCTCAAACAATAACAACAACAACAAAAACAAACAACAACAAGAATGCAAAAACAATTTTTAAAGGTATGTCAGGTGTGGTGGTACTGAAGCATAATCCCAGCTACTCAGGAGACTGAGGCAGGAGGATCACAAGTCCCAGGCCAGCCTGGGCAATTTAGCAAGACTTTGTCTCAAAACAAAGATTTTAAAAGGGCTGTGGCTATAGCTCCGTGCAAAGGCCCTGGGTTCAATCCCCAGCAGTGAAAAAGAAAAATCAATAAACAACTGGCCAGCTGCGTGATGTGCAAGGCCTGATGAACCCAGACCCCAGGGCACCACCGGGGCTGTGAAACCGACTTGCGCAGGACCGGCTTCCCCTTCGTCCCCAGGCCCAAGTGCGCAACCAGTGGCTTCATCCAGGCCGCAACCGACCGCGGTGTTCCTTCCGAGCCTCTCAACCTTGGGCCGAGGCCAAGGGCGGCGCCAGGCTGCAGGCCCTGCTCCTCATGCAGAAGCTGGGACCAGAACCCGCCCGGCGGAATCCAGAGACCCCTCCATTCCTTCTTGTTGTTTTGGGCCAGGGTCTCAAACTCACTGAGATCCTCCTGCCTCAGCTGCATGCACCACCACGCCCAGCTAAGACGGGTCCCTCAGGCCCGCCCTTCTCCCAGCTGTCCCCGCACCCCACCCAGCCCGGGAGTCCCCTCCCTCCCTCTCAGGTGGAGGCTGGGACCGGCGCGGCTGGCGCGAGGAGAGCCGGGGTGGCCGTGGGGCAGCCTGCACCTGGGACGTGGGGGCCACCACCAGCGCGGGGGGACAGCGGGCTGCAGCTCAGCCCCAGGCTTCTGGGCTCTGGGTGGGGCTGCATCTGCATCTCCCGGAGAGCGGGAGCTGAGGGGCTGGGGACACTGGGCTGAGGACCCTCGGACTAGAGGGCGCAGCGTGGCGGGGGGCGGCTCATCCGGGGACAGCGCGGTGGTCCTGGGAGCCGGAAGTGAGAGGCTGAGAGGCGCAGACTGCTGGCAGTAGGAACTGGGGAGTTGGTGTCTGCCCCTAACGCAGCTCCACCCTTATTTCCTCCTCTCCCCTCGCCTCCCTCCCCCTCCCTCCATGTCTCTGTCCCCTTCCCTTTGCAAAACCTCTAACTCCCTGATACTATGATTTTTTATTTTGCTCCTTGATTTAGGTATGATTTGAGTTTCTCATGTAAGAGGAACCATGCAGCATTTAAGCCTGTGTGTCTGGTTTATTGCAGTTAACCTGATGGTCTCAAGCTGCATCCATTTCCTTACAAGTGACTTAAACTGGGCCAGGGATTTAGCTCAGTGGTTTTGTTGCCTGCTGCGCAAGCGCAAGGACCTGAGTTCGATCCCCAGTACCAAAAAACAAAACAAAACAAACAAGTGACTCAAACTTATCCTTCTTTATGACATGTAGTACTCTGTTGTCTATAACACCACCTCTTCTTTATCCATTCATCTGTTGATGGGCATGTAGGCCCCTTCCAAGATTTAGCTTTTATGAGTTATAACATGGGTATGCATGCATCAGTGTAATATGATGCCTTTAACTCTCAGGAAGATCCCTGAAAGGGAACAGCTGAGTCAAATGGAATTTCTAGTTTTAGTGTTTTGAGGAATCTCCATGCTGATTGCCTTGGTGGTTGTACTAGCTTACACTCCCACCGACAGTGAGAAGGGCTCCTTTCCTCCCGCAGCCTCGCCAGCATTTGTTATTAGTCAATTCCTGATGATGACCATTCTTCCTGGAGGAAGATAGAATCTCAGTGTTCTTTTTGTTTGTTTGTTTCTGTTCTGTACGGGGGATCGAACTTGCGCAGCAGGTGGCAAAACCACTGAGCTAAATCCCCCCCGGCCCCTCAGTGTTGTTTTAAGACAACTAGCTGGGCCTGTAGCCCAGCACTCAGGAGGCTAAGGCAGGAGGACCACAAGTTCAAGCTCAGCCTGGAAAGCTTAGTGGCTTGGGAAAACACAAAGGGCTGGGGATGCAGCTCAGGGTGAAGGCCTGGGGTTCAAACCCCAACATCACTGGAGAAAAAGGAGGAGCAGTGGGGAAGCAAGGGACAGGCATCAGGGAGGCTGGGGTGGGGCACTCTCAGGATTGAGGGGTCACCTGGCCCATGGAGCAGGCCAGTCTGCAGGAGCCTAGAGTGCGAAATAGCAGCTCAGCCAGTGTAGAAAACCTTTCCTCAGGCTCAGGGGCCAATGCCGCTTATACACGACTGGGGACAGATTGATTGATTGATTGACACAGGGTTTGGCCTGGAATCCCCAATGACCCTCCTGCCTCAGCCTCCTGAGTGCTGGGATCACAGGCGCTAGCCACCATGCTCTCCTGGGGACATATTTAGACTGAGGAAGGCAGTGGCAGGGGACACAGGAGAGGGGGACAGATGGAGCCCAGGCCCCTCTGGTTGCCACCCCGGGTGGGCCAAGGCAGGACAGGTCCCAGCTCCTCTCCCCTGGGGGGTGCAACCTCTTGAGCAACCCTGGCTGCGGCTGTCTCCCGTGGGGAACCCAGGAGGCTGCCCCCCTGGGAGGTGGCGCAATCTGCTCTTCCCTTTGCACCGCAGCCTGGCATGAGGCAAGCAGGGTTGAGGACAGTGGGCTGGGCGGGAATAAAGGAGGCGTGCGAGGCCAGGGACGCAGCGGGGACCATGGGCACCCGCAGGGACGGCGCCTCCCCGGGGTGCCTGTCACTGCCCTTGCTACCCCTGCTGCTGGGCTCCTTACTGTCCCCCGCCGCCCCCGAGGCCCTCGGCTACCAGCAGGCCGTGGACCGGGCTGTGGCTGACTTCAACCAGCGCTCCTTGTATGCCAGCCTCTTCCGCCTCCTCAGCCTGGACTCGGAGCCCCCGGGGTTGAGCGCTGAACCAGGGCCCTCACTGAGCTGCACCCCAGGCCTTGGTTTGTGTTTTACTGTAAGACAGGTTCTCACTAAGTCACCGGCTTGCCCAGGCTGGGCTCAAACTTGCAGTCTTCCGGCCTCAGGCTCCTGAGTGCTGGGATCACAGGCATGCGCAAATAGGAGCCTGGTGTGGTGGGGCACGCCTGTATTCCTAGCACTCAGGAGACTGAGGCAAGAGGATTTCAAGTTCAAGGCCAGCCTGGGCTACTTAGTGATACCCTAGAGGTGGAGTCAGGGGGCCTGAGCCAAGTCTCTCCACTTTCTCCCCTGACCAGGTTGAGGACCCAGATACCCCAAAGCCTGTGAGCTTCACCGTGAAGGAGACAGTGTGTCCCAAGGCAACACAGCTGCCACTGGAGCAATGTGACTTCAAGGAGAACGGGGTGAGGCTGGGGTCTGCCGCTGGTGGCCACCTCCTGGGAGCTGGGCATGGGGCCCTGGGGTGGGGCTGGGGCTGATGGTGAAGGGGTTTGGGGTGAGCCTGAGCCTCCTGTCCCCAGGTGGTGAAGCAGTGCTCGGGCACGGTCACCCTCGGCCCGGCCAGCAGCGCCTTTGATGTCAGCTGTGACAGGGTGAGCAGGGCAACCGGGCTTCGGGGTGACGGGGGGGAGCACGTGGGGATCGCACAAGGGGCAGGGGGTGCAGGGTTCACCCCGGGTTCCCAGGGTCACCCCGAGGGTCAGCGGGGGTCCCAGGCCTCCTGGGGTCAGGCGGGGTCTAGGCCTGAGCCCAGTGCAGCCCCACAAACACCCGTTTCTTCCCGTTGCACAGGCGCGGCGCTTCAGGCGAACCGTGGGGCTGAGTAAGTTCTTCCGAAAAGCAAGAAAGAAGCTAGGCAAAGGGTTACAGAAAATCAAGAATGTTTTGCGGAAGTACCTGCCTAGACCCCAGTATGCATACGCATAAGAAATAAAGCGTGAAAGCAGTTGCCGAGGCCTCGTGCTTGTCTTGCTTTCTCCCTCTCTCCACGGTGGAGTCCTCAGCTTCAGAGCGGTGTGCGCCTGCGCGTGTGCGTGTGTGTGTGCGTGTGTGTGCCACGGAGGAGGGTGCGACCGTTGTCCTGTCCAGGAGGCCTGGGTGAGGACCAGGACGGCGTCTCCACGCCCCGTGCCAGGCCTTCCGCAGACGCAGGACAGCTGAGGACGGGAGCTCTGCTGCTGCAACCGGTACTTCTAGCGAGCGGGGTGGCATCCAGGCAGGGCCCGCTTGCTGCTCACACTCACAGCGACACAGTGCGGCCTCCCTCTGGGGCTGGAGGAGCAGGCACAGCAGGGTCGGGAAAGTTCTCAGAAGGCTCAGCTCCAAGGAATGCCTTTCCCTGGAAAGCCAGGGCTCCCGGCTTTTCTTCTGGCATGGGACGTGTGGCTGATCCTCAGCAGCCGGGTGGCGGATTTGAATTCAGGGTTGGTAGTCAGGAGTCTGATGGTACTGATCTCCTGTAGGTTAAAAACAAGCAGCAGGGCATGGTGGTGCAGTCAGGAGGCTGAGGCAGGAGGATTGTAAGTTTGAGGCCAGTATGGTCTACAGAGGGAGACCCTGTCTCCAAAAAAGGGGATTCCTCACTCATGGAAGTGTGCAAATAAATCCCCATGCTATTTCTTGGGGCCTTATAATACACAGCTTTTTTTTTGTTTTTTAGTACTGGGAATTGAACCTATTCGGAACTACATCCTCAACCTTTTTTAAAATTTACATTCTGACTTCCTGTTTCCCTCATTTCCTGCTTCCTGTGGCACTCTGCTTTCTTTCTTTCTGCAGAGGATTTAGCTCAGTGGTTTCGCCGCCTGCTGCGCAAGCGCAAGGACCTGAGTTCAATCCCTGGTACCAAAAAAAAAATTTCAGTTCTTTCTTTTTTTTTGGTACCGGAGATCGAACTCAGAACCTTATGCTTGTGCGGCAGGCAGTGGAACCACTGAGCTAAGTCCCGGGCCCATCCTGTGGCACTCTGGATGGAGACCTGAGTGATGAAGATCACTGGTCTGTTAGTCGTGCTCCTCATGGTTTGTGTCCTTTTGTGGTTTAGAAGATGTGATCATGACCTGTGGTGAGCAGTGGCTGTGGGTCAGGGTTTAATGGTGGGATCTTGGAATCCCCAGGAACCCCAGCCCTCTGAACTATAGACAGGAACTCGCTGTGCTGAACTGGAAGGGCGGTGGGTTACTCAGCATTTTTATCCTCTCTCTCATTGTGGAATCAAAACTGAAGTACACTCATGACATATTCTCACTGAAAGTTCAAACATTTATGAACCAGAAAATTCAGATGTCTGGAGTTCCTTACCAATATCATGCTACATTCAAAGATCCTCTGCATTAATGTATTTGAAAAAGGGAGAAGACAATAATGGCCATAGGTCCGAAAAATCAGCAGGAAAGAAAAGCTAAACCTTAGGTGAAGTGAAAAACTCCAGGAGCCATCCATAAGGGACTGTGAGGAGTATCACAGCAGGACCACATCCATTTTCTCCCTCCCCGCTAAGTATGGAGATTTACCTGTACATTTGGGACAGAGAGGCGGCCACATTAACCCTAGAACTATGGCTCCTGAGGACTGTCATGCCTGTTGGAGAACGGGCTAATGCCTATGGATATCTTTTTTTACCTATTTTTATTTTTATTTTATTTATTTATTTATGTATTTTTTTGGTACCAGGGATTGAACTTGGGACCTTACACTTGCGAGGCAGGCAGTGGAACCACTGAGCTAAATCCCCAGCCCTCTATTTTTAAATTATTTTTTTTAATGAAGAATTTTCTCTGCAGTCTATATGAACGTTTTGGTGTGTTGTAGTAATGAAGGAATTTTTTAAATAAAGGTTTGAAATTCTTTAAAAAATAAAAAAAATAAAGTTTTCATTCTGAGACTATCTTGCTAAGCTATGGTAGCTGGACTTGAACTTGTGACCCTCCTGCCTCAGCCTCCTGAGAGGTGGGATTCCAGGCCGGTGAGGCTGCCGCCAACACCCCCACCCCCCCAAGACACAGTTTATTAACGCCTCTGAGGACTGCTGCAGAAAAGCAGCCCCTCACTCACTCGGCCGAGTCCTCTATCTGCCCCTCCACGAAGGCTGGATCCCCTGGAGTGTAGACCTCAGGCTCCAAGCCTGGACCCAGCCCAGCATCCTTGGGCAGGCTTTACCCAGCGCCACAAGGCCAAGGATCCTGGAAACAGAGACCCAGCCCCACCCTCAGCCTCTTACAGCCTCCCGAGCCACACCTTGCCTAATGTGGCCCTTTGTCAACAGTTCTGGGATGGCACAAGAGGCTTTGCCTCACCAGGGCAGAAGGGAGCCCCAGGAGCAAGAGTTGAGAAAGCCAGAGCCAGCAATGCCACCCCAGACCCAGCCTGCCCATCTCCAGCTGTTCTCTGCTCTGCAGTTTCTGCTCCCCAGTACATGGGGTGGGGGGAATTGTAGCACCAAGTATCAGCTGTGAGGAGGGCTCAGCTGCCTCCCAGAATCCCCAGCTTCCAGGGGAGACCCCAGAAACTCACAAGAAAACTCAGCCCTTTGTGAGGAAGTGCCATCCCTAGTCCAGAACCTGGTGTGGCTCCCCACTGCCCACCATCAGACCACATCACCTCTACCTACCAGGAGCCCGCTTTCCCAGGAGGCCCTCACTGGACAGCCACTTGCAGCAGGGCACACAGTGCCTGTCACACCTCCCAGAGTGCTACATTAGTATGGGGTGGGACGAGAACACATTCCCCAAATCATGCCATTTCAGCTTCTGAAAAGTGCCGCTTTGTTCTCTTTCTAAAGTGGCCTGGGGCAAACTGACCGGAAGCCATTCCTCCCACCTCCTGGTGGGGAAAAACAGACCAAGAGCCAAGGTGCATGTCTGTAATCCAGCACTTTGGGAAGCTGAAGCAGGAAGGTTGCCAAGTTTGAGCCCAGCCTGGGCAACATAGCGAGACCCTGTCTCAAAAGAAAAAGTATCCACGGTACTACCAAAAAAAAAAAAGAAAGAAAAAGTAAAAAGGGCCAGGGTGTAGCTCAGAACTAAGGCCCTGAGTTCTGAGAGAGACAGAGAGAGAGAGAGAGCCAGAACAATAGCTAGCAGACACACCACAGGCGTGGGGCTCCTGATCAGGTCCCACTCTGCCAAAGGCTCTGGACAAGGTCCCCAGAAACTGGGGCGCATTTTTAGCTTTCAACCCCAATTCCCCAGTCCCAGCTCTTTCAGCTCTTTCCCAGCGCGTGTTCCTCCGGGAGAAGCGCGCCTCCTGGTGGCCGGCTGGGTCCTCCCAGGCAGCGTCCCCAACCCCGGGCGAGCAGGAGGTGAGCTGCTAGCGAGCCGACGTTCCGGTTTCCAGCTCCCCCCTCGCCCCGAGCTCCTCCTGGGGTCAGCGCAGCGGCCAGGGATCCCAGAGCGGCGCGGACCCCACTGTGGACTACACATGCCAGGGACCTAGGGTGCCCGCCTTTGAATCATCCCCCAAGCATCCTTCACCCTACATTCCGTGGAGAAACTGTCTCAAAAAGATCAGATCGGGGGCCCCGGGCGTGGCGGCGCGCGCCTGCAGGAGGATCACGGCGAGTTTAAAGCCAGCAGCCTGGGCTACACAGTGAGTTCAAGGTCAGTCTGAACTGTGTAGCCAGACCCTGGCTCAAAAACAAAACAATGAAACCGGGGCGGGGGGCGGGGGTTTCTGCTGAGCTACACCCCCAGCCCTTGTTATTTTCTCTTTTAAAACATTTAAAAAAAAATTTAAAAAACCCATGATCTCTCTATATGCGCACCCATGTTTATAGCGGCTCAGTGTGTAATAGCTAAGGCTTGGAAACAGCCCAAGTGCGCATCGACTGGAGAATGGATAAAGAAGATGTGGGTTTTTTATAAAATAGAGTGCTACTCAGCCATAAAGAACGATAAACTAGGGCCGGGGATTTACCTCAGTGGTTTCGCCGCCTACTGCGCAACCTCAAGGACCAGAGTTCGATCCCCGGTACCAAAAAAAAAGAATGAGAAACTAGAGACATTTATAGCTAAATGGATACACATTGAGGCCATACTCTTAAGTGAAATAAATAGGACACATATGTGTAAATACCGAATAGTTTCTCTAGTGTGAGAAACTGAGAGTGTAAATAAGGACTAAAAGGATTAATAACTAATAATTGATACTTTGAAACAGGAAAAGGTCCAAAGGGGTAGAGGAAGTGGGAGGAGATGGGGAAAGGAAAGAATGGAAAGGAAAAATTATGAGAAAAGAAAAAATGGAAACGAAGTATGTAAATAGGGAAAGGTGGAGGAGTGAAGGGAGCATAGGGAATGGGGAAACAATAAGAAGCAAGATCCATCATGTACAGGTACAAGCACCCAATGATAAATGTAAACGTATTGTATACCTAAAATGTACCAATAAAAGTATTTAAGCAAAAAAAATAAAAAATATATAAAATAAAACATGATCTCTCTAAATTGCCCAAATTAGCCTGCAATGGCCCGGCCTCAGCCTCTGGCTGGAGCGGGTGGGGTAACAGACGGGCGCCACTGCACCCAGCTCAAAGAGGCCTTTTCTAAGTCCACCACCTCGGTGATAACATTCAAATGCTTGGATCTCATTCACTCCACAAACGTTGGTCCAGGTCGCTGGGAGTCCTGCTGGCCTCTGCCAGGCAGGGACTCTACGCCCCGCCCACCCCAGCCGGAACTCCCGCCCGCCCCAGCCGGAAGCCGCGGCCGCTGCCCGAGCGGGCTCTCTCCGGGTGGAGGGTCGCAGAGAGTGTCCTGAAAGCCAAGATAAGCAAATCTTTCCCTCTCCTGTACTGGGGATGGAACCCAGGGCCTATGCGCTGATTTACACTCCCAGGCCTTTTGTTGTTTTGGTTTGGTTTGGTTTTTTGAGACAGGGTGCCCCTCCCTATGTAGCACCAGCTGGCCTCGAACTCACCCGCAGCGATCTCCCTGCCTCAGCCTCCTGAGTGCTGGGACCACAGGTGGGGCTCTGTGGTGCATCTGAGCCTGCTCCTCCCATCCCGCACCACCAGGATTTCCCTGGAGCCCCGCGCCCTCCCGCCACTGCCCCTCTGCTTTCTTCCCCAGCCCCAGCTTTTGGGGGGCCGCAGTGCTCAGCGCTGGTGCCCCCCCAGGTCCTCTCTGCCAGCCTTGGTCTCCCCTCATTCGCTCGTCCACCCAGACAGAGCTGGCGACAGACCCAGCCCGGCAGGTCCCCCCAGAGCCGAGCCACGGTGGTCCAGTCGCCTTCCCGGAGTCACTCCACACCCCTCCCTCCCCCTCTGCTGTGAGGAGGTCACCCTGCTCACCCCACCCCTGTTGTCCCCTCCTCACCCTCCCGGTCCACCCTGCCGCTATCTGATGGGCTCTCACCGGGCTCCGTGCCCTGGGTTCACAAGAGGAGGCCAAACCCTGCAGCTCCAACCCGGCAGGATGTGTGACAATTCAGGAACGCCCAGCCAGGCGTGGCGGCGTGTGCATGGAATTCCAGCTCCTGGGACGATGAGGCAGGAGGATTTCTGGGAGTCTGAGGCCAGCCTGGACTCCACAGAAAGGTCTTGTCTCAAGAAAAACTAGACAAGGACAGATGATTTAGCTCAGTGGTCCTGACGCCTGCCTCGCAAGTGCAAGGTCCTGAGTTTGATCCCTGGTACCGCAAAAAACAAAACAAAAAAATAGCAAATCCCTCAAAGAAAAGATAGAGCAAAATAAAATTTATTCTAAAAAAAACTAGATAAATAAAAATAATGGGGTATTGAACCAACTATTAAACCACACCAACCAGGAGGAGTTTCCAGATATGCCTCAGTGGAGTCTTTCAAACAGTGGGGGAAGCTGCAGGTCAGGGGGACTCAGAAAGTGGAGGGCTGCTGCGGTGAGGGGCTTTAAGGTCAGGGGCTCACGGCTGTGGTTGGGGCCCAGCTGGAAATGAGGCAAGGCCCGGAAGAAGAGGCCTCACTAGGCAGGACCCGGTGTTGGGGTCCGTTCTGTGCGTCCTTGCTTTTCAAACTAGGGCAGCACTGAGCCAGTGGGGAGTTTTTTTTTTTTCCTAGTGACATTTAAAAAAAAACACAAAAAAATAAACCAGGTGAGGTGGTACATGCCTATAGTCCCAGCACGTGGAGAAGCTGAGACTGGAAGGCTGCAAATTCAAGCCCAGCCTGGGCAATTTAGCAATTTAGAAAGACCCTGTCTCAAAATATAAAATGTTTTTAAAAGGCTGAGCATACAGAAAAAATAAATAGTATCATAGGTCAGATGAGTAAACAATACATTGAAAATGTTTTAATATGTATGATTTCTTGCATCCGGGTCATTCCAAAATTGCTTTTCCAAGCATCAGGGAACTTAGGCTTTTGGCAAAGGGAGGCAGGAGGTCAGCTTTAAATTGAGAGAGATCCCTGGGGAGCAGGGCTTGCAGTCCAACTGAGCCTCTCAGCTGACAGAAGGAGGAGCAGAGGAGGGGCAGCTTCCTGCCAAGGACCCTGGGGCACAGGACATTTGAAAGAGAGGATTTCGGTGTGCAGTGGAGAGTTTAGGCTCCTGGAGGATTCAGATACGAGGCTGCTTTGGAGCCAGATTCCGTGGGAGACAGGTACGTCAGGGCCCTGTGAGATAAAGGAGGAGGCTGCAGAAGTCCTGGGACCCGGGAGGTGGTTCAGGAGGCTGGACTTTCTGCTAGAAACGCTCCTCTCCCAGAGCAGCCCTTCAGTCAGCAGGCAGGACCGAGTCCGATTACAAAGCCACCTATGGCCCAACCCAGAGTGCTTCTCACAAGCCTCTCTTTGCTGGGCTTCGAAGGCCTTGAATGCCAGGTAGCTCAGTGGTTCCCAAACCTGACTGTTTACAATAATCTAGAGAGCTTTCTGATTATACGTATTCCTAGCAAGATCCCACACCGGGTCTCTGGAATCAAAGTGTCCATAGCTGGACACATGCAATCCCAGCACTCTGGGAGGCTGAGGCAGGACGGCTGCAAGTTCTAGCCTGGACTGGACAACTTAGTGAGAGCCTGTCTCAAAATTTTAAAAAGTTTTAAAGAGTTGAGGATGCAGCACTGTGAAGACCCTGGGCTCACTTCCTGGTACAGGGGGGAAAAGTGTCCATGGGAAATTGGGCCTAGTCATGCCTGCAATCCCAGCACTCTGGAGCTGAGGCAGGAGGATTGCAAGTTCAAGGCCAACCTGGGATACATAGTGAGTTTGAGGCCACCCTGATTTAGACCCTGTTTCAAAAAAAAAAAAAAATTGTCCAAGGAAGAGACTAGGGGATCTATATTTTTCAAAAGAGATCCCCTGAGGCCCGGGGATTTAGCTCAGTGGTTCCAACACCTGCCTCGAAAGTGCAAGGTCCCGAGTTTGATCCTGGTACCAAAAAAAAAAAGATCCCCTGAGCCAGAGGTATGGATCAGTGGCAGAACATGTGCACAGCATGCATAAAGCCCTGAGTTCAGTCCCTAGTAAACATGCATGCATGTGTGTACACACACACACACAGAGTCTCCAAACTACCTGCAAGAGAGAAGAGAAAGACAGACTGAGACAGATTTATCTGCTGATACTGAACCATTACGAAATATATGGTGTAAAAACAATCAAGATTTAAAGCAGGGCATGGTACCACATATCTGTAATCCCAGCCAGCACTGGGAGGCTGAGGCAGGAGGATCACTGGGAGTTTGAGGCCAGCCTGGGTTACACAATGAGTTCAAGGCCAGCCTGAACAACATAGCAAGACCCTGTCTCAAAAATAAATAAGTGAAGCAAGTTAATTAGGCTCAGGACCATGTCTGAAAAAATAAAAAGTGTACATGGAAGAATGTATACATGTATTTCCTAGCATCACACAGAACCTGCAGGAGATACCAAAAGACCAGCCATAGTGCCAATTCTGGGGAGGAAAACAAGGGAGCTGGACATGGGGGGGAAAGGGAGAGTTGTGTTTTTTTTCCTAACACAGAACAAGCCTTTCCATCTTTATTACCCAAAAGAGGTTTGTTTTTTATTTACCTTTTCAATTTTATTTTATTTTTGAGACAGGTTCTCCTTAGGTAATTCATGCTAGTTTTGAGGTCAGGGGATCCTCCTGCCTCAGCCTCCTGAGTGCTGAGATTACAGCAGGCACTACTCCAGGATTTTTAGCTTTCTGACTCTGTGCTTGTGCCTTCAACACTTTCACAATGATTTTTTGGTGCTTTCCCAATCTTCTTGGTGTAATGGTGAACAGTTCCGTTTCCTGGGGTTCAGGCATCCTGGCTTGGTTAGAGGCTGTGAGGGCTTGGAACTGCATCCTGGAAGAGCAAAAGGGGATTTTTTAAACCTTAGGCCATTTTAGTTTCACTTGAATTTGTACCACATAGACAGACCACCTGATCCATAAAGAAGCAACCTAAAAGTCCAGGCTCCCAGACAATCCTGGGGGGCGCAGAACCAGTCTGTGGCCCCTTCTCGTCTAGAACCAGGACAGTTCCTGTGGTCTGGAAATCTCTGTTCTTCTGGCTTCCTTCGTGTCACACTGAGTCCCTGCAGCTGCCTCCCTAACCACCCAGAATAAACCCAACTTGCTCCCCACAGTCAAACGAGAGGAGAAGCACAACCCTTTTTTTTTTTCCAGTACTGGGGATCGAACTCAGGACCTTGCACTTGTGAGGCAGTCGCAGTGCCACTAAGCTAAATTCCCAGCCCTAGAAGCACAATCTTTTTTTTTTTTTTTTTTGGGTGCTGGGGATCGAACTCGGGTCTGTGCGCTTGCACAGCAGGCGGTGAAACCACTGAGCTAAATCCCCGGCCCTTACCAATTTAGTGAGACACCAGTTTCAAAATAAAACAGGGCTGGGGATGTAGCTCAGTGCAAAGGCCCTGGTTTCAATCCCCAGTACAGAGAGAGAGCGAGAGCGAGAGAGCAAGAGAGAGCAAGAGAGAGAGAGAGAGAGAGAGAGAGAGAGAGAATATGAATGAATCTGATCTGGTCTGGTGGGTTAGGAAACCTCCCAGGAAGTGGCCAGGAGAATGAGGAGGGACAGGCCCAAGCCAAGGCCCTGAGAATGGCAGGAGTCAGCTGTGTATGCCAGCCAGCAGATCAGAGAGGAGGAGGCAGGGGAGACAGACAGGGCCTGGAAGTGGGGGGCTGTTTCTCCAGGCGGGTGAGAACAGGAAGGTGCCTGGCCGGACTCCACTTCTCCCTGCCCTCCATGCCAGCCCGGGTTTCCAGCCTGAAGTCTGCACTGCAGTACTAGACACCATCTGTTTGCAGAAAGGATTCCTGGTTGGATGTAGCTCAGTGGTAGAGCAGGGTGGAGTGTGGGCTTAGCAGAGATGCCTTCTTCCTTTTGCCTTACTGGGGACTAAACCGAGGGTCATGGCACTGAGTTACATCCCCAGTTCTTTGTTTTATTTTGGAGACAGGGTCTTGCTAAGTTGCCCAGGTGGGATTCGAACTTGTGATGGGAAGATAAAAAGGTAAGATCTCTACCCTTCTGAGGTGTGTGGTCATCTGAGGTCTTGCCCTGATTTGTCCATCGATTCAGAAGTCACAGAGACAGCTGTAAATGTGTGGCACCCGGAGAGTGAATGACAACAGGGATTCCCCTATCAGCCAGTGTGACCGCAAAGCTTTCCTGGGAAGGGGAAGATGCCGCAGGGTTGAGGATGAGGGTGAGCCATGCATTCTCAACAAACCTTCCGGATTCAGGTTTAGGTTCAGGGAGTTGTTAGGCTTCACAGACAGAATGAACCTGTCCCTAAGCAAAGCTGGGCCACAAAGCACAGCCCTCAGCACTTCCCCTCCCCTGAGCTGCTGCAGGGCTCTGGAGAAGACATCTAATTACCAGGGATAGCATTCGGTTAAAGTATTATATTCCTTTTACTTCCACTTGGCAGCAAAAGACAGTCCTGGGGCATGACCACAGTCGCCACCCTCAACCCTTCTGTAGGGATGCACCTCAGGGGTAGAGCTCACCCCACAGTCCGGTTCTATCTGGCCCCAGCACCAAAACAAAAACAAAGTAAAACCCATTTTGCAGCTCAGGGGATCAAACCTGGGGTGTCCTACATGCTGAGCTACACTCTACCACTGAGCTGGACTCCCGGCCTCAGTCCAGCCTTACAGAAAACAAAACAAAACAAAACAAAAATGATTGTCTGACCCTAAAATTTAATTCCAATCCTTGGATATTGAATGTTAATCCGTGTGGGTGAATTTGGGCCTTCGGGCTAGGATTGATTGGGTTTCTGGATTGGGTTTCATCATGGCTGCTTTGGTTTTTCCCCTGCCCTGGGGATTGAAACCAGCTTCCTCACTGAACCTCGATCCCACCCCACCCCCTTTCACCCTCTCTGGTCTAGAACATTCCATGCCTAAACTTCTCCTGCCTAAATTTCCCAGGGTGTTGGGATTACAAGTGAGCACCACACCCAGCTTTTTTGGTGTTTTTTGTTTTTGCTCTAGAAAAAGAAAACAAAAAAAAAACAAAACAGGATCTTGCTGTATAGTCCAAGCTGGCCTTGAATTGGAGATATTCAGCCTCCTGAGTACTGAGATTAAAGAAATACACCACCACACCTAGCATCAATGTGGTATTTTCACACATGCATGACATATTTTGGGTTTTTTTCATATGACATGTATATATATATATATACATATATATATATATATAATATATACATATATATTTTTTTTGGTACCGGGGATCAAACTCAGGACCTTGCGTTTTCGAGGCAGGCACCAGAACCACTGAGCTAAATCCCCAGCCTCTCATATGACATATTTTGATCATATCCATTCCCCCATTACCCTCCCTCACACCATACCCCCTCCTTATTTCCTTCCTCTTTTATTTCTTTCTGAGACAGGGTCTTGATACATAGTCCACACTGGCCTCAAACTCACTATGTAGTCCAGACTGGCCTGAAATTCTGGATCCTCCTGCTTCAGCCTCCTGAGTGCTGGGATTACAGGTATGTGCCACCATGCCCAGACTGATTATCTGTATTTTCTAAAGCTGTATTTATTTTACATTACTCCTATAATAAAACTTCTGAAAATAAAGTTCTTGAAAGAAACATTTTATGGTAACCCTAAGGATAGGTAGTGACCATAACCTCTACAGGTACTTGAAACTTCCTAAAATAAATGTACACTCTTCTAGCACCCTGCGAGGCTGAGGCAGGAGGACTGAAAGTTCCAGCTCTTGGCTCAGGATCATCCAGGTCCCTTGATCCCCATCTTCTGCTCCCTGGCTTGTGTTTACCCATCCCGTTCACCCTCATTTCACCCTCATCACTCAGGGTTGACCCCATCCACTTGAGAAGGAAATTGGTCAATAAAGTCATTTACAGTGAGATGTTTAAAAAAAAAAAAAAAGTCCCAGCTCACTCTAGGCAATTTAGGGACTTAGTGAGACTCTGTTTTAAATAAAAAATAAATAGGTGAAGATGTAGCTCAGTGCAAAGGCCCTGGTTTCAACCCACAGTACTAGGGGGGGAAGCACACTCTTGAGGACATGTTTGCTCTAAAAATGCTGCCTGGACACAATTTTTTTTGGTACCAGGGATCGAACTCAGGACCTTGTGCTTGCAAGGCAGGTGCGGTGTCACTGAGCTAAATCCCTGGCCCCAAACACAATTCTTTACACAGGCTGGTCGCTGAACCCAAGCCTCTCTTACAAAATAATTCTAAGAGACACCACTAGTATGCTAGCGCAGGGGCTATAAAAATAACCTCTAAAACAGCAATGATGCCTTTCTTTGGATTGTGAGGATGAAATGAATCAATACAGATAACTCACTTGGAACAGCATCTGGTGCACAAACACAATCTAAGTGCTCTAGGGGCACCCAGGGGGTGAGAAAGGGTAGAAAAAAGGGAAAAGAAGGAATAGTTCTGAATTTTCTTTTTTTTTTTTTTTTTTTTTTTTGAGACAGGGTCGCACTAAGCAGTTCAGGCTAGCCTTGAACTCACTACGTAATGAACTTGTGAAGATTCTCCTGCCTCAGCCTCCCGAGTGTTGGGATTTCAGAGATGTACCACCCCGCGTGGCTTCTGGGAGCATACAGAAAAGAGCAAAGAATTCTGAGGGCCACCGCATAGACCATGTTGTAGGGCTCACGACCCTGGCAGACAACAGAGCCTACAGTGTAGGGTCTATTAAAAGCTCCAGAATTAGCTGGGTGCGGTGGTGCATGGCTGAAGTCCCAGCATTTTGGGAGGCTGAAGTAGGAGAACTGCTAAATTCAAGTCCTGCTTGGGCAATTTCGTAAGACCCTGTCTCAGAAAAAAAAGCCTGGGAATGTAGCTCAGTGGTGGGCGCGCGCCCATGGGTTTGATCCCCAGTACTATCAAAAACCTAAAAAACTCCAAAATGGGTCCTAGGGGTCATGATCCATAGTAATGCATGGCTAACGTCAGAACCAAGGGTATGTCTCATGACCTCCCCTAGGGTCCACGTTCCCACTCGGCTCGAGGGAAGTGCAGCCGTCTAACGGGGTGGCTGAGACTCCACGAGCGCGCGCAGTAGGAACTACACTTCCCAGCATGCAACGGGGCAGCAAGGCCCTTCCGCCGAGCCTTGCGCCTCGCAAATTCGGCTGGGAGTGTTATTGACGTCTGGGCCCTGCTCAGGTCCACTCTCCCTCCCTTCTTCTCTAGGCCCCGCCCCCTCCGGAGAGCAGTGACCACGCCGAGGCCCGGGAGCTGCTTCCTTCTTCTCTCTCATTGGTCTAGTCTGGCTGCCATTCGAGAGAGAGGCGGAGAAGTTGCTTCCTGATTGGTGAATTGCGTTTGGCGCCAACTGGGATGGGGGGCGGGGCAGCGGGGGTCCCTTGGAAGCACCTATTACCGCGAAAAGCCACTTGGCTGCAAAGGAGGGAGGCAAAGGTCGGCTGAATTCTCTCCGACTCTGGACAGGAGCAAAGGAGTGAGAAACGTAAAGAGTGTGAGCCAGGGCCGTTGCTTCGAGGCTCTCTCTCGCTCCTGCTCTGCGCCAGCCGCGCTGGTGTAGATTTAGTCTTCGGATTCCCGCCGCCCGCCTGGCCTCGCGGGTGAGAGCGTCTCGCAGCCGCTGCGTCCCGGAACCGCGGGGTCGCGTTGGGCTTTGAGCCGCTAGCGCGCGGCGGACACCGAGGACGGAGCGGGAGCCGGGGAGGCCGGCGCCGCCATGGACCTGGGCCCGGAGCCCCCGCACCGCCGCCGCCTGCTCTTCGCCGGCTCCCCCCCTGCTGCGCAGCCCGCCTCCGCCAGGCCTCTGTTGGCCGGGGGGCTGTCGCCTGTCACGACCCTGACGGTCACCATGGACCGGCTGCAGGGGCTGGGCAGGTAAGGGCTCGGGAGGGCTGCGGCGAGGTGGCCGTGGGCACCCTGCGGACCAGGGTGGGGGCTTCCGCCCGAGCCGGGCCCGGGAGGGGTCCCTGCGCCCCCTGGTTACCTCTCCGCTTGTCTGTGCCCGCGTCCCTGGCCGGGAAGCTCCTGGCGATCGGCCGCACTCCCCCCGCTGAGCCACGCGCAGGACTGTGGTTTCCCGGAGCTTTGTTCCTGCCCAACAAAGGGCCCTGGCGTTTTCTCTCTCAGATCTCTGTGGCGGCACGTTTCCTAAGTCCACCTCAGCGACCCGAAGCTCGGGGCTTTTTTGCTTAATTTTCTCTGCTGGAAATCTCCCTGGACTTCTTCCAGGCGAAAGGTGCACCCAGTGTTTCTGGGGTAGCTGCTTTCTTGCACCTAGATGTGATCTGGTTCCCAGCCTCTGAAAAGGGAGGGAGGCCTCCGTTCTCTGTCACCTTCCACCCCTCCTTGAAGAGCTGGGAACAATCGTCTTCGTCCTTGTGTCCTCCAGGGCCAGACCCACACACTCCTTTCTTGGCTTGAGGGCTCACTGGGTTTCTGAGTGGCAAAATGGGGTCTGTGGCCTGGCCTAGAAGTTAGCGTAGCTCGTGACAGCCTGGCTCTTCCTTGGCCCACCTCCTGAATGTGACCTTTAACTTGTGTCCTGGCGATTGCTCACATGGAAATGTTCCTCTTGGTTTCAGTGAGTGTGAGCAGCCGCCAGAGGTGAAAAACAGCAGTAGTCTGCAAAGAACGGGCTCCTCTGAATCAACTGACTCAGGTATTTTTGGTGTTTTGAGACACGGTCTTGCTTTGTAGCCCAGGCAGCCCTGGACCCTCCCCTCTTGCCTCTTGCTTCCTGAGGGCTTGGATCACTGGCTTGTGCCACCACACCTGGCTTCAGATCTCCTTTTAGTCTTCACCCACCACCCACCACGTGCCTGCTGTGTGGGGAGCAAGACTGGGAATTTTTCCTGAGATGTCCTTTCACCCAGGAACTATAAGTGGCTTTCAGAGCACCTTATGGGTTAAAATGAGGATCAGATTATCAGAAGTGTAATAAAGTCATTTCCGTGATCCTGGTGTGGAGGAAATGTGCCATGCGTCTCATTGTGCTTTATAAGTTCGTGTGTTACTGCAGGCTTGCCCAGGTACAGTGTTTGGGACAAAGGTTACAGAACTGCAAGAGTAAAAATCCTAAAATGTAGTTAGCATGTATAGGGGTTTTTTTTAGGGGGGTACTAGGGATGGACTGAACCCAGGGGCGCTATCACTGAGCTTCATCCCCAACCCTTTCTGTGTTTTATTTGGAGAGAGGGTTTAGTCTCAAACTTTAGGTCCTCTGCCTCAGCTTCCTGTGTAGCTAGGATTTCAGGCATGTGCTAATGGTTGCTTTTTTTGTGGTACTGAGGATTGAATTCTGGGCCTTAAAACTGAGCTACATCCCAGCCCTTAGTGAGTCTCACTAAGTTGCCCAGGCTAGGTTGAAATTTGGGATCCTCCTGCCTCAGCCTCCCAAAGTGCTGGAATTACAGCCATGTGTCCCCACACCCAGCTAATTTGTATTTTCATACCCCTGACTTAGGCATATGATTCAGTAAGATAAAATACTGGAAATCAAAATTATTCCAAGAAAAATGGTGGTATCTTTTCCTCCCATGATTGGAACTCACAAACAGTTGTGTGGGTTACCTGGCTACCCAAACAATTATGCTGTAAAACAGTTTAGTGTAGCCTCTTCCCAAACTTCTTTGTCTTGATAGTGTTTGATAGTGTTGATAGTGTCTTGATAGCTTGATAGTGTTTCCAAGTCGGAGAAACAATCAATGAACACTATAAAGAAGCTATGGATTTATTTTAACAAAGAAGTAGTGTTGTGTGCCTTATTTCCTGAGTAGCTGTTTTCTTTTCCCACACAGGTTTCTGTCTGGATTCTCCAGGGCCCTTGGACAGTAAAGAAAAGTATGTATTCACATGTTCACTGCTTTGAAACATTTCTACATAGAAACCTTACTTAATTTTTAAGTGAAATTCTTAAGCTCTGGACTGGAGCCCTAGAGTTAGCTGTTCCTAGTGAGATGTCTGGATTCTAGAAACAGCATCTTGTATTAGCAGTTTTGAGAACTTTTTTTTCTAGCTTTAATTTAGGTGATTGTGGGTCTGATATAAACCCTGGCTCTGCCTTCTGATGTTAAAACTTTAAGAGAATGTGTGTTTTTGATTTTTCGAGACAAGGCCTCACTATGCAGTCCAGGCTCCCCTTGAACTCCCAGTGATCCTCCTGCCTCAGCCTCTGGAGTGCTGGGATTACAGGCATGCTTCACCATGCCCTGCAAGAGGATGTGTATTTTAAG